AATTAAATAATATAATTTAACTAGTAATTAATCATTAAATTTAAATTTTAATTTTATTCAACCCCTATTTACTATATAAATAAATTAGAATTTTATACATATTTTAATTTAGAAAATTTATTCTTAGAAATGTTTAATTTGAAAAATTTATTTTTTCTTCTTTGTCTTATTTTAATTTTTAATTTTAATTTAATTTTGGGAAAGCAGGGACAACGTATTTATTTTTAAATTATAAATATTAATAAAATTAAACAATAATTTTATATAATTGAAAAAAATTTTTTTGGAATAATTTGAAATTAAATTATATTAATTAATTAAATAAATGTTAATTAATTAAATAATTAATTAATAATCTCAATTAGAAATATCTTTAAAAATCTTACAATTAATTTAATTTAAAATTTCAAGCATGCCGTGTTAAAAGTGATTGTCACGATGAAAGAGAAGTTTGTGGAATTGGAACAAATATTTGTATTCCTAGACTTGGGGGTTAAATTAAAGAAAAATTTATTAAAAAATTAAAGATATACATACATTTATATTTCTTGAATTTTAACCAAATTTTGTATAACATTTATATTTTTTATGATTAAAAAATTTTAAATTTTTTAATAAAAAATAAATTACTTTGGATCTACATATTTACTTAAAACTAAAAAATAAAAAAAAATCGAGTTAATGTCAGGAATAGGGTTGTTCAACCGGTTATTAACCCCAGGCATTCGCTTAACCGATAGAAAGTTAACCGACTAGTTAAATATTTACTCGATTAATTCCCCTCCCACGAATAATTTCCCCCGCTACGGATGAGTTGAAACAATAATCCCCCTCCCCCAAATACCCCACGACACGTTCAAATTTCAAAACTCAAATAATTTTTCTCCCTTGAATAATTCCCCATGTATTGAAGAAATAATTCCCCAAGGGAATTAATCGAGTAAATACGATAGGTATTTAAATATAATTTAAACGATAGGTATTTAAATACATTCCTGTTACATGCATATTTAATTGCATCTAGAATTGAATCTTTAATTTTGTAAAAATTAGTTACAAATTAAAAAACATCCAAAAAATCTTTTAAAACTATCAAAACCGTCTTTAATTATTTTGATAGTATACTCAAAGAATAAATTTAATATTACAAGAATTTTGTAAATAATTTTTTATAAAACTCACAAGTTTTGGGGGACACTTTTAGAGAGTTTTACAAGAGTTTTTTTCGGAAATAACTGAATGGTTGGAAATTCCAAATTTTCTATTTAGAATTAGAAGAAATTCTCTTTGCTTTAAATCGAGTTATCATTTTAAACAACTTTTTGATTTTTGGGAAAAAAATAAATTATCTACATATTTAGTATTAAATACATATTTAGTAGTTAAACTACATATGCACAATAAAAACTGTGACTATAAACAATCATATGTGAGAATGTTCCCTGTACTAACTACATAGTGATGTTTAAATAATAAATTGATTATATTTCCTATTTTGCGAATAAAAATATAATTTGAGTTACACTGTGTCAGAAAATGATAGACGCACCTGTATTTCGTGTCATATCTCGTGCTATATTTAAGATATTTTTTAGAAATTTTTTTTAATTTATCGTTTCAAATGCTAGAATGGATATAATTAATAAAAATTTCCAAAATATTTTTTAAAAATTTTTACGTCAAATTTTTCGGAAAACGGGTGTCAGAAAATGATAGACGCACTTTAATGTTAGATTAAAATTTATGTTTCTAATTTTAGAAAAAATTTACAAAAATTTCAACAAACATATTTATCGATACTAAAAGTAAATAAAAAAGAATTAGACCCATATCTCACTTCAATGTCGAGATCCAGATACCTCAAAAATCAACGTAAATAGGGGGTAAGGCTATTTAGAAAATATTTTCGACCCCTTATGTTTTGTTTTAAATTTCCATTTTGGGCTCATTCGAAAGCCCTTAAAATTTGCTATAAGATAAATTGGATCTTATATTTGAGAAAAAAATTGGAAGATAGATGTAGGTCGTTAATTTCCCGACGCTAATTTTATGGGGCATTTAGGTGATTTTCTCTGCCTTATAAATTTAAGACTTAATAACCGTCTGAAATATTTTTTCTTTAAAATAAAACTTATGCTATCTTATAGCAAATTTTAAGGGCTTTCGAGTGAGCCCAAAATGTAAATTTAAAACAAGCCATAAGGGGTCGAAAATATTTTTTAAATAGCCTTACCCCCTATTTACGTTGATTTTTGGGGTATCTGGATCTCGACACTGAAGTGAGATATGGGTCTAATTCTTTTTTATTTTTTCTTAGAATCGGTAAATATGCCAGCTCAAATTTTTATAGATTTTTCTTATTGTTAGAAACTCGAAATTCCAAAGTGCGTCTATCATTTTCTAACACGCGTTTTTCAAAAAATTGAACATAAAAATTTTTTAAAAATAGTTAGCAAATTTTTCTAGGTTATATTCATTTTGGCATTTAAAAAGATATATCAGGGAAAATTTATACAAAAATATCCGTTAGATAAAGCGAGATAATAGCAAAAATATGGGTGCGTCTATCTTTTTCTGACACAGTGTATTTATAGATAACTGATGGGTTTTTAAATATTTTCATTCTTTTGTCTAAGCTCGTTCTTGAATTTTTAAAAATTAAATACTAATCATTCTTAATTATTTCCTTGTCTACTAAAATTTTATAATTTTATTTTAAATAATTTTTTACTTCAATTCACAATTACTTAACTAGAAACAATTATTTTAAGTAAAATTCCCATCAATTTATTAAAGAAAAATGCGTCGATTTTTGACGAAATTGTTCATCCATTAATTCCAAAGTACTGAATAAATACCTAAATTTTAAATATTTTCTTTTCTTCATTCGAATGTTGTTTTCTTCAAAAAATAAAATATATTCAATTAATTCCTCAAATCATTTGCCTCAGTCATCTTTATTATTAATTCATGATGCAAAAATTAAAAGGATTAGTTTAAGTTTTTGGGAAACTACATTTGCCTGTTTAAATATAATAATGGTAGGTAGATTTGTTGAATAAGGATTAGATTATACTAGATCTTGGCTGGTTATACATATTTCTAAGGGTAATTCTTTGGCTGACCATTCCTCCTTTTTTATGTTTACCTGACCATTTTGAGCTTTTTTGCTTGACATATAATAGTTTATATATCATTCGAAAGAGCTGTCCGAGCTGGGTAAATTGATACTAAGATTGGTTAGATTCGGCAATTTTGAGCAGATTATGAAGCTAAATCCTCTGTGGACATGCTTTTTGTGATGTTGAAGGGATTAAAACAAATGCTCATAACTATGTTGATTTAAATCAAATTTTGATGATTCTAATGAGTTTCGACTCGGCTCGAAAAGCCGAGTCGAATGGATATAAAAAATTGATAGAAATTTCATAAAAATTTCATAAAAATGAAAAAAAAACATAAAAAAGGGGGCGTCAGCCGAAGAATTACCTTTCTAAGTATTTCCTTATCTCGTTCATTATCTCCTTACAAGAAATAACTTGACTAAATTCCCATTACTTCCAAATTTTATCAATAAAGAAAACAAAACTTTTGTAGCACATTTACACATTTATATTAGGGTTTCACCGGAAGTTCCGGTTCCGGTTCCGGTTCCGGAAAGTTCCGGCCTTTTTTTGGTTCCGGTTCCGGTTCCGGGAACCGGAACTCAAATTGGTTCCGGTTCCGGTTCCGGCTCCGGTTTTCAAATTGGTTCCGGGCAAACCGGAACTTTTTTACACCCCTAACGATCCCTTTTTTAAAAATATTACTAAACTACTCGCACTCTCGGTCTTTGTATTAACAGAAAAATCGAAAGAAATATGTTTTATTTCTTTAAATTGCCCTCATGTAAGCGGGTGGCCGAGTGGTTAAGATGTTAGGCTTCAACCGAGGCATTAATAATTTAAGTGAAAGTTCGCTTTCCTGTTATAGGACATTAAATTTTGATGTTTTTCTTTCCATAAATAACTTATTTTATAATTTTGATTTTGTTTTAAAAATTATTAAATTTTTACAAGGAGAAATTAGCACCTTTTTTCTCTCCAAAATTCTTAAAATTTCTCGTTTGACTAAAAAATGTTTAATTTTTTCGCTCATCCCTTCCGAATTTCTCAAAATTTAGCCTACGGCGCTGAAAAAGAAGAAATTTGGTTCTTTAGCCGTCCATAATTCTATAAATTTTCGCCTGCGGCGCTGTAAATAGAAATTGAATGTTACATCCTTGATAGGTAATATCGAGGGATTGAGTGGTGTAAGGAAAATATCAAAGATTGATATCTGGGGATTTGCAGTGAAATTGTGGATGTGGATCTATGGATCTGTTAGGATTAAGGATAATTCGAAGAAATTCTGGGATCAAAGGGGATATATAATTGGTAGGATATTGGGGATATCATGGGATTTGGGTAGTTCTGTTCGGGTTTTCGGTTCAGTTTTGGTTAACCGAAAGTTTCGATTCGGTTAGACGTTTCGGTTAACAGAAGGATTTGGTGAAACTGACAACCTTACTTAAAATACAAATTTTTTTTAATTTGCTAGAAAATTTTTTTAAAGTTCCGGTTCCGGTTCCGGTTCCGGGCCGGAACTTAGAAAAGTTCCGGTTCCGGTTCCGGGAACCGGAACTCAAATTGGATCCGGTTCCGGTTCCGGTTCCGGTCAAAATTTCGGTTCCGGTGAAACCCTAATTTATATATATTTTTTATTAAAGTCATTGCCCTACTCCATCATTTCTTTATTTAAATTTAACAATCTTTTCACAACAAAATATAATGGAAGATTTGCATTTCTCGATATTTTTCGTTTTATTGCTTTATGTTGGGTAGTTATTAACCACTTAGGAAGTGAAGGACGTCTTGATATTTTGAGAAGAGAGAAAAGTGGAGATTTATTTAAGCAAAATATACATGAACATCCAATATTTGGTCCATTACTTGGTCTGTTTTTGTTTGTTTGGTTTATTAATGCTGGAATATGTTAAAGCATCTGGGCTATATCCCTCCTTTACCTATTGCAAAAGGTTAATCGACGACTGGCGCGAACCAGCAACTTCAGTAGATGGTATCCATTACACACGCCGCCTACTGCATAGCCTTGGGAATTAAATATTTACCTATATGCTTTACATATGCTTATACTATGCTAATACTAGAATTTAGCTGATGAAACGATTCTCTTCTAATTTTAGCCTTTCTCTTCATAATTAAAAATTTTTATTTCTGATATATTTTTTAAAGGTAATTCAGCTCTCGGTGTTGAGATTTTTTTGTTCCTTTCTGGATTTCTCGCAGCTCGATCCTGGCAACGACATAGAAGTATTGACCGTCCATTTTGGTCAAATGCCTCTGGATTTTTGTTTCGACGTTGGTTGAGATTGGCCCCACCAACTTTAGCTTTTATATATATTGCAGCAGGCCCTCTGGGTAAATGGGCATTGCCACAGTGGGTTCTTCTGAAAAAAATTAAAAAAAAAATTTTTTTAAAGATTTTATCATTCAATGGTCTCAAACTGTTCATCTAAACAATTATTCTCACATGTTCTTTTTATAAATAATTTTTCGGAAATACCAACTTGTATGGGTTGGCTTTGGTATTTAGGCCTAGATTGGCAATGCTATTTATTAACTCCGTTTTTGTTATATTTACTTGAGAAAAGGCCTCGATTTGGAATTTCTTTATTGATAATAATGATTGGAGGTTCTATTTTTATTCGTGGATGGCATTGCCAAATAAATGGAATTTGTAATAATAGCGATGTTGATATTCCGGTGAGTGAGGAATATTTTAATATTGGTGAGGAAGTGCCGATAGGTGGTGGTAATGTTGATAAATTTTGAGTAAATTTGAAGTATCAATCAGAGGTGGGTCAGAATTTCGATTTGCGAAATTTTGGAAAATTCCCGATTTCCGACATTTGAGCCAGTTCCGATTTCCGGCTCTTCCGATTTCCAACAACTCTGACTGTTCCGACCCTCCTCTGGTATCAATACTGATTCACAAAAAAATTTTAGTAATGCTTAAGGGCTACTGGCTAAAAGTTTTGACACTAAAAGATGTAGAATAGTTTATTAGATTAGGAATATTAAGTTGGATGTTCAGTCGGATAAATAAACTACCTAATTTCCCCTCACTTTTTTTCTGAATAATTAAATTTTTTCCCCATTTTTCTATTAATTTCCCTGACTATTTTAAATATTTTATTTTTTTAAAGTTTGTTTATTTTCCCAACCTTTCCAATGATATTCTTCAAACTTATTCTTCGCTTTTTTCACTTTATGCTCGTCCAACAACAAAAATCGGTCCTTTCCTTATAGGACTAATTATGGGCTATTTTACAACATTAAAAGAAACTTTTCTATTAAAACCAAAAACTTCAAAATTCCTTTTCTTTGGAGGATTTTTATTATTATTTTTGACAATTTATGGAATTTTGCCCGAATATTGGTATCCGAACCAAGGGAATACTTTATACAATATCTTATATACTGCGACGTTTCGAACGATTTTTACTCTTGGGATTGCTTTTATTGTTATTTCTGTTCTTTATGGAGAAAGATCGAGGTAGAAGAAATTATTTTAGTAGAAGCAGGGGGTATTGGGATTGCTATACCCCCTCCTTCCCCTCTAGCAATAATTAGAATTTCAAAAGGCATTATAGAAATAAATACATACCACATATACTCCGTCAAATAATTACCCCACCTCTATTAGTTACCCCCTCCAGCAAAAGGTTGAAACAATAATTGCTTCCAAAAATTAATTATAATTAGCCTTCCTAAAATAACCTCTATTAATTACCCCCCCCTCTATCAATTACCCTATCCAGAGAGAGGTCGAAACAATAATTACCCAGGGTAGGTAATAGAATATATACGGCATTTATTTTGGTTCGATTTATAATAACAGAGCTCGAACTTTTCACCTTGCTGGCACGGTATCCGTTTTTTTCTTTCAAGTTGACCCGGCCGGATTTTCCGAGCTATAACCTCGAAAACCACGAAAACTCGAAAACCCGATCAAACTTATAACTCACACAAAAACCTGTTAAATATAGGCGATGTAATTGAACGGGATAATTTTTTACGGGGGGTTTGCTTTTATTTATCAGATTAATCATGGATTATCAAAAATTGAATTAATATTTAATTAAATTTTTTTAAATTTTCAGCCGCCCAATTTCACGTATTTGGTCTATATTTGCTCAATTAACATTTTCTGCATTTCTTGTACACATGCCTGTGGTATTTATTTTCAACTACATTTCAGCCTTCCAAAGAATTGAATCTGTTTATGGCCTTCTTTTAGCTTTTCCTTTTGCTTTGATTTTAACATTTTTTGTGGCTTTAATCTTCCATTGTTTTATTGAAAAACCTTTAGCAAAATTATTTTTAATTTAAATTTTTCATGTATTTCTCTTTTATTCTTCTCTAGATAGAAAATCTAAACTTTTATTTATACGTTATAAATATTGGAGATCGGTCTGGATTTTGTCAGTCTTGATTTTTCCTGGAGCCAGAATCCAGTCCAGGTCAATAAACTAAATCCAGAGTCCAGATCCAGACGATTTTTATGTCTGGAGGATTTAGAGGGATATCTAAGATTAAGGCGGATATCTGTAGATTTAGAAGGATATAATTAGATTTAGAAAAAAAAATCCAGAAATCAAGGCTGCATTCAGATTAAATAATCATGAATTTTTTCTGGATCTGGATTTTTCCTTGATTCAGATTAAGAATCCTGTCCAGGTTACTAACTTAAATCCCGATCCAGGATTTTTGAAAATATCGATCTCTATTAATCATTCAAAAAATTATATGTAATTTTTTGATGTAAATATATTTTAATTTTTAACAAACCTGTTTCTATTCTACAATTAATTAATAAAAAATTATTGGAGAAAAACTGTCCGTTTCCCTCCAACAAAATGTTGTAATAAAATAGGTTGTGTACTAAAAGTTAAAAATATAGGACAAATGCATGATCGATTTGGTTCTACCATTTTTTGTCATTTTATTAAAAAGCTTTAATTTTTCTAAATTTTATTTTGTATAATAAAATTAAACGAATAATTTAATTAAATTAATTTTTTTAATTAAATTTTTAAAATATAGTGTATTAAAAATTATAAAACCACCTACATAGTTTTTTTCTGATTTTTTAGTTTCAGGTTGTCCAATTAATCTGAAATTTTTATATGTATGAGATTTATATACACTATTGGATAATATATCCAAAAAATCTTTAAAAAATTTTCACTCGATCGATTTTTCGAAAATGGGTACCGTAAATTCTAAAATAATTACCCTCTCTCAAATAATTACCTCCTAGTTATTTTACTCAAACTTTAAAAATATTTAAAGAATTACTATCAAATTTAATTATTGGAGCATTTTACGACTCAATATCAAAAAATAAATCAATTTCTTCTCAATTGGATTGAGATATACCCTAAATCCAGCACATCCTCTCTAATAATTACCCCCTCCAGAGAGATATTGAAACAATAATTACCCAGGGTAATTATTTCACCAGTTACGGTACATTTAAACACGTTTTTATAATTTTTTTGATTTTTATTTAATATTTGCTCTAAAATTTGAATTTTATTTTATTAATAATAAAACTAAAAATAGAAAAAATATTAAAATAAAGTCTACCTTCTACTAAAAAAGTAAAAAGATAAGTAATTCTCTTTTTTAATCAATAATTTTTTTTAATTATTTTATTTCCGGGTTATTAAAATTTTTTTTCAAATTAAAATTTGAGAAAAAAAATATTTTTTAAAATTTTAATTTTTGCCTTTTTAAAAAAATTTAAAATGGATATACAAAAGAAAAATAATAAAGAAATAATCGATGATGAGGGGGAGAATGGAGGTGGGTTTTCTAATGTAGATGACAAATCTGAAGAGAATTTATTTGAAGAAAATGATTGTGAACAATTATATTGGAAACGATTTAAAAAATGGTTTTTAAATTTTTAAAAAATATTAAAATAAAAATATTAAAAGGATGCATTGTTTTTGTGTTGTTACGTTTGATTTGGAACTTGGACAGACAATTGAAGTTTTTATTCTTTTTATAAAATTTATCTTAACAAAATTTTTGGAAAGGACTTAAAATACCGTATATCCTTTAATAACTACCCTGGGTAATTAATGTTTCGACCTTCCACTTGAAGTAGTGGTTAATTTAGGGAGGGTAATTATACGAGTTTGAAATTCAAACGTGTTTTAGGGCAGCTGTTTGGGGGTAATTATTGTTTCAATCTATCGCTGGATGGGGTAATTAATGAAGCGGGGTAATTATTTGAGAGGGGCTATTAATATTTATATAAATTTTCCATTTTAATTTTCTTCAATCCAGCTTGGGGATATTTTTGATATTAATTAGTTTAGAGATACCCAAATATATTAAATTAAAACCTAAAATCCTTAATAGAATGTTATCTGACTAATAATGTTTGATAATTTTAAAAGAATTTTTGAAAAATATTTTGGATAAATAAACAATATTTTGATAAGACTAGGTAAGGGACATGGATTTTGGTATCCGTATCCGAATATTTACGGTGGATATGTATCCAAATCCGTATCCATTACCAAGTCTGATTTTTATAATTTATTCTAAATTATCTTAAAATTTAAAAAAAGGTAGTCTATCCTGGCTCCGCTTATTTATCGCCCATTGAACGTTCTGACATTTGTTATCTATCATTTCCCGATTCAAATTCATCCTCAACAAATATTAATAATTCATGTTCTTCCTCTACCCCCTCAATATTTATGAATGGAAAAATTAATAGAAAAATGTCTTCAGATGGAAGGTTTTGGAAATAAAAATATTTTAAAAAATTATAAATATTTTGTAGTTATATAGATTCTTCACATCATTTTAGAATTAAGAGGAATGGGGAAATAAATGAAGATAATGAAAAACGGTTTTTATGAAAAAAATGAATAATTTAAAAAATTATTTTTTTTAAGTTTTGATTCATTTACCCAAAAACTTCCACCTTCTCTTAGGCCTGATAAACAATATCTTTATGGATTTGCTTATTTCAGACGTCAACGAGATTCTAGTTTACATAGAGGGTATTCTCAAAAGGTTATTAATTTTGTTTCATAAAAAGTTTGATAAATTAAAATATTTGAAGCTTAATAATAATAAATACTTGCGACGCAAAATTATTAGAGATCGGACCAAACAAATATTTGACGTTGGAAAATAAAATATTTGATCAAATTTTGTTTGATTTTATTTGATCAAATATTTGTTTGATAAGTTTTGAAGAAAATCAAATTTTTTCAAATACTTTCAAATATCAAATAGTTTGATTTGACATTTGATTTTGCTGTTTGTCCGATCTCAAAAAATTATGCGTCTACAGCCTATTCAAGAATTTTTTAACAACATTTTCAACAGCCCCATAAATACTCGTTAAGGTCGCTTCGGAAGATTAACAGCATGTGTTTCTCTATGATATTTTTCCGAAAAATAATAATATTGCTATCTTGTAGCAAATTTCAATTTCAAAAATAAAAAATAAAAATAACCCATAATGGGTCGAAAATATTTTTAAGAGCCATTCCCAGTTTTTTCTCGATTTTGGGTAAAGATACGGGCCAAGTTCTTAAGTTTCTAAGACCAACATTAATATAAATCTATTTTTAGAGTATTGTCCTAATCAGTCATTTACCTTTTGTTGCACTTTTTTCACGTATTTTGAGTGAAGTTGCTTTAGCATTTTTTACAGCAGGTGAAAGTGCCATAGAAACTGGTTAATTATTAATATATCCTGGTTTATAATCTCGTAATTTAAAGCTTGTCGTCAAATAGGCCAACATTGGCCATCACCAAAAGCTGGGGGAGATAGACTCCTTTCTTTACCACTTTTTGGTCTTCGCTTCTGTTGTTCAATCCCCGCAGATTTACATAAAAATGAGTCTGAATTAGACCCCGGAACCAATTTTATTGAACAAAATGGAAATCAATTGCCTTTTAATTTAAAACAACAATCCTTAGAAGATGAGGATTGTAATGGATTTGAGGTAGTTAATTGAAATTATTTTATTTTGTTCCTTAATTTAGTAAAAATATATTTGGTTATTTATTAGATTTTTAGATAAGATTAACGTTGTTATTAATTTCAAACTGAAAGGGATCTCTTTTATTCTATTAGGATCTCTTTTATTCTATAACTCTTTTATTATAGATAGGATCTCTTTTATTCTATAACTTTAGGAATATAACCCGTATATGGCTAAACCTGGTATTAAAATGAAGAGCAGATTCGTATCTTTATGTTTATAAATAATGAAAAAGAAAATTTATAAAGTAACCCCTAAAAATTCAATCTAAAAAAACGGCCACTAATTATGTCCGCACCTAATAATAAGTCAGCGTTTGGTTAATAGATCTGGTTAGTTTAAAAACCAAAAGGAAAGCTTATATGTATGTATTAGATTAATAAAATAATTATTTTATTTTGAATACTTTATGAGTTCCCGTCCCTGAAAGTCGGGGAATTTGAGAGATTTTTTGAAAATTCCCCGTCCCCCTTCCCCGCCCTCCCCCTCGAGGTGCTGCTTCCCAGAAAATTGTTCCCCGTGCCCCCTCCCCCTCCCCTCTCCCCTGTCAGGGAACTCTAATAGTTACCTATTTTTAAAATACTTTTAATTTTTGATATTTAATAAACATATATATTTTATATAGTTCATTGATATTCGCTGCAATGTTGTCCTTTTAGACTCCATATCAGAACCAGACCAACATTTTCATATGTATTTAATTTAATTAAAATTTATCAACTTTTAATAAAATTTTTAGCGGAATAAAAAGACTCCTTCCTCATTTACATCTTTTATGGGAATTAATATTACTTGGAGAGGTTTCTCTTTAAAATTAAAATCATTTTTAAATTCAATTTTTAAGCCCTTACTTGTTTGTGCCCCAAATGCCTCATTATGTTCTTCAATTGTTCATTCATTAATTTCTTTAATTTCTCCTTTGAAATATGAACCTGATTATAGGCCATATTTTACAATTCATGATTCCGATTTTAATGATATTTTAAATTCAAAACAGAATTGGTTAGAAAATTTAAAATTTGGGTACTTTTCCGTTATACGACCGCAAACTGAGTGCCACCCGATTTTGATCGGCTCTAACTTCTTAATGCTTGATCCTATACAAATGAATTTTATATCGATCGAAAGCCCCAGATAACTTGTATATTTTTTCTAATAGGATAGATCAAATCTGATCAGTCATTAAAAAGTTATAACCCTATAAGTCCAGTTATTTGATGTTTTTCAGGTTTATCGGGTTATAACTTTTTAATGGGTGATCAGACCTGATCCATCAAGTTGGAAAAAAGATACCTCTTATCGAAGGCTTACGAATGATATAAAATTAATTTGTCAAGCATCAAGAAGGTATAACCGATCAAATTCTGTTGGCACTCAGTTTGCGGTCGATTAACGGAAAAGTACCAAAATTCGTAATTGATACTTATTTTTTGTAGTCGTTGGAATAATATTTGTGTTATCGGTGTAAGCAACCCATTTTTTCTTAAAGTACTCAATTATTGGCCGAATATATTAAAAATTGGTGTTGCTAAAGTAAATTAATTAAATATATATAATCTTAAAAAAAATAATTTTTAAAGCCTTCTAAACGTGAAAGGAGTGAATCTCGTCTTGTTAGACAACTTAAAACACAAGCAGCAGCTCAATTCGTTTTGGGAACTCTTAAACGTTGTGGGACAACAGCAAAAGAGCTTACACATTTAGGGATTGATGTTGATGAGGAAGATGGGGATGGGGAGGAATGGCAAAGGAAATTAATTAAGTAATTAATTAGTTGTTTCGATTAATAAGTTTAGAAATTTAGGAGGGTTTTAAAGGGAAAAGATGCCCAAAGTATAGATAAAGCGAATGATTTAGGGCCTTGAGGAATGAAGTGGAAGGACGGTTTTTCAAATTCAGCTAAATGTTTAAAACGGGATTAAGCAGTTAGGTCAACTAACCTTGGAGGTCAACTCCAAATATAAGTGTGGATAAAGGAGAATTTTTCGGGATTAAGAAGGACTTGTTGGGGTAATGAGTAGGAATTCTTCCTGAATTCTTCCTAGGAATTCTTCTCTCATGCAAATGTCAGTTAAGTCAAAAGGGAACAGGCTAACTATTCTTAATCTTGAGTCCCATTTATCCGTCCAGATATTTGGCTACCTCGAGGATGTTGTCCATTAGAGAGTTGATCACTAGGTAATTAACCCGATGGTAACGATATTTTAAAGCATATTTTCTAATTTAAAATTAAAATAAATTTAAAGACGTCTCTCTGACCGATCTCAATTGGAAAAACGTTCTGGAGGTTTCTTCACTTCTCATAAACAATTTCTTGCTCAAGACAAAACTTTAACTCGACGTCTTCTTCACTCCCCTTCAGATTCTAGTTCTCAATTTAAAATTCTTAGAAAATATTTTCTCGAACTAACACAAAGCTTTATGAGTCCACTAGAAAGGTTAAAACAACAATTTTTATCAAAAATTAATTAAATATTTAAGTTATATCGCAACATTAATGCCTCTTAAACGAGAGATTTGTCCATTTCAGACGGTCCCACAAATGAGGCCGTTTTCTCTCGAGCAATTTCTTACCTCTCTAAAACATTTTGGCCATCCAGGAATTAAAGGGGATTGGCAATGTAATTATAAAAATAATTAAAAAATATTTTTATTTTTCAATTTTAAAGCATTATATCGCCAATATGTTACACATTCCCCCAATTTTATCGGTTGGCTTCGACGCCGGCAAACCGATATTGAACGCCAAATTAGATTGGAACATATGGAAGCAATTTGTAATTCTAATTTTTCTTCTCAAATATTGGCTGAAAGAAGTCAAGTTTGTGTTTTTGGGAATTTAAAAAAATTTAAAAAATTTATTTGAGGTAGAAATTGTTGATCTCTTAATGAAATTAGCTAATCGAATTGTTGAATTAAATGAGAGAAAACTTAAATCAAAACAAAGAAGGAATAAAAATGGAGAAATTTTGGATAGATTTCTGACGAATTCTTCAACATTTTCTGTTAAGATTATTTTTAATTTAATTCTAATAATTTACGTATGTGTCTGAATCTCTGGCCCGTAACTAGGGAGGCAGGGGCAGAAAAAACTACTTGAGGGAGAAAAGACTAGTTTTTTCTGCTTGCATATAAAATTGAGATCTTATATTACAATTTAAAAAATTTCCCTTCTAAAGAAACTAATTAATTACCGTATAACCTGTATTAATTGCCCTCCATCAAATAATTACCCCACATCTATTAACTACCCCATCCATCGATAGATTGCAATGATAATTACACCCTCCCCTATCAAATACTCTAAAACACGTTCAAATCATATAATTACCCTCCTCAATTAATTACTCCCTCCAGCGGTATGTCGAAACAATAATTACCCAGTGTAATTTTTCAAAGTTTTACTGTAATTGTTAAATTATTCCCTCCCTAAAATTTTCTTTTATATTTTAAATTTAATTAAAAAACAGAAACAATTGGAACGTCAACATTTACAATTACAACATCAACTACAAAGTATACTTTCATCTGTTGATGATGAGTTAAAAGTTGTTCTCCTATCAAATCCAACATTTAGAAATGTTTCTGAGAAGGGAAATATTGAATAAAATGCCCGGAAATTTACTAACTACAACAATTCTGAAATTTTATTTTAATTTTTAAATCTCTTCTTAATATTTTTATGTAAATACATGTATGTATTATTTTTTCTTTTTTATCTTCTTTTGTAAATTTTGTTTTATATCAATTTTGGATTATGTATAAATTTAAAGTTTCTCTTTCCTATATTTTAATACGAAAATTACCCCAAAAAATATCAGGTCCTTAATTTGGAAACAAGAACTCGTGTCGAATCTGAAAGATCCAGGAGTATCTTGACCTGAATTTCTCTTAGACTATAAATCCATAATCTTGACCTCAATTAAAACATGTTATTATTAGGTATTTTAATTATTAGGTATTAAAGTTAAGGTATTTTACTTATTATAAAGTCAAGTTTTGTTAAATTTTATAAAGTGAACTAAAACCAGATGAAAAAGTAGTAGCTAAGCCAGTATTATTAAAAATATTAATTCAACGGAAGTAGACGTGTAAATAATTATTATATTGATTATACATACATATATAATTATTCACAGCCCTCTATTAAGAAATCTGTTTTTTAATTTTTAAAATTCTTATACATACATTCATTTTTTTATTATAAATTTATCTTCTTAATTTTATTTTAATTAAAATAATTTTAAATTCTTTAAATTATTTTTTGTATTTGCATGAAAGAAAAAGACTTTCATAAAGGATCAGTTTAGTTATTCTTTAGTCGAACGGTCTTTCACCTACCAACCCCTTCAGCAGTTTTCCTTGCATGAAACCTTTTAATCTAAAGTCATTACCGGTGATTCAATCTCGTCGTCTAGATATACAGATTTCCTATGACAACACGAAATCTCTATGTCCTGGCCAGGCATAAAAGTTTCATTCCATCAAATGCTTCTGATCGACAATCTATTACATCCTTATTATTAATATTTTTTGTTTAATTTTTAGTTATTTAACAATGAAATTAACCAATTTTTTCACAAAATCTTTATTATTTTTAATTATTATATTCTTATCTGAAATTAATGGAATGAAAAATAATTCAAACAATTCCCTAAAAAAGAGATCAAAACATACAAAAGAAAATTTTGTTTTTAAAAAATTGAATTTCGAAGGTTCGAGTGTTCAAAATTCAGAAAGTAAATTTTAAAATTTTAAAGTTTAAAATAATTTTATTTGAAAAAATAAAAATAAAATTTAAACTTAATAAATTACATTATTACTAATTTGAATATTTTATTTAAAAAATAAATATGTAAATATTATCAAAATTTAGAAAATGAAACAATAGATTTGTTGAGTAAAGTTAAAGGAGAAAAAGAATATTGTGATTGGGATAAAAGAAAGTTATATCCGTATAAGAATGAAGAAAATGATTTGTTAAATTTGTTGGCTGATACGGCTATCGAGAATGAGAATGGTGAATCCAGCAACTAAGAGGAATTTATACAGAAAATCGAAAACAATCTACACGATTTATAAAAAATTTTTCAATGATTTGATTATTGACATAGCTTTATACAAGTTCCTCGTTGAGTAAACATGTTTTTATTTCTTTTCAAACAACAAACATATAATTTTTGTCATCTTTTTATTAACGTAGATTGTTATATAAAACAATTAATTTTTAGCTTACAAATACTTTTGTCGCTAAACTAATTTTTAAATTAATCATATCAAACTAGAAAATATTTTTAGATTAGAAAATTCATTACAAGCCATTTTACAATGTCATCCGTGTCAAGAATTTTGTAGTATTTTTACTCGGTTCCTATTGTTATTGAACCTTTACTATGAATTGGAAAGATTGAATAAAAGAGTGGAGTTTATGACTAACTTTTAATCAACAAATTTATCTCCAATATCTAAAAACCCCAACATAAAATAGCAAAAAAATCTCCAAAAATATTTCAAAGTTCTGTCTTTTTATCCAAAGAATCAACTTTATTATCTTCCAAACCCTCTTCAATAATTTCATCTTCTTTTGAAGCACTACATTGTTCATCCTTTTTGGAGCACTTAACAAAGTCTTCAGATTTTTTCAAGTTTTTCGAATCGTTCAAAGTATTTCCTTCAAAAATAAATATTTTAAATAGGGAGCGAGCTGGATCTGGATCCAGCCCTTGATTCTTCTTGGATCCAGAGTCCAGATCAAGGCATTTTTCAGAGTTCCTTGATTTTTCCTTGACCCAAGGTCAAGAATCTGGTCAAGGTACCCAACCGAAATCAAGGTCAAGGATCAAGGTCAAGGTTTTTTAAAAATCTCGCTATCTAATTCTAAGCTGATTTTAATTTATTAAATTAAAAATTACATAAATTTTAATTACCTTCATTTTCGTTAATTTTATTTTTCTCATCTTGGTTTTTATCGTTAACTTTTTCTTTTAAATTGTTTTCAACTTTACCATTTTTCTCATTTTGATTTTCTGATTTATCTTTTTCCATTTTTTCATTACCCATTTCCCTAACACTTTCTTCTACCTTCGTGTCCGGAAATTTGGGGAGTGGACATTTGGGGAGTGGGAATTTGGGGAGTGAGCGGACATTTGGGGAGTGGACAATTGGGGAGTAGACATTTGTGGAGTGAGGATTAAAAAAATAATTTAAAAATAGATTTTTTGGACAATAAAAATAATTTATACACTCATGAAGGTGTTTTTGTGGATTTCAAAGATTTTAAGGATATTTTGATGTCTGTAACATCTGTAACATCTTCATTCTGTAACACACTGCTGTTGAGCGTGTGAGCGTGTTGTGTATTTCGGTTTAGTACACCAATAAAAGTAGGGTAGCACCTACCCTTCGGGGGCGGGTGTGTCGGGGATCGTGGTTTGCCGGGGAAGGCATGTCAAGGAATTTTACCCTTTGAAACTCCACAAAAACACCTTCATGAGTGTATAAATTATTTTTATTGTCCAAAAAATCTATTTTTAAATTATTTTTTTAATCCTCACTCCCCAAATGTCTACTCCCCAATTGTCCACTCCCCAAATGTCCGCTCACTCCCCAAATTTCCACTCCCCAAATGTCCACTCCCCAAATCTCCGTGAGCCTCTACCTTATATTAAATAATAATTAATTCCTCTAGTTTATAGAATTTATTTTAGTAAATATTTTAATAAAAAGGTCTTTGACAAAAAATTTTTTATTGAGGCATTCCCGCCCAGAAATTACACAGAAAAGATCGTATAGGATTGACCTGAGAATTGTGTTGTTATACGCCCAAACCTCCCATCTACCCTTCAAGAATATTAGCATCGAAATATTCTCTATAAAATTCAAACTAATAATTATTTAACAAAAAGGGGAGAATAATTTTAAAATTAATGTTAAAATATACCAAACGATCAACAATTTCTTTCTCATCCAATTCCTCATCATCATCATCCAAATTAGGCATTCTACCCAAAAAATCAAACAATTCACGTTGTGCTTCAAATTCATCATCATCAATCTCTCCATCCTTGTTTGTGTCAATTCCTTTAAATATTTCTAGGTTTGGCATTGAATTGGGGGAAAAATCATCATCCGTATCCTTTCCTTTACCTCCACGCATTCCTTTCATTTTTTCATTGAGAAATTTACCGAATTCAATGGGGTTAAGACGTTCATTCTAAATTTAAAGAATGTTCAGAGTTAATAATTGAATTTATTTAATTTTAATCTAGCATTTTAATTATTACATTTCTTTAATTTAACATGTCTTTTAACATGTCTATTTATTTTCAATTGACAGCTCTAAATATGCTTACCGGAATTTTCGTAGATTTTTCGAACGGCCACTAATGCCGAAGCTTAAGGGGTTATTATAATTCTCTGACAGTCGTTTTTTAGGAAACATCAGTTATATCCCCTATATACATAAATAATTTATATCTGATTGGTTTTTTCTTTTGAATATGAATTAGTAATTCGTAAAAATATTTAAAATTATGATATTCTGAATTTAATTGTTTTTTACTTAAAACTTCGAAATGCGTATCATTTTCTGAAGAGTGTATACCCTCGGTTTTCTTTCAAAATCTAAAATAATATAAGAAGGTTTTTCTGGAATGACAAGGTTTTTCTGGAATCTCAGAGAGCTGTGAACAAATTAAAAAAAGAATTATTAATTTTTGTTGAGCTTGAAACGAGATATGGCCAAAATAAAATAATTATTACTGCCTTAACTAATTTATTTTTAATTATTAAAAATATCTACATTATCCTCATCGTATTTCTCAAAAAGTTCGTCTTGTCCTTGGACACACGTTAATATAATAAAGAAAATGTTTAGAAATAAATACATTTTCTCCTAAAATTTAACAAAAGTTTAATTATTATTGCTTTAATTTCAACAAATATTTTTTAATATTAAGAAATTAAAAACTTAAAAATATAAAGAGGCAATAGCCATTAAAATATTTATTTTAAATTTTGCCGAATATTAAAATTGATTTTCTTTTTTAACAAATAAAAGTGCAACCACGAGGGGGCCCTTTAAAATTTAAATTTAAATGGCGCGTGAAATCGCGCAACATCATTTGAAGCGCATCAAATGATATACACGTGGAATTTCAATTCCTCTCATCTGACATGCGTCAAAATTTTGAGGGGAAAGAAAAGTCTGGAAAATGCTAGACAATAATAGAGAATTGTTAAATGCTTTAAAAAAATATTTTTCCTCGCCGTTTAAGTTTTGTAAGGAGATTCACCTAGAATATTTAAAACGCTTAGGCGGGGGTTAAACAATCTAAAAGGATTAAGGAGAAAGAATTATTCGATGCCCCAGTATCTCATTCAATGCTCCTGGCGCCTATATGTATGTGGTGAGCGAAAGCGCCTAGCAATAACTGTCAGGAGGTCGCAGGTTCAATCCTGCCCGATGGCAAAACTTTTGCTAGACTTTCTGTTTAAAAATGTGGTATTAGGGAAAACTTGCTGGAATAGATTGAGTTTCTTAAATAAAAAGCTGAGGCTATAACATAAATGCTCTAATAGAACCATGTATGCTTCTATTTTCCAACTCCTTCTTAGGGTGTGCTTGTATTAGAGAGTGTGCTTCTGATAGGGATTGCGGATTTATTATTGCACTTACGGTATTTTACTTCATAAATATTGAAAAGAAAACTTTAATTTTTGTCTTCGATGGACGGTAGCTAGAAGCATATGCCACAATTCGGATTTGGCAAACAATTGAAGTCTATAAGGGTAAAATATTCAAGTCGAGGGGGGGGGGGTGAACAGACAAATCAATTATCGAAAATTGATTTTAGCGAGAATAATGCCATCGTTAATAGCTGTAGGGGAGAGAGAAAGAGATAAATTTTTTATTAAATTCTATGGCAGCTATTGTATAGGTTTTTTTAAAAACTACCCTAAGAAGAAATTCTTAGATTTTTTAAATTAATGTTAAAGCTCTGATTCTATAATTAAAAATAAATTTATAATTTTTTATTTTTAATTAGAAGACATTTACAATTCTTAAGCATTGTTTTTCTAATTCAAAATGATCATTCGATCATTGCTGATCACCATACTATTATTTAAACTCTTTGTGGATTCGAATGTTTGTTTTATTAAATAAAAATAATTAATTAATATAATTAAAAAATTAATTTAATTTAGGAAGGAATATCCCAAGCAGACGGAAAACCCTTAGCTGTCCATCTCTCTCTTGCTCGTCAAACAGAAATTCAAAATAATGAAAAAGAAATAAAAATTTTAAAAAATTCTAAAATAAACTTTAATTCACTTATTAAAAAAATAAAAGTTATTTTAGAGAAAATGGAAGAATTTGTAAAAAGTAATGAAAAACCTGAAAATCTTCCATTGAAGTTTGAAATGGAAATGGAAAAATTTTTAGTTGATCAAGCAAAAATTAAATTGGTAAAAACTTTAATAGAAAAAATGAAGGAGTTTAGAAAAAACGGAGTTGTGAATATTCCGGAAGAAATTGGTGAACTTACTTGTGACACGAACCAATTGGTTTGTTGTTTTATTTTAATATAAGGTGGTCCTCGTCCCCCGAAATCCCAAGTTAGACGATTTGGCAAAACTGACCCGAACCTCGAAGGCTCCACCGACAAACCCCGAGACTCCCTACCCCAAAGGGTCCATTCTACCCTATTTTAATATATCCGAAAAGTTCTCAGAATGTTTGTATTATTGTTGGGATTAAATGTTGAGTATCATCTTTAATGTTATAATTTAAAAATTTATTTTAATTTCAAAAATAGGAAAGCATTGGAAAACAAATAGAAAACAACAAAAACATCAAAAGAGAAACAAAATATTATCTTTTAAAGAATTATAATTTTTATTCGGATACAATAAATACTTTTTTTACCAAAATAAAAATTATTTTATTAACCTTGAAACAATTAAATGAATTAAAGAATTTGGACATTGTCTTAAAAATGAATAAGAAAAATATAGAAAATATTGTTTGGAATGAAGTTATTAGTGGAATAGATGGAAAACGTGGAACTGAATTTAAAGTTTTGTAAGTTACTTAGAAGTTGTAAGAAAAAGTAAAGCAGTTGGGCTATAGCTATTTCTCTCCTTTAGGTAGTGCAAAAGGTTAATCGGCGGCTGGGAGCGAACCAGCATCTTCAGTAGACCGGACTGATGTGTTAGCCATTACACCGCGCCACCTAATGCACAGCCTTAGGAGTTAAATAGCTATATATGCTTTACAAAAATTTATTAAAAATTAATTTTTATTTAGAGTTAACAAAGGAAAACGAGAAATAGAGGAAATTTGTGAATGTAATTTTAAAAAGATTTTAAGAGAATATAATGAGATTAACATTGAAGAAATCCCAAAAAATAATTACGAAAGTACTGATGAATTAAAAATTAAAATTCTATTAAGAGAAGTTTACAAAATAATTAATATAAAAGAAAATGAATGGAAAATTTTAAAAGTAATTTTAAAAATAAATTTAAATTAGTTTAAAATTTTTAATTTAAAATTATTTAAATTTTTTAAGAAAAGTTATAAAAAAATGTCAAAATTATTACAATTAAATTATTTGGCAAATTTGTTTTATAAATTAATTGAATGGATGTCGTCAACTTTAAGTTTGGATATTAAAGGAATTATTAACTCTCAACAGGAAGTAATTAGTTTAAGTAAGCCAAAAACAAAACAAATTAGAACTCTTGGATCGCTTATTAAACAAGAACATGATTTAAACAAAGGTATTATTAGTAATATATATTATCTAAATGATTTAAAGAATATCCTCTGCTCAAAAGACAAATTTTTAATTTGATAAGTTTTTAGTCTCCCGCCCTCCACATTTGAGCAAACAAAGGATCCTCCCTGCTATGGACTTAAAATGAGTGATAACATCCCGAATCAACCTAGATCAGAGTTGCGATTAAGACACAACTCTGAGCCAGAAGTTGAGCCATAATATCAGATAATCTGACTCAATTTTAATTTTTATTTAAAAATATTATCCGCTCGTGTTGTCGTTTTGCTTATCGTCTTCGGCAAATTAAACACCAGGTATGGACCTAAAATTCGTGATAAAATCCAGAATCCTTCCAAATGTTGATAAATAGTATAAAATTATCTATTTGAATTATAAATAATCAAATAATATTTAATAAATTTTTCTAAAAAATATATTATAAAATAAAATATTAGCAACAACACCTACCAAAAAACTCTTATTTATTTGGACAATTGCCGAGGATGTTTTTAAAAAATTAGAATATGAAAATGGAAAATTTGAATTTAGAGATGATTTAGAAACAAATGAAAAAGAAAATGAATTAAAAATATTTCCTTGTTGGAGTTATGAAGATGAGGAATTTTGTTTTGAAACAATCGAAATTATTAAAAAATTGTTAAAAATATATGAAAATATTAAAGAATTATATGGATTAGAATATTTTGTTGGAGGTAAGGGGAAGATGTTGATGGAAATTAAAGGAGAAATTACAGAAAAAATGAATTCAGAAGAAATACTTCCTTTAGATTTGGAGATGTATATTATTGAATATTTTGGTGGAGAACACGAACCCTAAAATGTAGTGGATATTTTAGAATTCATTTAAAACATATGTATATACTTTTTAAAATTTATCATCTGGTTCTAAGAAAATGAATCCAACAATTTATACCTAACTATAAACTAACATTTCTAACTTTTAATTATCGAAATGTACATTTATTAAAGTATTTAAAAACCGAACCCTAAAATGTATGTATTAAAAATATTTTCAACTGTATAAAAAATGCCCGTTGATATTTTTATTTCTATTATCGTTTACTTTATTTATTCATGATTATTTTTATTAATTTATTATTTGTAAATATTACATACATATGTAAATAAACTATTTTTCATTTTTTGTTTCCAATAATACCGTGAGATTTGCGCAGCCAATTAAATATTTTAAAAATATAAGAATAATTAAAGTCGGACCTCAATATAATGTAACTAACTCTTGGGGCTTAAAAAATGAGATATGGGAACTTAAAAAAGTCCGGGAACTAAAAGGGGTCAATCTGATTTTAGTATACACCTTATTTAATGTCCATTCTAGAAATTTTACGATATTTTCAGACCCAGGAGTTTTTGATAAATTTTGAATTGACGTCGTAATTGTCGTATCTGTCAATAAACCCGTCTAAAGCCTATTCTTTTTTATAAACGAATAAAAATTTATTTTTTATTCATTAAAGGTTAAAGGGCAAATAAAAATTTATTTATTTTAAATTTTGCGCAAAGCGGCATTAATTAAAGGCAGTCACGAGTGCCACGAGCATTGATTTGTTTATTAAAATTCATATGACGGAAATGCTTTAAAGGAAAAAGGGCAATTTGGCAATTTAAAAAAAGGAGGAGGGGGGGGGGGGGGGGGGAAGAAAACACATGAATTAAAACACAAAATAAAAATTAAAGAGAAAAATATATTTTTTCATTTAAAAAATTTTTAAATAAAAAAATATTTTAAAAATTTAAATTAAATTAAAATTATTCATTTTAAAGAGAATTTTTTATTTAATTTTCTACACCCAATTTTAAAATGATTATTCGATCATTTTTAATTCTTCTTGTAATTTTTAAATTCTTTGCGGATTCAAATGTTTGTTTTTAAATTTAAAAAAAATTAATTTAATTAAATTTAGAATGGATTAATTAATTCAACTAAAGAAGAAAAGACGTTATTTTCACTAATTTCTGGTGAACGTAAAATGAGAAGCAAAAATGAAATTAAAATTAATTTTAATTTAATTATTCAAAATATTAAAGATTTTACAAATAAAATAAATAAATTTGTAAAAATATATAAAAATAATAAAACTAAAGAAATTATGGAATTAAATATCTCCATGGAATTGGAAGAATTTAAAAATGATAAAATAAACATTAATTCTTTAATTAAAGAAATGGAAAAAAATGAAATAAATATAATTGGGGATATTTTGGAAATAATTGTTAAAATTATTTATGACGAGAAAAAAATGGTTGTTATTTGATTATATATTAAGTTTAAAATTAAAATAAAATTTTTAAAAAATGATTAATGTTTACCAAAATATAGTAAAATTTAATTAACGCAAAAATATCCTAATATGTGGGGAAAATAATGGATCTGGCCCCTTGGCCTGAAAAAATGATCAAAATTTTAATCTAACCAATATTCTGCCATGTTGGAGCGGCTTCATAAAACTTCGACTACGGACTGGAGTCCAGATTTGAATAAGGTCGGAGTCGAAGCCAGAAGTCAACTTAAAAAACTTTTAAGTCAAAAACAAGAGTTTAAAGACCACAATTGTAGATTGTCTAAACTTTTATTTTCACAATTATATATTTATATTAATTTTATTTTAATTTTTTAAAAACAGGAAAAATTTTTTAATGAAATAAAGCAAACAAAAAACCAAAAACACAAGGAAATCCTTCAAGAAGTTTATAATTTCCGTTTGGAAATGAACAAGTTTTTTGGCAAAATTAAAATAATTTTATTTAATTTGAATGAATTAAATATAATTAAAGAAGAAAATAATTTTAAAGAAATAGAAATAAATAAAAAATATATCGAGGAAGAATTTGTTAATAAAAATAAATTTATTTTGAATAAATTTAAAGAAGTGTAAGTTTAAAAAATAATTTTTAATTTAAATATATATATTAAATATATAAATAAAAAAAATAAATAAATTAAAATTAATTTCTTAAAATTTATTTTAAAGAATTAAAGAGCAAAAACAAATGTTATTGAAATTACAAAATTGTCAAAAAAATTGTGAAATAAAAACAAAGAAAAATTTTAAAAAATATTTATTGAAAATACTTTCAAATGAAAATAAATATTTAAATAAAAAATTTGAAAATTGTAAAAATAATGATGAGTTAATTTGTAATCAATTGGTAGGAAAAAGCAAAATTGAAAATCTTGATAAGGATAATGAATGGAAAACCTTGAAGGTTTTTTAAATTTTTTTAAAATAATTTTTGAAATATTTTCTGCGGAAATAAGCTTAGAACTGAAATAATTTTAAGTAAAGCTAAGCTGTCAATCAAACCTCATTTTTGAAAACTTTTTTATGCCTTATGAGAGTTAGTTAGCCCGGACTATAACCCGAACGGTATCGTACTGCCGACTGTATTTTTCAGTTACCATAAATTATCAATATCGCTTAGGCAACTCTTTACACACAGTGGGCAGAATAATTTTTTATTTAAGCAAACACCTCCTAAAATTTTTAATTTAAAAATAATTATTATATTTTTTAAGAAAAAATATAAAAAAATGTCAAAATTATTACAATTAAATTATCAGGCAAATTTGTTTTATAAATTAATTGAATGGATGTTGTCAACTTTAAGTTTGGATATTAAAGGAATTATTAACTCTCAACAGGAAGTAATTAGTTTAAGGACATCTTTTAGTGAAATGGATACGAGTGATGATGAAAATGAAAAGCTGAAAACAAAAGAAATAACAACATTTGGATCCCTTATTACACAAAAGCTTTATTTAAACAAAGGTATCATTACTTTTCTTTCCTCCATATTAATGATAAAATCCAGAATTTAAATCCGGAATACTTAATGCAATAATTAGATATAGATTTAACCCGATTATAAGTACCGTAAAGACTATTAATTACCTGGGTAGTTATTGTTTCGATCTCTCGCTGGAGGGGGTAAATAATGGAAGTGAGGTAATTATTTGAGGGAGGGTAAAAAATACAGTATGCCGTAAATGCTGAAATAATTACCCTCTCTCAAATAATTACCCACTCTAATAATTACCCCCTCGTTATTTTACTAAAACTTTAAAAATATTTAAAGAATTAATATTAAATTTAATTATTGGAACATTTTAAGATTCAATATCAAAAAATAAATAAATTTCGCCTCAATTGGACTGAGATATACCCTAAATCCAGCATATCCTCCCTAATAATTACCCCCTCCAGCGAGAGGTTGAAACAATAATTACCCAGGGTAATTATTAAAGCATTTACGGTATACATAATTATATTTATTTAACCTAATAATTTTTTGATATTTTAGAGAATGTTCAGTCTAAAATTACAAAAGAAAATGAAATATTAACAAAAACCCCAACAGAAAAACTTTTATTTATTTTGACAATTGCCGAGGAAGTTTTTAAAAAATTAGAATATGAAAATGGAAAACTTGAACTTAAAAAAGATTTAGAAATGGAAGAAGATGAAAACGAATTAAAAATATTTCCTTGTTGGAGTTATGAAAATGAGAAATTTTGCTTTGAAACAATTGAAATTATTAAAAAATTATTAAAAATTTATGAAACTATTAAAGAATTATATGGATTAGAATATTTTGTTGAAAAATACAAAGAAATGATAACTGAAATTAAAAAAGAAATGGATTCAGAAGAAATACTTCCTTCGGATTTGGAGATGTATATTATTAACTATTTTGGTGAAAAATAGATATTTGGATATAGAAGAATTAAGAGCTAAATTATTGCTTTTCTTATTAAAAGCTTGTCTAACTTGTCCAGATTGTAAATTTTTTGTTTATATTTTTAAACAAATTTGTATATTCCTCTATTGGGTCTTAGGTATTTTTTATTATATGTATAATTTTTTATAAATTCATTCAACCTCATGAAAAAGCTTGTAAAAATTACTAAAAATTTAGTTGGTTTATTCTAATCATAGACATTTTCTATTTACCAAATTTTGCTAATATTTTAAATAGCTCGCATATTTTAAATAGCCCCGCACCCTTCGTTTTTCAATACCAGAGGTATTAAAGGCTTTTGGAAATCGGAAATCGGAAATCGGAATTCTGACCGACCTCAATGACCGTCTATCAAAGTAAAAAATTAAGCTTAAATAACTAGTTCAATTATAAAATCTCTGTCTATTAGAATAAATTATACTTGATCTACATTTATTTTAAATTCATTTTTAAATTAAGGTTATTTTAAACAATTACCGTATAACTCGAACAATTACCTCTTTCAATAAGTGCCCTCTCGATTAATTAATGTACATCCTCTAGCAAGACGTTGAAAAAATAATTAGCTAGGGTAATTATTCGAGCAGATGCAGATAACCTTCTAGCTTTAGATAATTCTTTTTATCGATAATTCTGTTTATTTCTAAGTTTCCTTTAATTTTTATCGTTTAAGATTTCCATTATTTATCATAAAAATAGTAAGAAGCTTCTTTTGAATTATTTTTGTAATTTTTCTATTCGGTCCTTTATGTATAAAATTTCAATTTTTCTACAAAATTACTATTTAATTAAATTAATTAAAGGAAAAGTAAAAATAAATTATTATTTAAATTGAGATGCCAAATAAAAAAACAAGAAAAAAAAGATTATGTAGATCCAACAAAATTTGGGATTAAATCGTCATAAAAATATTACTAAAACATTCCTTTCTATTTATGTATTTTTATTTACATTAAACTTTAAATATCTCTCTGTACATTTACCTCAAACAGAAAATATAAATTTTATTCCAATTTTGCCACTTTTGCAGAAAAAAATAAATCCTTAATGAATATAAAAAGTTTAATAATCCTTCTTAAAACATTTTAATTCTGAAAATTTGTCTTTAAAAGGATAATACAAATTTTGTCTTCTAATGAAATAAAGCAACAATATTTTTAGAAAAATTGATGCAAAAAATATTCTCGATTTAGTTAGGGCTAATTACTAAATTAGTCAAAAGGAGCGATTAAAAGCTATTTTAGAGATAATCCAAAGAATATTTTTATTTAAATGTGCTTTGCTTTTTTGAATATATTTATTTATTTATTAATAAATATATTTAAGTATTTACTTTCAAAACACACAATTAAAAATTCTTATTCGTTAAAAATGAGTTGAGTAGCATTACGTATTTAATAAAATTTGAACCTAATTTTTCTACTCTAAAAATCTTATCTTAATTCTTTAATCCACAAACTGAGCTAAATTAAATTAAAAGCTAAAACAAAGCTACTAGTATTGCCAAACTAAAAAACACTATTTCATACATAGATAATGTTTCACTGAGTCCGTGCCAGGTTTGACACTAGATTGGGCAAAACCGGTTACTCGGTTTCGCTCGGTTTTCGTTTTTTTATTTCCTAGACCTGTCTTAGGTCTTTCTTATCCTTTTTATTATCCTTCTCCTTCTAATACCTTTCTTATTATGGGCATCTTGACAACAAAAACCCGAGAAAGATAACGAACTCGAGCTCGTTCAATTATTAATACTTCTTAATTATAATCAACTTCTTTATTCTAAATTAATTAATTATTTTATTGACAGATTTATTATCTATAATTATTAAAAATAGATGTAGATCCCTAATTAAAATTATTCTGAGCAAATATCCCAGAACAACTACTAAACGACCAAAATTATTTTAATTTATCCCAAAAATGCTTAAAAATTATGCTCAATAGAAACCCATCAAATAGCTTACTATCTTTACTTATTTGTAATAAATATATTAGAATCTCTAGTTTTAAAAATTGGTTAATTTTCTTGATATTGATAAACAGGTAGAGAAATTACGTTAAATTATTTAATTCAAAACACAACTTAATATTCCTCTTAAAACACAAACATTTTAGCAGAAGAATATAGTAAAAATGAGAAATATGTAAGCCTACTAGTTCCTCTTCTAAATAATAGGTATCTAACTGTATCGAGTCGACACTGTTAAGTCACAATTGTCTTGTCCCCCTCCCCTCCCCCGACTAAACTTCAGATATAAATCAAAATAAAAATATTTAGCGATCAACTATCAATATTCTCTCCTACACACTTTGCCTCTACTAATTTATCTGAAAGCAGATCGGAAACATTGTTTAACTGGCTAAATTTTCAAAATGATAGTAATTATACACCAATAGCCCCAGCCAGTCCGGAATCATTAATTAAACTTGGTCCTTCTGAAAGAGTGGTTAATGGACTTAGTTTATCGGGAGGATCTACAATTATTTCTGATAATAAAGTTGATACAACAACCGAAAATAGTAAAACTAATTCTAATAGAATGACAATAAAAGGAGGTAGACGGATGCGCAAACACCATCGACAACGGTATTTATTTTAATTTAGAAAGGAATTGTTTACATTGTTGAAAATGGACTATATGTATTACTAGCAATTGGACAAACATGATTATAATAAAAATATTTTTAAATTAAATTTATATACAGTCTCTAAAAGAAAAGAGTGTATCGCTGAGTTATATTGAATGCTGCTAAATTTATTAAGCGGACTCAATTCCGAGCAGTAATAAGGACTTTTGAAAATAAAAAAGCCGATATGGAGGACTAGGCTCCAATTATATTTTCGAAAGAGGTCAGCTAGATTAACTGTATGATATCAAAATCATTCTAAACAGAATTACGACTAGTTGAAGCTTTGCTGTAAAATATTTTTTGGTGCTCTATTCCGACATTATGGACATAATTATTTTAACTCATTATAATTTTTAATAATTTTTAGGGTTGATGCAAACACACCATTTACCCTGCGAGCAATTTGTCCATTTAAATTTGTGTTAAATCATAAACCAAATGTAAGATAATACATATAAATATTTTGCTTATTTTTAATCAGAAAAAAATATTATTTAGAGAATTCCATCGACATTAATTGAAGTAGAATGTCTCAGTCATAGCCCTTCACAAATTTTATTAGGCCGACCACTTCCCTTAATTGAGTGCGAACCAATGAGATGGACAATACGTGTTTTGGAATGTAATAACGACAAAAAACAGGAAGGGAAGGTGGAGAAACAAACTAATTGTTTGCCTGTAGAAGAACATATTCCGTTAGCTTGTGTTCCTGTCCTTCAAGCAAATAAAGAATCTAGAGAACCAATAAGAAGTGAAGACGATTTAACTGATATTGTTGCGGTTATTTCTGTTCCAGCTGAACCTTTAAATGAGAAATTTGTACCAGTATAGAATTTAATAATTTTTGGAGAAAATATAAATATTTTTAAATACCTTATTTTCTCTAAAATGGTCCTCTCTCTAAAATACCCCACCTCTGTAAAATAGCCCCCCTCTCCAAAATAGCCCCCTCTCTAAAATAGCCTCCCTCTCCAAAATAGCACCACTAGGGATCGATCAAAAATAGCTCCCGAGGGCTAGTTTAGAGAAAATACGGTATTTATATTTTAAAATTTTTACTATTTCCCAGATTCAACTTTATATTCATGTGATATTTATATTTTATAAATATAATAATTTGAAATTTTTATCATAAATTCAAAATTAGAAATATTAATGAATAAAACGAAGAATTCGGTTGTAATTATAAGTAATATAATATTATTTTAATAATTTTTAGAATTATTTATAAAAATATTTAATGTAACAATAGATAAGTATAACTAAATTAAAAATCCAAACTTTAACTTTATTTAATAAAATAATTCAAAAATATTTATTTTTCCCTCAAAATTTATTTTCTACTTTTCAGTAACGACATTTTCTTGAGTATTTTTTTCTTCTTCAATTATTTTGTGTAATAAATTATTTGTAACTTTTGGTGTACTATTATCATTATTTTTGTTTGTCTCATTATTTCCACAGAAATTCATTTCCATGCAAGCCTGGAAATTGAATACCGTATTTATTCTAATAGTACTACGTCTCTATTTGAACCACGGTCTCTAATATAACCACATCGAATGGAGAGTTGAAAAATACAACCACAGTCTCTAATATAACCACATATCTCTCATACTCTTAAATACATAAGTACTATAATTCTCGTTAACCTTAACAAATCCAGGAAAGCCCATGGCATATTCAGTAGGAGAATTTATGAGAGCTAAAGTGTCGGGGGATTATGAGGAAAATGAGATAAAGTGGATTATGAGGAAATATAGAAAGATTTGGGAGGACTAAGAAGATGAGGAGAATTTGATCTATACGAGGATTTGGGGGATTGAGAATGATTAAGATAAATTAAGAGGTTGTGAATTTTTACAGAATTAATAGGAATCCAATTCTCTTGCTATACCAGTGTATCAACTCTAATTGTTCCCTTATAAATGCCTCCATTCCAAAACTTTAATATAACAACGAGGTAGGAGTTCTTAGTAAATTTCTTAGGTTCTCTTACTAGGAAACCGAGTTGAGGGTTAGATCTTATTATAGAAAATCGACATTCTTGTTAAATCTGGCGCCGCAGTCGAAAATCTAGAGAATTTTGAATCGAGAAACCACCAAATTGATTAAAAATTATAATTATTTTTGGAGAATATGACAAGAAAAATTCTCAATATTTTTCCTATTTTTCCTAAAAAAGATTGAAAAATAAAGCCACAGTCTCTATTTGAACCACAGTCTCTAATATAACCACAAAAATCGAAGGGTTGAAAAATAGAACCACTGTAGTACTATTAGAATAAATACGGTATGTTAATAAAATTTGTTTAAAAATTTTTATCAAAAATTTGGTTTATCCCTTTTTAAATTAATTTGTGAGATCTGAGGCTAAAATTTTGTTTTGGTGATACTAGTGGCTTCCGAAATTATTTTGACACCTTAAACTTTTCAGAGGTTTTTTATTTTAATAAATTAATTATTTTTAGAAATAAATAACCAGATCAGGATTATTCATATAAAATTCCAAATCCTCGAAAAAATCAGCCATTTCATTATCAACAAAATCCTCACACTAAAAAATAATATTCTTTTTAACAAAAAAATATTTAGACAAACCATTTGTCTAAAAATTCCCAATTTTGGACATAAATTAACTTTGATATATTTACGTAATTTTTCTTCAAATTCTGGATTACTTAAGAAAAACTGCATTTGGATAATAGCTTCTTTGCAAACAAAACAAGTTCCAATATCAAACTAAAATTAGTTCAAAAGAATAAATTAATTAAATTTAAATAAATTACCCAATTTTTAGTTAAATTATTTTCATTATTCAATGCCAAATTAGATTCTTTAGGCAATCCTTCACTTCCAAAAACACAAAAAACAGCAACAAACAAAACTGTAATAATTATTTTATTTTGCATTATTTTTTAATTTTTAATTTTGAAATAAATAAATATAATTTGAAATAAATTTTTTTAATTAAAATAACCTCTTTTTAAAGAATATTTAAAAGGTATAACAATCCGGATGTATTAATTTCAGTAAAGGTGTGGTTTTACTAAATTTTAAAAAGTTGATAAGAAATTTTGCTATCTTAACAAAATTTAAGCAAAATAAAAAAATAAATTGTTTGGGATTAGTCATCATTTTTTAGTTTATTTTAAATTTTTTAAAATAATGATAAGAATTATTTTAATTTTAAGAAATATTTTAAATGCTTTGGATGATTAAAAATATCTTCAGAAAAAGTTTATGTGCCACCATTCATTAATTTAATGTATGACTTATAGTAAGGCTGTTCTAAGTTTTCGAAAAGTCGGGAGGTTAAGACTTTTTCGAATTTGAGAATTTTTTAAATAAAGTTTCGATTGTAATAAGAAATAATTAAAATTTATATTTAATTAATTAAATTTTTTAAATTAATTTTTTATTGTTTTTATTTTAATTTTTATTAAAATTATTTTCTTCAATTAAAAAAGAAAGTAAATTTATTATTGTGAGCGTCTCCACATAACACCATCTTAAAATTTAGCTCAGATAAAGGAGATGGATTTTGGTCCAATTCTGATTTAACTAATTATTTAAATATTAATAAAAATAAAAATAACTTCCTATTGTTATATAATTAAAAATAAAGAATAAAATAATAATTTAAAACAGCTAAATAATTTAGAAAATTAAAAACATATTTAAAAATATTATCTAGTAGTAATGCTTTTAATTTTTTCTCCAATAAATTTTATATTTTTTAGATTCAAAACAAAATTCCCGAAAGCATATTCACTTTTTGGCTTATCATTACTGAACTTTTTTTTAATTTAAAATTTAAACAGGAAGTTGACAGAATATTTAAATTAAATTATTTATTTTAATTACAGACTCTAATTAAACAAAATGATTGATTTATTCAGTTGATCAACGACCGTCGTCAAAATTTTTGAATCCATCGACTTATAATACTTCTCACATGTTATCGACATTTATTAAATAATAATTTCTCTTATAATTTATTTTATAAATTTTAATTTTATATAAAATTTAACTTTTATAAAGTTCTTAAACTTAATTAAAATTTTTGGTTAACTAAGATTTTTCAGAAATTTGGTCATCAGTCCTTAACTGAATTTAGACACTTTAGAAACTAATTGGTCAGGGGCTTATTTAAATTACATACAACCAAAAATGTTTTTATTTTTTTGTTTAACAAAGAATATTATTGACTATTGTTTAACTTCTTGAGAATTAAAATTCTGCGGTGTCCAAAATTCTTAAAATTTAGGGACTGACTTTCTGAAAAGTTCAATTGACCAAATTTCCGAACACTAATTAAATTCTTTAATTTTTAAATTATTAAACATTTTTTAAAAAATTCTAGAAAATAATTCTAAATTTAAAATATTTTTTGTTGATAAAATAAAACGATAATATTTAAATATTAAAATTTTATTTTGAAGAAAATTAAACAAAAAATTTAAAAAATTCAAATTATTGAAATAAACAAAAAATAATTTTAAATGAAATTGAATAAGTTAAAATCATTAAGAAATTAAAAGTTTTATTGTTTTAAATATGTAAGTAAATCTGCAGACTTGTTTAGGGATTCTCATCTTTTCCCAGAATTTTTATAAGACTTTAATTGATTCCGATCAAGTAGTATATATTTGTACATAAATCCTTCTCATATGTATGCTTACACATCTCCCTCTTCCCTATTCTATTCTGTCATTTACTCTTTATAATAAAATATTTTAAAGTAATAAAGAAAATTTTTAAAAATTTAAATAAAATTAATAATAAATAAATAGTAAATTTAAATTATTTATTCTTCTAAATATTCCCTTTTTTATACAGTTCAACTTCTGTCAATTCAGCCTATTTGGGCCGAAATTATTAACTTAAATGGAATTGAATTGTCCTAGATTATAACCTGAATTTTAATTAGGGTTGCCAAAATGGACCGACACGGACCGAAAGATCGAGTCGGGCCTAAGATATTTGGCCCGAAAAAGACTCGTACTAGCCCAACTCGATAAAAACAAGCCCGAAAAAATGCTTTGACCGTCGACCCCTATTTTTGATGAATAATTTTTCATTATTTTTTGTTATAAAAATAATAAATAAAATTAAAAATATATTAATTTTTACCAATTTAGACGAATTAATAAAATAAATAAAAAGTAAAATTTAAAAGTATCTAAAAAATAAGTAAAATTCAAGTGTATCTAAATTTGGAAGTATCTAAAATAAAAGTTATTGTTTTCCAGCAATTTCTCCCATTTAATATTAATTTTTAAACTCCAAATTTAAATAATTCAATTTAATTTTTATTAAATTTTTATTTTTAAATTTTAGTTTTTTATTTAAAAAAACTTTCATTTTACATCATATTATATATTAATATTGATATTTTATCAATTTCTAAATTCAATATTAGACAGAAATATAGGAAAAGCAATAATAAATGTCTATCAAATAAAAGTCTCGTGGAGAGAAAAAGGGCAATAACTATCATATGCCACACAACCTATAGATTTTCTTTAAATTAAAAAAAGTTTTTTTTTAATTTTTGGCCATCTAGAATTAAATCCTTTAACGGAAATAAAAAATTTTTCACATAAAATTTCAAAATTTTTATATCATATATGTATGATAAGTTTTGAATTTCTTAAGTTATTAATTTTATTTCCGCTAACGAGGACTCAATTTTAGATGGCCAAAGATTAAAAAATTTAAAAAATCTATATATCCTGGGCATATGATTTTTATTGACTTTTTTTCTCTTCACAAGACTTTTAAATTAATTATTATAGCTATTTAATTTATATACATATAATTTAAATTTTTCTTGTAATTTTTATAGAATTTTATTAAAATTATTTATTTATTTTTAATTTAATTTAAAAAATTTTTATTTAGAAATGACATTTCTATTTCTTAAATTAATTTATTTAATTTCAACAAAACAATTATTTTTGTTAATACTTTTTATTCCTCTTTTAAATTCATTGCAAAATCCTCAAAATTCCCAAAATGAAGAGCCAATTACGGATGATTTTTGTGGTAAATTTCCAAAAGCATCGGAAACAAAATACGTTGATGAGCCGATGTTGGTTTTTAATTTTAATTTCAGAATTAAAATTTTGAATTTGAGTTTAAAAAAATAAAATAAATTAACGGGGGAATGGGTACATTCAATTGGATATTATTTCAAAAATTTACAAATTATTTACATAATTGTCTACAATAACGATAAAAACAATTTTAACTGATTCTTAAAATTTGATTTAAACATGGGGAAATTTATGACACAAAAAATGAAATTTTTTTCCAAAAGAATATTTTTTTGAGTAAAACCTAGGAAACTTGAAAAGAAAATTTTTCCCTAGGTAATTTTCAGTTAGTTGAATATTTCAAATTTAAATATTTAAAATAGTGTGGAATTTGTTATTAAAAAAATTGGTTGAGTTCTAGAGAAAATGCTGAAATTTACCTTAATAATTTAATTCTCTAAATTTAGAATAGTAAAAGGAGAAGTAGATATGCATTATCAACGTTTGATAGCTACAAAAAAATTACGAGATGATTGTTCTATAGAGGGATCTGTTAAGGGTAAACATATAATTGATATAGAGGATGGCGGTACACTTAAGAATGTTATTCTCGCAGATCCAGCTAAAGGGGTTTGGTGTGAAAAAAGTTGTAAATTGATAAATGTTTAGTAAGTGAAATTAATTTTTGGCATATGGAATTTTAATATTTTGTTTGAAAGATGGTTACCTACGATTAGGGTATCGAGTATCAAATGTTGTCTCATAGTTACCAGTTTTTTAGACTATAAATTTTCTGGGGTTTTCTTGATATGTATTTTCATGATATGTATCAGGGTGGGGCTCGTGCCACAGAATACGACACACGAGATCGAGATTCTGAAAAAAAAAACGAGAACAAGATAAAACGAGATACGGGACCTCTAAAAAACACTAGATTTCACGAGATGCGAGACGAGCTCCACCACTGATATGTATCTTTTAGGTTAAATTAACCGTGAAGACATAAAATTATTTTTAAATAATATGTATATCCAAATATAATTCTTATTTTAGTTGGGAAAAGGTCTGTTACCATGCTGCAGGATTTTCTTCAGATGATAGCTCGCCAGCAGTTCATGAAGTTACCAATAGCACTGCATTACATGCTCCTGATAAGGTTTTTATTTTCTTAAATAATTTTATAAAATTAATTTTTTTCTCAACAGTTTTTCACTCAATCAAGTAAAGGTAAAACAATTATTAGAAATTTCTGTGGTCACGAATTTGGTAAAGTTTATTGTTCATGCGGATCAGGATGTCAACCACAATATCAAAGGAGTGTTGAAATTTATGATTCAAGATTTAAAGGACCAGGATTGACATTAATTTGTTTGTTTAAATATAAAAAATAATAATTTTAAATAATTAAGCACTCAACCATAATTACAAGGACTCAATGTCTATGTCTAATGTTTATGTAGATCCAGACCCCAAAATTAAATATATTTGTCAGGTAAACAAATACTAAAATTACCTATATTTTAAATTTATTATAATATAGGTAGATTTGTTAGAATAAATAAATATTGGTTCTTTTCCTTTCCAATCATAAGGGCGGTATAAGGGCCAAAACAGCGGAAGTTACGGGCCAAAATAAGGGCCAAAACAGCGGAAGCTCTACAATGTAGAGCTTCCGCTGTTTTGGGTAAATTTTTTAGGTCTGTGGGATTTAGTTTAGATTAAGAAAAGTATAGTATTGAGAGTAAAGTGAGAGATCTTCGATAAGCAATATTTTTGTCAAAATCACCTTTTAATCCTCTTAAACCGTCCTCCAGTTTAATTGATGCCAATCATAATCCTTACTTCTCCTTAATCATCGATGCCCCTCTTAATCCCTTAACTAGAGCTGTCCAAGGTCTTAAATCTTGACTCAAGACTTTTCTTGAGGCTTTTACGGTCTTGGTTTTGGAGTGTAGCCCAAGTTTAACCGAAGAACCTGATTTTTTAATAATAATATTATCCAAATAGAGTAAAATGAATTTATTGAAAATTTTGAAATAGACTTGGATTCTTAAAATTATCGCCTCCAATATTCTTAAAATTATCGCCTGCGGCCTAAAAATGTTAGAAATCTGGCTTCTCGACCTTCAAAATTCTTAAAATTTTTGCCTGCGGCGCTAAAAATGTTTGAAATGAACAGTAATGTTTGATAAAAATGCTGGATTTTGTAAATTTTCGCTTCAACCCCGACCCCGAACCCCGACATTATTTTCAGCCCCGACCCCGAACAATTTGAGCAACCCCGACCCCGACTTTGTCAACCCCGAAAACCCCGATCCCCGACTTTTTCAACCCCGAAGGCTCGGGGACCAACCCTAATTTAAATATATTTTTATTTTACAGGAATATACTGGAACAACACAAACTACAAGTGATATGACCCCTACAGCTTCTTTCACAGCTAATGAAGCTGGAAAAGGCCAGTCTTGCAACTATTCAACAACAGAATATTCTTTGACATCAGAAAGTAAAACCAAAGAAAATAATTCGGACAAACAAAATCAGAAGGAAGGCACTCAAAAAGAAAACCAAAAGAACGATAAAAACGATTAAAACTGAAACTGAAAAAATCATGCAAAAAGCGAGCTGAACAATTTACCGCAAGCCAAGTCTCCCGTATTTTCACCTTTGGTTTAAAAAAAAAGTTTCACGTTTCAATTTCATTTTTGTAAAGTTAAACTAATTTTTTTCTAATTTTTTGTAGATCCTGTCCCGTTTACTGGTTTCCGTTACCTGTCTCGTTTCGTGGTTTTAAGCTTTTTGAGGTTTTTAAAGAGGTTGGGCAGAAACTGGGCATTTGCCAACCCTGATTTTTACAATATAAGTTTATGTTGTAAATGTCGTAAATGTCGTAACCCGTCTCAGAAAATAACAAACGTTATATTGAAATCTCTCCAATGCAAGAATGTCATTTTTTCTGGCTAATGCTGAAACCGGAAAGAACAGATTCCGTCCTTAATTTCCTCATAACGGAACTTTCTTAAATTAATTCTTACGACAAACTTTGCGTTTAAATCGGGCTTTTTGTCTAAATTTTCCTTTTTGGATTGCATCCTGGCCATGGTTTACAAGATATAGCTTGGGGTATAAATGTATATTTTTAGTATGGGACCAAAATTTGGGAAGGATATACAAAACATATTTTTCATTCAAATCTAAATTTTAAATTTATTTTATTATAAAATGTAAGTTATTATTATTATTTTTATTTAAATTTTATATTCATTTGTAAATTATTATTTTATATTTAATTATTATTTTATATTTATTTTATATTCAATTGTAACGATAAAACTGGATTTACTGTTATATACAATCTTATGATTAAAGGTTTTAAAATTCTAAATGAGTAAAATTTTTCATTAAATTCTGTAATAAAAGATTCGAGTCAAAATTGATTTTTAAGTTGCTGCTTATAAATGAAACTTTTAATTTTAATTAATTATTCAATTCAAATCTCACTAAAAGACAAATAAATATTTTGAAACAATTAATATTCTTAAATAGTTTCTGAGTTACTATCTGGTTAGATATTCTTAAATATTTTCCGATTTCATTTTATTACATAATTTAAATTTAAATTAATTAAATAATATTTTTTTCATGTATTTTTACAGAAATTTCTCGTCTAAAATTATTTAAAAAATAATTACAAAAATATATATATATAAATTTATTTTTAATTAAATATTTATTTTTCAAATTAAATCAATTTTGTTTATTTAAAACTCGTTTTACGATTAGTTCAATTTAATAATAATGAAATTATTTTTTAAAAAAGAAAGAACACTCGATAATTAAAACAAAAGTAAAAATATATTAAAGACTATTAAATTATGTATATAAATTTAAATTAAATTAAAAATAGTAAATCATTCAAGTTTAAAAATAAATTTTAAAATTTTAAATTTATTTATTCTTTTGTTTACCCCTTTTTGAATTAAATTTTTATTTTTTCAATAAAAATTAATTAAAAAATTTTTTCTTCTTTCTAAAGATGATCTTTAAAATTATTTTTTATTTAATTTTAATTAAATTTGGAGGCTCTCTAGAATGTAAACGTTATGTTTTAAATGATTATCCAATGGGGAATGCAGTAGATTTGGGAAATAAAATGTTGGCATCGAGAGTTAGAAATGAAACTTGTCAAGATGATGTAATGTTTAATATTTTTTATTAAAAGATTTTTTAAAGAAAATATTCAAAGAAAATTTATAAAAATAATTTGATTTTTCTTATGGTTAATATTAATGAGTATTAGGTAGGGTTGTTGGCCGTCCACGAAAGTCGGGGAATTTGAGAGTTTTTCTTGAAATTCCCCCGCCCCCCCCCGTGGTGCTGCCTCCCCAAAAAGTTATCCCCAAGGCCCCCGTCGGGTAACAACCTTAGTATTAGGTTATTTATAAAAATGAAAACAAGTTTGTTAATAACACAACAAAGATTATAATAGGATTTAATTATACATAATTATACAATGTAATTATACAATGTAATTTAATTATACATAAAGAGTCTTGCTTAATTTTTGTTTAATTTAATTTGAAATTTTTATGTACTTTTTAACAATTTTTATATCGAAATACATAGAACATAACGTATTTAAAATAACTCTTGAAAATTATTTATAACCCCAAAAAATTGAGGAAAAAATTCTTAAACTAATTTACACATAGGATATATTCCTATAAGATTAATTGAACTTTTAAATTATGTTACAGATTCTAATTTTCTATCCAAATCTTTAGGATAGTTATTGTGTTACATATACTCGCCATTACAAACATTTAAACTCTACAATAACATCGCGTTCATGTGAAGGATTTTGGAGATTAATAGTATTGATAAATAATGAAAATAAAGGTGAAAATGATATTGAAACTAATTGTGAGGTTAATAATTAAATTCTTTTGATTTTTGTAAAAATATTGTTAGAAACATGATGGAAAATTACATGAAACATCTTCCTTTGATTATTCTGTTAATTGCTGCAAATCAAATTTTTGCAATGTAAATTTAAATTTATAACAATATTTTTAAATTTTTATTTAGGAGGCTTAGGAATTTTGGAAAAAATGATTGAAAAACGTGTATAATTTAATTATTTTTGATTTATGGAAAAAAATTATTTTGAACTTAAATAATATGTATCATTTTTCGAGTCTCTGAAATTATTATTAAAAAAATATTTTAATTGATAAAATTTTTTAGTTGATAGAAAAAATTTATGTATAGTTTCATATAGGTAGTATATAAATACTTAAAAGTACGTATTGTAGAAATATATTTCTACCTAATAACCACGACCCTTCGAAGTCGAGGTGGGTCGGAATTCAGATTTCAGAAGAAAAATTTTGATTTCCGAGTTCCCACTTTTGAGCCAGTTCCGATTTCCGGCTCGTCCGATTTCGTGCACCTCTGACTGTTCCGACCCACCTCTGCTTCGGAGTCGATAAGTTCGAGGTAATGTATTGTAGGTTCTATTTATATAAATTTTTTGAGTAATTTAAGACTTCCAAATACATTTATGGAAATCCATATTTTACTTAAATAATTAATCTAGTAATATCCAAAAATATTTTTTTGAATTTTTAAATATATGTAAATATTTTAAATAAATGTATTTAAAAACATATTTGAGAAAAACTTAAAGAATTAAATTAATATATTTTATAAAAAATAATTTTATCTTTGGTAAAAATATTTAATCATTTTGCAACAATTTTTTGCAAGAAAATTTTTTCCCATTTTTATGTCAGACATTCAAATGCCAGTCATGTGTAGGGTTGTATTTCCGATTGGACGTGTATGTAGACAAAAATAATTTTATAAGGAAGCAGACATTAAAAAATTTAAAATCTTTAAAAGTCTAACCAGCTATGCCTGTCTAATTCAGAGGAGCGGAAATTGAAAATTTCAAAATTATTCCTCCTTCTTTATGGCTTAACAGAGACAAACCTGTCTATTTATAAAGCGGATTTAATCCATTTTTAGAATAATTTAAAAACATTGTAAATACACCCAATACTAATTTTTAAGATGCTCAGTTGGGGGAGTTGCTTAAGCTCTCTAATGGTGAATAAGGGATATCGCTTAAGCAGCTTTCATATACAACATTAAAACCAGCACAGGAAGGGTTTCTTCCATTCGAGTTAGACAAATCTAAATTTCGAGGAACCATTCGGTTACCTAAAAATAAGAAAAATAAAGGTACCTTAAGTTATTTTTAGAAACAATTAATTACCATATATATTATAGATAACAATTGAAGATAGAAAAAGTAAAGAAAATCCGAAGACAAACTAAAGAAAATGCTCTTTTAATTTTTTAACAATGAGCACTAGTTTATATGAAAAATAGATGGAATATTTTGAACTAAAATTTAAATTAGCTTCTTATTTTTAATTTTAAATTAGTTTAAATTTATTTTCATATACAAATTTAAATTGTTGATAAAAGAAATGCATTGGTATTGGACAATTATTTAGGAGATTAAATCTTTTGAATATTCTTTACTGTATTTAATTTTTAAAAATAAAGTAGCAGCAGAGAATAATATTTAATTTAAATGCCTTAAATTTTTAGCAAGTATTTAAAGACAATAATAATACCTCATATTGGAGTGGGTTAAAAAAATTCGATATCACTAACTCTAATTGGATAGCCGATTCGATTCACCTATCACGCACAGAACTATACGACTTTGACGAAACTTTGATCAGAATTCTTAGTTTCTAAGAATTGGCTGTAACGGTTCCGGTGCAGGACAATTTCAAAAGATTCTCTTAATTTTAATTCACTTCTAAGAATATTTGTATTTGTTTTTGTAAGTTTTAATTTAAATTTTTTTATATTATTATCAATACGGCTTTTAACAAAAAACTTAAATAAATTTTTGCAAATTCTTTTTAAATTAATAAAGAAAAGAAGTTTCATGGATCAAGAGAGATTTCACGGATAAAATCCCTCCAAACTACTACAATTTCCCGGAGAAAAATAGCAAAGTTTTTTGCCATTTAAAAAAGGCTATAATTAAAAGTTAAAATGCAAATAATTAAACATGTGAATTTTTTTTAATTAAAAAATTTCTTAAATTTTTTAATAAATACATTAATCAATAATAAAATGCCATTATATTTTATTATGAAATGATAAATATTTATGAAGCAATGCTTTAACGGAAATAAAAAATCCATTAAACAAATTTTTATAAAATTTATTTACAAATTATTGTCTATTAAAAATTAAACAAAAATCTAATTTAAATTTTGGATAAAAATTATTTTTTAAATTTAAATTAAAAAATGTGCCTTAACGGAAAATTAAATTTAATTTTGTTTTTAATTTCTAATACAATTTTAATTAAAATTTGTAATTCTGTTGTCGAAATAAATTACAAGGATATAAACAAAGAAGGGTGTAAACAATACGGAATTAAATGTGATGGGGAAAATAAATTTATAAAATTTTTTAATGAAAAAATTAAATTTATTGGTTTGGAAATTTTTTAAATAAATTTATTTTTTAAAATAATTTTTAGATAGCAAGCGGCCGCCGATTCTTTTAAGGAAACCAAATGGTAAATGAAAATATTTTTTAATTAATTAAATTTTAATTATTTTCAGTGATGGCATCAAATTTTTGGAGAAATTTTAGAGCAACAGAAATGTCACATGAAGGTAAATATAATTTATAGTTAAAAGAAATATTTCAAAAAAATATTTGGAAAAATATTTTGTTAATTATTTAAATATTTTTGAGAGTTTATTTTTCAAATTGAATCTATGTAAAAATATTTTTATTAATTTTAAAACAAATTTAAAAAAATTTTTCTTTAAATTATTTTTTAAAAATAACCTTTTAATTTCTGTATAATTATAATATTAAAATATAATTTAATTTTTTGTGGACATAACTAGTGGCCGTTTTTTAATTTGGATTTTTTAAATTAAGTTTTTTGAAAATATTATTTATTTTTATTACGAATCATTAGTTAGTGTATTTTCTAAAAGTTCTCAAAATTTGAGAATTTTTGGGTAATATTCAGGGAGTTCTGATCGAAAATATAATTTATACTAAAATTTGTTAGCAATTTATTTTATTGTTTTAGAACATTTTAACGACTGGAAAACAGCACGCAATTCAATTTTATCAAACATCTCACAACATAAACAAATCTATACATCCGGTGATAAACCAAAATTTTATCGTGCCAAGACCTCCTATTTAACGTTAAAAAAAGCAAATGAAGGATTGTCACCTATTGAGTTGATTAAATCTAAATTTAATGGAACTATTCGATTAGTTGATAAAAATAAGGAAGGTATAGTAAAAGTTCTTTAACATGTTCCTTGACATCTCATAAGTTCCTCAACATCTTCATATATGTATCACTTTCCTTCATTTTTTGTTAATTTAAGATAAGATTAATAAAATTTGGTTGGCCAGTGGAGGGAGGAGTTTCCTAAAAGATATCACAAATACACAAAAATAAAACTCTTTAAGGCCCAAGGCTCAAACTGTTTTATAACTTAAATATTAATTTTATTTATAGACAAATCGAATAGTACAAACAAAGATGATGATAAAAATTGAGGGAAAACCCATTAATAGAGAGAAAAAAACCATTAATAGTTAAAGAATTTGATATATTAGAATGTAGTTTAAAAATTAAATTTTGATCTAAACCCCACAAGCTGATTAAATTTAAAATATTAAACATTGACAGAACATATAATCTAGTAATTGTTATCCAAAAAAATATATTTTTAATGTGTTATTCCTAACATAAGAATAAAATTTTTATAAATAAATAAAATAAAGATTTATTCGATTAATTATCCTCTCTCAACAATTGCCCTCTCTAAAATTAATTACACCACGTAACTGAAAGTTGAAAATAATTGCCCAGATAATTTATCAAAAAGGTACGGTAATTTTAAAAAATATAAAATTAAAGAATTTTAAAACGTATATGATTCTAAATTAAAAAAATTTTCTATAAAATATGATTATCAAAGAAATCCCAATATCCACTGTTGAATTGAGGAGTCTCTGTAAATATTAAATTTAAAAACTAATATTTATGGAAATTAAAGAACAACCTTCATATGTGTTTATTCCATTTAAATTCCTTCCAGAATCATGATCTTAAAATATTTTTTAATTTAAATTTTAAATTAAATATAACCAATAATTATTTGTCTAAACTATTAATATTTTGGAAACTCAAATTAAAATTCCTCAATAATCAAATCTCATTTTCTATCCCTCCAAAATCAAATAAATTCAATTCTAATTTGTAAACTTAGTTGTACTGGGTGGGAGAGCTGCCTAAATTTGAATTGAGCAAATGCCTGAAATTTGCCTAAAATTTCAAGATACACCCGTTTAGATACTCCCACTCTCCTTCAAACCCCCCCCTCCCCCCCCCCTCCTCCGTTTATTAAATAAAATTTATATGTAATTTTTATACCCTACCGACTGGATTGCGATAATTTGTGAAATTGTTCTTAGGCGAAGGTGGAGGTGTATCTTCTTCTAACGGTGGAATACCATCCTCTTAATTAAATGTACAAATATCATTTAACTAACTTATTCAATTGTCTCAGATAATTTAAAAATCCGTTTTAATTTTTCAAATTAAATAATTTTTATTAAATAAAAATAAACTTTTTGCCTGAAAATATTCTTCTTTATTTAAATAATTATATTCAGGAGGTACTTCAGTTTCTTCAGCAGAATTTCCCTTTTTATTTTTATCACCTCTTGCCTTTCTGGATTTACCTCGACTTGTTTTTCCATTTCGTTTGCTAGTCTCACCTTTATTTGGTGGCGTATTGGGAGGTTCAGCTTTTTTAGATTCATCATTATTTTGATTTGTTTCTTTATTTATTGTTGTGTCTTTATTGGAATCTAATAAATTGAGAATATTTGGGAGGGGCGGGGGGATGTAAAACAACCTGGATGTAAAAAACCGGGTTTCCGGGTTTTCAGGATTTTAGCCCGGAAATTGGAAGGCCCGGCCAGGGTCGGCCGGGATTGGAAACCCCGGCCGGGGTCGGCCGGCAAATTGAAAATGTTGAACTCTATTTATAAAGCACATTTTCACTATTTTTTGCAGCATATTTATTGCATATTTAGTGCATATTTTGATACATTTTTTGGGCTTCTTGATGCACATAGGTATGTATATGCACATATGTGGCGATTTTCCGGGTATATTTTTGCCCAACTCCATTAATAACTTTTAAATAGGTATTTTGTTAATTTAAATTATTGGGCAAGATATTATTTTTCCATTACCTACCCAATTTTTCTTTATTAGCAATATTTTGATTGAGTGTTTCATCTACTTTGTTTTCTCCTCCATTTGTACTAGTGCTAGCATTTGTTTTTTCAGTTGCTTTATTACCTTCATTTGTGGCTAGTAAATAAAAAATACTAAAATTCTTTTTACAACAAATTTACAATTTTGTGCCGTTTCTTGATTTATTGTCTCATTATTGAAATTTTCAGGTATTCGACTTCTAGTTCTTCTTCTTCTTCGGCTTATACTTCTCCCATCCCTTATTAAATTTAATTCTTCAGCCTCATTTTCGATAACATTCTCAATATCTTCCTCTTCACTTATTTCCTTCTCTTCGGCATTATTTTTTTGATATTTTCGAATAAATTTATTTTTAATTTTATTTACTATATTTGAATGTTTAACTTCAAAAATATATGTATATTCGGGACTTTCCCCATTCTAAATAATAATTTTAATTTATTTTTAAATTTTTTAAGAACCTGTAAAATAGGCATAACCAACAAAGCCTCAAAAACTTTTTTTTCAAAAAGTACTACCTCTTTATTAAAAATTACAGCTTCTCTAAATTAATAAAAAAATATTATTTTTGTTAATATAAAAATTATTTTTCAAATATCACAAATAGGGAAAAACGTTATTTCGTCCAGAATAAATCATCAATACCTCTGTATTTTTAATATTTACTATAAATTATTTTTAAATAAATTATTAATTTTCATTTTATTTTTGTCAAAAAATAATTTTAAACATAAAATATAATCTAAAATAAAGCTTCTCGTCCTAAGAAACTTTTATCGACAGAAGAACTCTAATTGAAGAAATACTGTATTTCCAAAAAATACTCCCCCTGAATTAACACTCGCCCTCAAGTACCTAATACTCCCCTTTGGAGGAGGGTTGAAAAATAGTATTCCCGGGATTACTATTATAGGAAATACAGTAAACACTTTTACCTTCCACTTCCATGTTTCTTTAATTGAACAAGGGTTTTACAATCCCTAACAGGGCATCTATCTCCATTATTTATTATAATTGGAGATGAAGTATGTGACGGTCCTTCTTCCTCTAGTTCTTTATCAGAACAATTATTTATTTCTTCTTTTTCTTCTTCAACATCCTCATTATTTACTTCCTGTTGATAATTTCCATCTAAAAAAGAAAGAGGAGGAGGTTCACGTCTTTTAAAAAATTCAGAAAATTCATCGCCACTTCGCTTTTTCCGATTATTTTTTAATTTATGAATTCTAAATAATTAAATAATTAATTTTAATAATATTTATTTTTTATACTAATGTATATAAATATAATCTTTAAATTTTTATTATTTATTTTAAAAAATAACCTTTCATTTGCACATTTTTTGTGAATAAAATGCTTAAATTAAAAATAAATAAATAATTTATTTAAATATTTTAAATATCATTTTAATAAAAAAATTAATTTACTTTACAACTCGGCATCATATGCAACTTTTGTGCTTTAGTATTCAATCTAGTTAATTTTCTTTGATGGCAAACTTCGCAACAAATATTTGGTACCTTATTAATTTTTTAAGAATTAATTTGATTATTTATTATTATTTTTTTAGAAATTAATTTGATTTATTAATTCTAATGTTTTATTTTTAATAAAAAATTTTTTAGACAAAAATTCTTTATTTTAATTTCACTAGGAATTGTAAAAAAACTATTTAAAATGCCTTAAATTCAGTGCTGGGTATTTGCCATTTGTAGGCTCCGGGCTTTTAAAATCAGCTTTATTTTAATTTTACTAGGAAGGGGGCTAACAAGGCTCCGGAGCTAGCTCCCGGAGACATACCCAGCACTGCTTAACTTTAACAATTCTGATTACTAAAATTAAACCAAAACTTTTTCTCATTTATTTAAAATATTAAACTAACTGCTTTAACAACCACAACCATTGGATACTTTTTCGAAGAACTTATATAACTTGGAATAGCTTTATTTAATTTAACATCAATTTCAGTTTTTCCTTGCCATTCATCTTCACTCAATTCCCTACTTGCAAATTCTATTTTTTTATTTTTTTCTTTAAAAATTTTAATTAAATAATGCATTTTAGGTTCATTATCTATTTTTATTAAATATTTATTGTCAAATGAATTTTTAAATTTCATTCGTAAATAAAGCCCTTTTTCCTCATCTTTTTGGCGGAAATGGCCAAATTGGAAAAGAAATAAACGTTGAAAGTTTGGATTTTTTAATGTCCATTTATTGCTCTAAATTATTCAAATTTTAAATAAAATACATATATTTTTGTTTAAAAATTAATAATATTATTTTTTATATTTTATAAAATTTTTAGTGGGGTTGATAAAGAAATAGAGCTTTAATTAATTCTTTTTTGATTAATTATTTCACAAATTAATTAAAAACAATTGTTGTGTAGTGCGGTTATCGAGATAATATAAAAGTCATTGGCAGTCCAGTTGATGATAGTGCTAGTCCCTGATAGTCTGATAACTAATAATCAGAGGTGAGTCGGAATTCTGATTTCCGACGTTTTTTTCCCTCCGATTTCCGAAAAAAATTTTGAGTTCCGATTTGCGAGTTCCGACTTTTGAGCCAGTTCCGAGTTCCGACACCTCTGACTGTTCCGACCCACCTCTGCTAATATCTAATCCCTGATAGCCCCGCTAATCCCTGATCCCCTTCATTTCTTGCTCGTCCGACATTCGTTTACAATGTATTTTTCTCTTTGAATTAACTGATATTCTTGTATTTGTCGACATAGGCAAATCTCGGACAGCCCCCGGACATAATAAATTTTCTATTATCTTGTTTTATCAAGAAAAAGTCAAAATAACATTAACTAATTAATTTTAACAATTTTAAAATTAATTTCACATACACGTTTTTGCCCATGAATGGGATATAGGGAAGTTATTTCCACACACAATTTTGTAATTGTAACTTTTGCTGGGGATGGTACCAAATTAAATTCAAATTGAACTTCTTTTTCATTGTCCAAATTAAATTTAGTTATTTGTTGTGTTTTGCCATCCTTTATACATTCATCACAAAATATTTTTATTTGCCATCTTTAAGGTGAAACTCGATTAATTCCCCTCCCTCGAATGATTCGCCCTACTACGGATGGGTTGAAACAATAATCCCCCTCCCCCAAATACCCTACTACACGTTCAAATTTCAAAACTCGAATAATTCCCCTCCCTTGAATAATTCCCCATGCTACGGATGGGTTCAAATAATTCCCAAGGGGAATTAATCAAGTAAATACGTTACTTTATATTTTTTTCTATAATATCTTCTGTTGTAGAAGGGGTTATAGCTCCATAAAAAACAGTATCAATACAAAATATTGTTGTTAATAAATTAAAAATGAGGATTAATTTAATCATTATTTGTTGAATTTTAAAAAGAAAATTAATTAAAAAATTTACAAATAATTAATTTTAATTTTAATTCATTTTAAATAAATTTTAAATAAATAAAATGCTTTTTTTATTTAAAATGCCCTTCCCTCCATCTAATTTTAGTTGCCAAAAAAGAAATGTTGTCAATAAATCTTTGTCGGCATTAATTACACAATGTTGCACTTTTTATAAAGGGCAACATTAAAAATTAAAAAATTAAAAATATTTATATAAAAAATATTTTTTAAAAATAATTACCGGATGTTGTTAGCGTGTTTTGGCATATTTTATAAAATATTAAAAATTAAAACTTTTTTTAAATTTGCTTTATTTTTTAAACTAAATTTAAATTAAAAATAATTATATAATATTCTCTAGAGATCGAGATTTTTGAAAAGCCTGGACCTGTTCCTGGACTCTGGAGTTTGATTCTTGGCCTGGACTGGATCCTGGGCCTGTAGTCCAGGAAAAACCCAGGTCCAGTAAAACCCCAGGAAGGTCAAAAAATGCCTGGAACTGGACTCTGAGTACAGGAAAAACCCAGGCTTTTGTCCAGGTCCAGCTCAATCTCTAATATTCTTAATTTTTTTATTTTTTTATTCTTTATTTTCTATTAATTCTTCCAATTCCTCATAGCATGGCGGGGGTGTTACTTCAGCAGAAAAATTGTTGTTTGATGTACTTGCATTTAACTAAGAAAAACTTTTAAATAAAAAATAATAATTAATAAAAACCAAGGCTAGTCTTCCGTCACTTGTAAATGAATTTGAAGTTTTTATTTGTGGAAGTAAAGTATTCATACTAAAAAATTGAAAAAAATCCTTTAAAATCCAACTATCCAAATATCATTAATTTTAGTATTTTTATTTAAATTACACCTGCTAGAAGAAACAATTGAAACACTACTTCGGCCTTTTCTCGATGAATTTTTTAGACTTTCTGGATTAGATAAATTGTCACATTTAAAGGAAGAACCGAGCAGAACAACAAGAGGGGGCTGTGTACGTCTTTGACGTTGATTTAGGGATTGACAATTTAATGATCGTCTACCATTATAAACTGAAAAATATTTAAATAATTTTTTTGTGAAAACATATTGAGAATAATGGATATGGATTAATTAATTTGTTTAAAGATTAATTTGTTTAAATTTTTTTAATCCAATCATGCGTTAATGAAAATTTTCGCGTCCAAACAAATTATTATGCGTCCATTCATATTTTTATGTGTTCAACGAGATTTTGTCTCATAGAACCTATGGTTCGGTACTCATTTGTCAGGGCGAGAGTCGAACGTAACTCTGGGAAATCGCATAGATTAGACGCATAGAATTTTGATTTTGCGATTCATTGGACGCGTAAAGTCTGGACAAGAGCCAAAAAACACCTTTAGAATTATTTGAAATGTTTGAATTTGTGCTGGTTGAACGTGGGATACAAAGCATAAGCGAATAATCAACAGCAGCCAAACTTCTGGCAAAATCTCTTGTACTAAATCTTAGACGTGGAGGAATCGTTGATGTTGATGATTGAATACTTTTAAAAATAATTTTTAATCAATTAAAAATCATTTTTATTTAATCACCTATTAACCTTTGCCAATTTCATTAAAAAAAGAGTGCATATTACAGCCATTGAAATTAGCATAAAAATTCCAAAAAGAAACGTTAAATGCTCTTCAGGTGCTTCACTTGGTGCTATCTAATTTTTTTTAATTTAAAATATTTTTTCTTGATTTTTTACTTTTAAATTCATAACAGGCATTGCTGGTGCTCCTCCTCCATATTTTACAGAAGGGGTACTTGAGGTTATTGGAAATAATGTTGTAGAAATATTATTGAGGATTAATGAGGTAGCTAGAAAATTGAATTATAATTCTAATTAAAGATCGAAACGAGTCAAGAGGGCCTTCGAAAACGAGAAATGAGATCTCTCCCGTCTTCACGCAAATTTCGCTATCTTTGCCCTTCCGCTTCTGTATCCGTTTTTTTATTTTCAGTTTTCTATTTTCCGTTTTCTTTGGCCTTCCTCTTTTTTAAACGCCCCTGCCCCTGATATTTCCCTATATTTTCTAATTAAAATACCTAACCTTCAAATGTTGAATTATTATCCACTAAAGTATGATTTTGATTTTTAATTCCCAAATTATTATTCAATTCAATTCAATTCAATTTATACGCATAAAAACGTGACATTCAGATAAAATAAATAAAAATGTATCAATTGTTTTATATAAGGTCTGGAGGCAATTGAATGGAAAGTGGCTTTGATAAAACATTGTTTAAGTTAATATTGTTTAGGAGCTTTGGAAACAATTCGATTGACGATTTTTGTAATTCTGTTGGGAGTTTTCTGTAAATGTTTGGGATGTCTATAAAGAATGAGTTTTTCCGAATGGTGCTTGAACAAAAGGGTATAAATAAATTATGTGGGTTACCTCTAGTAGTGGTAGGGAGAATGCTGAATGAATTATCATGTTTTAATTTAATTTTGCCTGAGATAATATTATGGAAAAGGATAAGATTTGATTTTAAACGTCTGTGCGATAGAGATTCAAGTTTAAACAGGTCAAGGAGTTCTTTATAATTAGGTAATGTTGGGCTGTTATTGTGTTTCATAGAGCGTAAGTATAATATTTTTAAGAATTTATGTTGAACATTTTCTAAAGAGTTTATATCTTTATTTAAATAAGGGTTAATTATAGGAGATCCGAATTCGAGGATAGGTAAGACGTATATTTTGAATAAAGTAGTTAGGAATTGAGTGTTATTAGTTTTAAGAGATCTTATAAGAGTATAATAAATTCCATTATTTGAAATATTTCCTTGTAATTTTGGGAGACAAAAAGGAATTCTAAAATAATTTTGTATTTTTAATTTAATTTAGAAATAATTTACTTTTCCGGTATATTTAATAATTTAATTAATTGACAACAATTATCTTCGGTAAGGTATCACGACTTTTGCGCCGAGAACATTTGCGCCGCGACTTATGCGCCGCGACTTTTGCGCCGGGCGACTTTTGCGCCGCGACTCTTGCGCCGCGAATTTTGCGCCGGGCGACTTATGCGCCGCGACATTTGCGCCGCCATTGTTTAAAAAATCCGGATCCGAAAAATGCCGGATATCCTAAATTTTCAGTTCGGATATCAGATCCGAAGATTTCCTACTATTCGACAACCCTACTAAAGTGAGGTCCGGCTGTAGTTATTGATATATTTTTAATGATAGTGGCGGCGCAAAAGTCGCGGCGCAAAAGTCCCCCGGCGCAAAAGTCGCGGCGCAAAAGTCCCCCGGCGCAAAAGTCGCTCGGCGCATAAGTCGCGGCGCAAAAGTCGCGGCGCATAAGTCGCGGCGCAAATGTTCTCGGCGCAAAAGTCACGGAACCTTCGGTAATATTTAATTGGATAGAACAAAAATGAATAGCTGGCATTTTTTCTTTTAAAAAATAAAGACTTGGAATTTTATTTAAAATATAGAATTGGAATTTTAAAAATATAAACTAGTTGACCAAAAGAGATTTTTTTAAAAGATTCTTCTCTCTCCCCTCCACCTTTTTTAGGTTATTTATCATTTAACTAAAATCCCCCCTCATTCTCCATTTTCTTCAATCCTTTTTATGGCTTAACATTTACTCTTTGCCCCTTTTTTAAATTTTTTTGGATTACTTTCAAGCATCTCTAGAAGGATGCGACATTTTTCTTTGTTTTTTTCCTGTTCCCTTGGCAATTCAACTAAAAAAGGGATGGGACGTATTTTATTTATCAAAATTTTTCTTTTTTTTACATCAATCTTCTTTTTAGTCAATTTTAAACTCATTTTGGAAATTGTTAGTAAATTAAGAGGGAAAAATGGAAATTAAAAAATATTTTTAAAATTTTAATTATTTAATTAGGTATAAAGAATCTAATAAAAATACATATTTTGAGGTAATCTATCAGTTTTGCTATAAATCTGATTTGGTTTGCTTTTCTGATTTTATGATAGAAGGATAATAATTATTACAAAGATGCCGTTTTCGCACTTAATAATGAATTGGCTAATTTTATATTTTTTATAACTTCTCAAAGGTTTACAGTTCAAATTTAAGTTGAATTCACCTTTGTAACTATTAGGTACTATTTTTTCAGCGGAACGTCCCACTTGTGTACCGGCCGTTTGTGTACCTGGCCATATTTTGGGCTATAACTTTGATTCTTAACAGACTTAAATTATTATTATATCAATCGAAAGCCCTGGATGTGAGGATTATTTTCGCCAACGGGATTGATTTGATCAGATCATGTTATAAAAAGTTATATCTCGATAAATGCGCTCAATCGTGATTTTGATCTTTATCTGTCTGTAACTTTTTGTATGATAATCTGATCAAATCAATCCTGTTGGCGAAAATAATCCTCACATCCAAGGCTTTAAATTGATATATTATTTATTTAAATCAATTAAGAATTGAAAAAGTTATGGCCCAAAATATGGCCAAGTACACAAACGGCCGGTACACAATGATCCCCCGCCCATTTTTCAGAAACCCTGAAACAAAAGAATTGTTATGAAACTTTTATGTATACACGCTTGGAATAATTTAAATAATATATTAATTTGATTAATATTTAGTATTCTAAGGAAAATATTTTTGGAGATTTTTTAAATTATTCACTTACTAAAGAGTTTGGAAGGTTAATTTAAATAGAATTTTATAGCTTTGTAAGGATAGTTTTTAATTAAATAAAGGTTAAAGATACTTTGTTAATTTTTATGTTTATTATAAATATTTGTTTATTTAATTTTTAAAACAGGTAACAAATAAATAGGGGTTTTTTCTTCAAAAAAATTTTTTTTTGAAACTTTCATTTAATTAAAAAACAATAATTTCCCCTTTTACCCCAGAAATAAAAGTCTACGAAAAAAAAATAAAGAAAACATTAAGGATTAACAAAGTTACTTTCCCAATTACACATTATTTACGTGTTACTATTATTTATTTATTTTTGTATTATTTTCTGCCAGAAACTTTTCTTTTTTTTACTTTTTTTTATTCAACGCTTCTTGTGTTGAATCATCTTTTTTATTTAATGTTTACCGATAAACAATTTTTTTTCTTGCGCCTCTTAAAATAGTTTTTTTTATTTTATTTATCATCTTTAGCCAAATAACAAAAAATAATATTTTGGCTATTTTAAGGTTTTTTTGGTAATTACAAAAATTATTACATTTTTATTTCCAACTAAGAAATATTTTTTAAAAAATTATTTTAATTTTCTCTAAAATTCAACTTTGTTAAATTAAGCATATTTTCTAATTCATTGTCCCATAAATTAAAAGTAGAGTTCAGCGGTATCGGGATTTTGGCATACTGATCCCGATCTAGATACCGGTCCCGATCCAGGGATCTGGACTGGCCGAAATCGGGATTGGGATTTGGAATAATGATCACATCCCGCGATCGGGATTGAAAATCCCGATCGGGATTTACTAAAAATTTATAAAAAAAAACTTTGGAATCATTAGATGAACGATTTTTGTAGCTTAATATAAAGTCTTTTGTATACGTTTTGAATAGATTAAATTTTATAAATTAAACAGAAATTATCTGAAAAAACAGAAAGGAATAAACTCGTAGGGGATTTCCTGTTGTATTTGTGAGGATTTTGTTTTGGGATGCAAAGGATTTTATTTTTGTTCTAAATTCCTAAAATCAGGATCGGGATCCGGATACCAGTCCCGACTTAAAACAAAAACATAAAAAATTTTTGTAAAATAAATATTACTCATTTTAGTAATAATTTTATTTTATTTTAACGCCGATCATTTCACATTTAAAACCTTTTTTCTGTTGTCTTTGTAGACGGAAATAAATGACCATAAAAATAAAAATAAATGGCCAAATACAAACATTAAAAATATATATAAATTTGTCATCACACAAACCATTCTTTCATTTATTTATTTTTACCTTTCTTGACCAAACCGATAAAAAGCTGTGATTTTATTCTCAAAGTCAAGAATAGCGGCGATTAATCCTTTATTTATTATTATATATTTTTCCTCACAAAAATAACCGTTCTTATTTTTCTAAAAAAATTTTTAGAATTTAAATATGCTTAAATGATTTTCGAGATTTCAAAACTTAAGAAGAAATTTTTTGGATATTTTGGTATAAAATTCGTAAATATTAGGGTTTCAGTTCGAGCCGTCGCTTGGTGCATTTTTTCAAGTTTGGTTTTTTAGATTCGGTTCATTTTTGAGCTGAAAGGCCTTGGCTCGCTCGATCTTTTCGAGTTTTCCTAGTAAATATGTTTATTTTATCAAAAATCTTATTTTTTTTGTTTATTTTTATTTTAACTGTCCGATCGTGCAAAGTTTTGTCAAAAGGTGTGGTAGCTATATTTATTTATATTTTTATTTTTACGACTATGCAATGGACGTTCAAAAGCTTTTAAAAACCGTAAAAGCAATAATAATGCGTTAAAAAAGATGAAAAACTATGATGAAGCGAGAATTGTCAAAACATTGCTGCATTTTGAATTTATTTATAACTTTTTTGGCCTACCTGATTTTTATTTATTGAAAAAATAAAAATTTTTGTTTAAGAACAATTTTTGGTTTAAGTAAATTTATTTTAATTATAAAACATTTTTAGATCAAACCAAAAATAGTAGGATCTTAATTATAATTGATAAAGCTGAATTTGTGTAGCGTGATTTTATACACAATCATTTCTTAATTAGAAAAAATGGGTCAAAATAGTTAGAAAACAAGAATTTAAATTAAAATCTTAAAGAATCTCGATCTCGAAATCTTGTCAAATTTTATGGTCATATTTTGTGATCTAATCTCGTTTCAAGAGAGTATTGCCTTAACGAACCTATTTTTTCAATAATATCTGTTTGATTAGGTTATTATTCAAAAATAAATTCTAATATACCATATTTCCTCTATTAGAATGCCATGACATTCTATTTTTGAATCAGCTTCCAAGGTAGCATTTAATAGAGGAAATACGGTATAAATTTTGAAATATTTTTGATTATTTAATTCAAAAGTTTATCAGCAAATATACTTTTCGAAACATTAATTTTTATTTAATTAATTATAAGTTTTTATTTTTATAAATTAAGTAACTTGTTTATACTTTTTTAAGAACAATCTACTATTAACTATTGTTATTTTCAAATATTACAAATGATTGATGATTATACTAATAATTTTTTAGTAAATCTATTTATTATTAACATTCAAAAAAAGCTTCTTCCGTTCCCATTTTTTCTTTAATTTAATCCAGACAGGTGGCATTTCCTTTTAATTATATTAATAATTATTAAATAAATTATTTTAATATTTTTACCTAATTTTTAATATTTTTTATTTATTTTTTAAAAACAGTTGTCTAAATAATATACCAATTTTCTTACCAATTTAACAATATTTTTCCTTCGTTTGATCTATTTTTTTATTTAATTTGTTCCAACATTTTGTTTCTTTTCTCAATTGTTTTCTTCTTCAAGTATTTTTATCTTTTTCTTCCTTTTTTTAGCTTTTAAAATTTAAAAAATAATTATTTTTTGTTTAAATATTTATTTTTAAAAACTAAATTTAAATAAAGTTTATTTTTACATTTCCTCTGAAAAAGTTTAGAACGGTGTAAAGAGACGGGGATCCTTTGTTGTGTTAATCCCTTTAACTTGGCAGACTTTTCCTTTCCCCTTTTAACTGCAAAATAAGAAAATGTGACGAAAGTGTCAATAATATTTAATAAATATTTTTTAAAAATTGTAAATTGATCCTTTCATTTAAAATTTGTCAAAAATAAATAAATATTTAATTGATTTTTAATTTATTTATTTAATTTTAATTTAATAATTTGGCATTTAAATTTATTATTTAATTATATTTAAGGTTAAATTTAATATTTTGTTTATAAAATTTATTTCCGGAGGTTACGTATCCAAAAAATGGGAGCTATAACTTCGTTAATAACATTCGAATCCGAGACGCCTTGATATGGTTCGATCCATCTCGACGGGCTGAATCGAACCATATCAGAACGTCCCAGATTCGACAATTTTGAACGAAGTTATAGCTCTGCGGTACGCTGGCCTCGCGGTACGTTGGGCTGTACCCCCAAAAAATATTTATTTAATTTTCTATAGCTATGTTTCTGAAATAAAAATTATGTAAAATAATATTCTAATAAATATTTTATAATTCCAAACTCTATATCTACGCGTACAACTTAAGTTTTAATAACCCTCAGATTTTACTTTTTTTAGTTTTAATTTTTAATTTTTTAGAAATATTTTAAACAAATAATATTTAATTTTATTAGTAAAAATTAATTTCTACTTAAATGAATTATTCTGCCCTAAGGGTTTGCCGTCTTGTTTCTTTGGCATTTTCAATGCTTTTTTGTTTGATTGGGGTTGTTTTGCTAATTATTAGTATTGCAACACCTTCTTGGTAGTTTTAAAAAATATTTTCTTTAATTTTATTGTTAGGCTTATTGTCCAATATCGCCTTTCTAACGGAGCAATTGAAGAACACAGACACGGTCTTTGGTTGGATTGTGTTCTTCGTGGGAATGATTTATATTGTAAAATTTGAAAATAATTTTTCGATTAATTTAAAAAAAATTTTTTAGCGTCTCAAAACAGCTATTTTCCTTCATATGGCAGTGCAGGCGATCAATGCGAGTATAAATGGGGTATTTTAAAATTAATTAAATTTTTGAGGGGGGTTTTAATTATTTTTGAGTTTAAAAATAATAAAAATTATTTTTAAAACAGTAAACATCGACTCTTTCACTCCATATGCAGTTTCTTCTGCTGGTGGCCCTCCAATGGATCCTTACTATGGAAGATCTGGGGCTAATGCTTATGCGATGAGTACAATGTTTGAAAATGATTTTGCTCAGCACAGATTTTTAGGTAGAATGAGTTAAATAGGGATAGGCTTTTCTCTAAAGCCGAGATTTATTTTTAATCTGTGCCTTAAGTAGTTTTTAATATGACCTAATTGCCCTCTCTCGAATAATTACCCCTTTTAATAATTACCCTCTCTTTTTCCTCACAAATTTTAAAATATTGAAAAAATTATTGTCATTTTTTAAGTATAATATCAAAAAATAAATAAATTTTTTTTATTTATTTAATTATCCTCTATTTAATGAGATATACCCCAAATTTTGCACCTCCTTTCGATTAATTACCCCCTCCAGCGAGAGGGCGAAACAATAATTACCCAGAGTAATTATTCGCGCATTTACTGTAATCAAAAATAATTGCCTATTTCATCTTTTAGCCTGGCACATTTCTACACTAGTTCTTTTATCAATTGCAATCACTGCAGGCATCTTTGCTTTATTTGCTTCTTGTTGTGTCCTCTGGACCGGTTAATATTTTTAAAAATTGTAATTTATTATTTCTAATTTAATTAAGGCCTTTGTGCTCCTTTTGTGGCTACACTTGAATTTATCGCATGTAAATAATTAATTAAATATTTAATTTAATTAAATTTTTCTAAAGTTATTTGTTCAACTATTGGGTGTATTATTTTCTTTATAAACGCTAATCGTCCAGAAATTCGTTATGTACAAATCCCCACTTCTGCAGAAAGATGGAAAATTAATGAAGTAATTTAAATTATTTTTGGAAAATATTTTCTAAAATTTTTAGCAAATTCGCGGATTTTCTTTTGATTTAACTTTTGCTTCCATTTTTATATTTTTGTTTGCTTTCATTATTGGAGTATTAAGTACAATTACCGTATTTGTGAATGCAAATCGTGATCATCATCGACGACATTTAATTAGGTATTTTTAATAAAGTAATTTTTTTAACAAACTTGCCGAATTTATTTTTATTTTCCTTTTTAAGTTCAAATACCGTATTTGCTCAAATATTTACCCTAATTATTGTTTCAATCGCTCGCTGGGGGTAGAGGACCATTGTGTACCGGCCGGTGCCATATTTTGGACCATAACTTTTTCTTTTCTCAATTGATTTAAATAATTAATATATCAATCGAAAGCCCTGGATGTGAGGATTATTTTTGCCAACAGGAGTGATCAAATCTCAAATAAAATGTTACAGCCAGATAAAGGTCAAAATCACTCGCGCATTTATCAAGATGTAACTTTTTGTAACATGATTTGATCCTCACATACAGAGCTTTCTAATGACAAGCTTTATTCGAATTGGTTGGAAACCCAAAAAGTTATGGCCCAAAATAAGTCGAGTTACACAACTGGGACGTTCCGTTCGCTGGAGAGAGCAATTAGCAGGGTAATTATTTAATGTTACTTCTTAGATTAATCATAACTATTTAGGAATATTTTTTTATCCTCCGACTGAGGGGTAATTAATTGAGAAAGGAGGGTAATTATTTGAGTAACTACGGTAATTGATAAAAAATATTTTTTTTAATTTTTTCTAAAAAGAAAAACCTTTCCAAAAACTGAAATAGCCACAGTCTCTTCCCCAGCTATTGACACATCAAGTTCAACAGCCGTTGCCACATTTGGAAATGAACATTCACGACCAGCTTCTCCCGGAATTGCTGTTTAATATATTTTTAAATTATTTAAAAATATTTTTTTCTTTAAATCTCTTAAAATTTGTATTGATATTTTTTATTTTAATTTTAAAATAATTAATAATTTTTTGCTTATTAAAGTCAAAAATAAATTTTAAGTAAATAATAATCTATTTAAAATATAATAAAGTTCAAAGATATATTTATTGAAGGGTCTAGTTTAATGCATATTTTCGAATATATTTTTAAAATATTTTATTCCAAGAAGATGAACGGGAGCTCTGAGAGAGAGATATTCAAAGTAGGGTTCGATTTTACGGGGCGAAGGCTGATTTTACGAAGAACGGGGGCTCTGAGAAGAGAAAGCTCCCACATTCCCTGGGGAATTCCTTGGATCGGGGAACGATCCAAGATAGGGGAAACTGATTTAGAGAACGATCCTTGGATCGGGGACCCTAATTTAAGGTGAACAGAATTTCTTAATAATTTATTGTAAAAAAATAAAATTTATAAAAAATATTTCACAAATATATATTTATTTATAAAATTTAGAAATTTATTTAAAAAATTGAGTAAATTCTTTAGAAATTTTTAATTATTTTTATTTAAATTTTAGAGTCTTTAGTTCTTTAAATTCTCTTAATTAATTAATTTACAACTGTCCACAAAGAGAAAATAAATGCAAAAAAGGCCACCAAAAATGCAAGAATTGCCCTTAAATTAATTTTTAATTTAATTATTTTTTAAAAATTAAATAAATTGCTACCTGCTCAATCGTTGTTTTAATATATTTGTTCGTTTTTGACGTTCATTGAATGGTGGCCCCGTTGTTGTTAATAAATCTTTTTCCTCTAAATTGGTTGAAATAGAATTTTCTTTTAATTCAACTCCACGCATTCCAGCCTTGAAAATTTTTTAATTTTATGTAAAAATTCTAAAAAACAGTTAAACCTCGCTATAAGCTACCCCTGAAGTTAAATACTCCCATAAGAGAAATGGAAAAAGGAGTCTCGTTTTTTTCTTTAGGAAGACAAATAATAAAAAAGTGAGGGCAACTCAACCGCTCCAAAAGTCGAAAACTTTGAGGCCCTACATATAACTTTCCGATTGGGGGGGGGGGGGGTAGGGCCGAAAAAGAAAAAAAAGGAAATAGTCTTGCTAGTTTTTTTGGGAGGAACTGGCTATAACTAGAACTAAGCTATAACTCTTATTTAGGATGCTCCTCATTACAAAATAACTTTTTAAAGCCCCTAAGGGGATGTCTAATAGTGAGGTTCAAAAGTAAAAGTTTTTACATAAATTCTCTCCTCCATTGTCATAATTGCATTACGAGCACCATCCCATTTACCTGGACCATCCAAACGATATACATAACTTAAAAATAATCCAAAATATTCAAAGATTAACGAAAAATTTTTTAATTTACGGAGCATTAGCGCCAAAAAGAAGTTTTTGATAAAAAGTTGGATCAGATATAGCATATTTCCCCAATGCCGGCAAACAGCCAATTAAACGTGCCAATTCATCCATATAGTCAATATAGTCTACCTTTAATTATTTTTAATTAAATATTTATTTAATTTATTTGCCTGTATTGTATGTCTTGGACTTTTTACATAACGAGCTTGTAATTTTTCTTTTCGTTCCCGAATATTGTCTTGCATTGCTCTCCATTTAGGTAAAACAACATTTCCATTTAAAACCTCAAAAAATAATCTAGCTTGCATTTCGGCAATTGGCATAATTGAGCCTAGAGGCTAAAAAAGGTAATTTTAATAAATATAAGTAGGGTTGACGGTTCCTGTAAATTTTTCGGAGATCCGAAACCAAACCGAAAATTTTAAGGATGAGCAGTGTCCGAAATTTCGTATTGACGAATTAGGAATGGTACCACACTGAAATTTCGTTATTTTCTACGCCGCAGGCGAAAATTTAAGGAATTTAAGAATGCCATTAAATCAGAAAATACTTCGTTTTCTAATGACCCAATGGAGAACCCGAACCGATATCCGAACCGAAATTTTCGCTTATTCGAAACCGAAGGACCAAACAGAAAAATCCTCGGTTCTTCGGTACAGTCCAGATCCGATAACCCAAGCTAAAAGTATTGAAATTTAATTTTTATAACTACTTGAATTAATCCAATAACGGCCAAAGTATTTTTTGGACTTAACTGTGGAGGGTACATATACTACAAAATTAAATTTATATTTTTTATTAAAATTAAAAAACCAAATAAAGGTCCATATCATTTTCTACAACAGGAATTAACGTTCCATGTTCAGCCAATGGAAAACTAAAAGAATACCCTGTAGCGAGAATTAACTAAAATAAATTTTTCAATTCAAATTTTTTAGAAAATCCCCTAACATGATCAACATTTTTTATTTCGCTTCCATCCTCAAAAATAATTCCATTCCCGTCTGGTAAAAATTCCCGAATATTTGGTTTAACACGAACAGTTCCACAACACAAACGATTTGGTAATTCATCATTTACAGTTAAATGGGCACTTTTAGAAGAAAAAAAGAGAATTAAATTTAAATTTTAAAAATACGCTAATATTGAATGTTTTGGTTTTAATCCAAATTTGGCATGGTTAAAACGGCGATTAAATCTGGGGAAAAATATATAGAAATATGGATATTATAATTTATTTACATTTTCTCTAAATGCCAAGAAACTGCAGAAGAGGGGACTATTTGTTTAAGTATATGCCACCAACGAGTATTTAATGCCATATCAAAGGGGTAAGAATGATCCATATTTCGAAACAATACCCAAGTACCTCTTCGAGTGACCAAATAGACCTTCAAAAAAATATATCTTAAAAATATTATCGCTTAAACTTTTAATTAAGGATTATTATTTGAATTATACCCTAAGAGGTTTCGAACAAAAAATATTAATACAATTTTTACAACATTTTACACTCTCGCAAATACATTCGGGTGAGGGCTAACTCGAGGAATTCCAACTCACGGAACAGACAGGTCGCGGAACGACAACCACGGAATGGACAAAGCACGGAATATTTTAAAAAATCAGAATATTCTTACAAATCAGAATTTTTCAGATTTTTTTCAAATTGTTTTTTAGAACATTCTAATTTGTTAAAATAGTCTTATTTTATAAAAATATTCAAATTTTTCAAAAAATTCCGATTTTTAAATTATTCCGTGTTTTGGTAATTCCGCGACTTGTCGTTCCGTGACTTGTCCGTTCCGCGAGTTAGCCCGACACGGATACATTCATCTCCAACAATGAGTATTCCTTTTATGTAAATACCTGTTTAGCAACCCTACTTAATTCTACGGCAATATCAACTCCAGAATTGCCAACACCAACTACAACAACAACTTGATCATCATACCCTCTTTGATCTTTGTAGGAATGGGCCTAATATGTAAAAACATTTATTTATAAGTAAATATATTTATTTACATGAATTATTTTCCCTTTAAAATTTTCCTGTCCAGGCCAAGTAGGGGGGGAATTTGGAGTAGTATGGTGACCAGTACATAAAAGTACAGCATCGAAGATTTCATGAAAGACCTCAGAATTATTTCTTTAAAATAAAAATATTTAAAGATGTTGCTAATGAAGATTGATCAAAAAAAATTTTTAAATTATATTCTCATAAAGTGAAGTTTTGGCCTATAACAAGTGATTGGAATTTTGAAATTTTCATACCCGTATCTGACCATTTTTTTGTTCGTACTCATACTTCATAAACAGGTACGAAGTACGAATTTTGGTACGAGCTTCAAATCTATAACCTTTCCTGCAGAATTGTAAAAAAATCTCTCTCATTTCTCAAATTTTCAAGTAATTCTTTCAATGTCTCTTTTTTAGGAACAAATTCCTTGTTCAATCTAGTATGAAACATATCTCTTAGGAATGTGATTAGTTTTCGGTTCCTAAAAAATCATCGGATATCCGGATCCGAACCGAACCGAAAAATCGTCATTTCTTCGGTGTGATTCGGTACAGAACCGACAGCCCTAAATGTGATTTTATTTATTTACAAAGTTATTAATGTCAAAAAAATATTCAATATTTAAATAAAAAATCTCGAAGACCACCCTCATCCCTCTTAGCTCAAAAATTTTTTCCTAAAAACTAAGAATTTCTGCCGATATAATTAGTAGCTAAGAACATTAGATAAATATCCAAATTTTATTTCAAAAATACCCTTTTTTATATTGTACAATCCATTGACCATTATTCTCAAAATCTTCACATCTCTCCACATTAATAACTTTGTGCTCCAAATATAAATATTTATTAAAGTCAAAAGAATCAGCATAAAGACGTAAATATTCGAGCATACCTTTATTTAAATTAAATTAAATTTAAAAAATTTTAATAAATTATTACATCGATTATGCATAAAATTTGCAAAATTGGAAGGGGGCACAAAAGTGCTATAAGCAGTCATTTCCTTTAAAATTAATTTTAATTTCAACAAAATACTTTTAAATGTACCTTGCTTGTATTAATTACTGTAGTTTTCATTACTGTCCCCTCTTAAAATTTAATTTTTAGATTTTTGGAAGACAAGTAGGTAATATTGAACCTGACAGACCCCATTTCTTCCTCCCCAAGTTTTTCCCTATATATCCACAGAAATCTTAGACTTTTTCCTTTCTTCCATCCCAATTGCCCTTCTTTATTTTGCCTACAAACAAAAGGAATTTTTAGCCCCCCTTGGATGGAAGGAAAATTGAAGGAAGAAGTCTGACCATTCTACAAGTATATAGGAAGAAACTTAGGGAGGAAAGAATGGGGGTCTGTCAGGTTCAATATTACCGATAAGTCTAAGCTCCTTTACCTTCAGTTTCATAGGGTTTGTATCTCCAAAGACCCCCAATATCTGTTGAAGATTCGAACACAAAAGGAAGCCAACCATGGTCAAGAGCTTCTCTAAAGGTGTTCAAAATTAATTTTTTTTTAAATATAGTCCAAAATGTGTGAAAAATTCTTAGAATTTCAATTTCAAATTAAAATTAAAAATATATAAAATTCTCCACCTAGCAGCAGGAATTCCACTAGCACCTGCCCCAATAATTGCAACTCTCTTCTTTTGCAACTTTTCATGTTCAATCTCCATCAGAATTTATTTTTTCTAAAAATCTATAATGGGTGAGGGGCAACTCAGGGAATTCCAAATCACGGAACAGACAAGTCAAGGAACGACCATCTCTGGAACGGCCAAATCATGGAATATTTTAAAAATCGGAATTTTTTGAGAAAACTGAGATTTAAAAAAAAATAAGAATTCTAACAAAATTACACTAAACAGAATTTAAAAAAAAATCTGAAAAATTCTAATTTTTAAAATATTCCATGATTTGGTCGTTCCTTGATTTGTCTTTTCCTTGAGTTACCCGACAAGAATAGAATATGAACAATTAATTTATTTACTACTTTGAAAAAAAAATAAAAACGCCTAGACTTTTTTAAAAAATTATTGCCAATTTTTAAAACAAAAAATTAAATGTTTGCAAAATAAATAACGAAAACTAAATAATTTAAAAAATTAACTAATATTAGTATTTTTGTAAAGGAAAGGAAAATTTATAAAGAAAAAAAATAAAAATGCAAACAATACAATAATTTTTATAAAAATTGATTTTATTTATTTATTTATTTGGACTGATAAGCAGAAAAAACAAAAGTAATCCTTTAGTTATTATTATTGTGTAATATATAAATGTAAGTATTTATTATACACAAGAAATTTTATTTATTTTTTACAATAATTTAATGAGAAAAAAAATAATCTACCAGAAAGACTAAAATTTAACGTGAATCTTGCTTATACATCTGCTAAGAAATTTTAAACTTAAAATAAATAATTATCGGCTCTATCTGAAAGATAATTATGTAGGTAGTCGAGGCAGGGTGAAACACGGATCGGACACGACATTAAAGGACAAAACACGGGCTTGCCAACATACGGAACGACCAAAATTCAGGCCATACCAAGACGACCAGACAGTGCTTTGTCTGTTCCGTATTTTGGAATTCCTTGTTTTGCCCTTCACAAGATCTTAAAAAAGTTAGAAAAAATAGGAAAAAGATAGAGTCTAATACTAATAGATAAATGATTGGAGATAAATTGAAAAATCAAAAATAAATTAAAAGGGTTTTTAAATTGAATTTAGAAATAGGTAAATTGAAAATAAAATGAATTATATGTATTCTCATTAATGGTATAAAATCTTTTAACGTTTTTGGGACTAGAGATTGGACAAATGGACAAATTCTTCTATCGGACTAGAGATCTTTTTTTGCGGACTAGAGATCGGGTTCATTTTAAAAAAAATATTTTTTTAATTAAAATTTGAAAAATTGGTTGAGGAAATTTTTTTAGAAAATCCTGATGAAATAAACGAAAAATTGATGTCCTCAAACATTAACATGAAGCAGAGGTGGGTCGGACTTCCGATTTCCGACGTCTTTTCTTCCGACGTTTTCCCTTCCGATTTCCGAAAAAAATTTGATTTCCGATTTCCAAGTTCCGATTTCCGACTCTTCCGATTTCCGACACCTCTGACAGTTCCGTCCCACCTCTGATATGGAACAGCAATATTTTTAATATTTTAAAAATTAAAGTGCATTTCTATAAATAAATAAAATAAATTGTTTTTAATTTAAAAAAAGTAATTTATTAGCTACAATAATTATTTTCCCAGCACTTTTCCTGTCTTTTTTTAAATATCAAGTTGTTATTCATTTTTTTAAAGTTGCGAACAGAGTTATTCTTTTTTTAAACAAGTCTCATTCCATTAAAACATTTCCGTCCTTTTTTCATTATCTGGCCTTACGGATCTTACAACCAGAAATTTATTAGGAAATTGGAAAAAAAATGTTTTTTTTATTAAAAGGCTGTTTTATTTGAAGATGTGTAAAGTTTAAAAAAATATTACAATTAATGTCAGGATGTGTCAGTTATACTTACTTTATATTTTGTTATAATTAAAATTTTTATGTAGCGTTAATGTGAAATATTGTAATTGGTTCATAATATGAGTAGACGTGACTAGAGTACGTCGAGTACCGAGTAATTAGTGGAAAAACCGAGCAGTACTGAGTAACCGAGTAATTGGGAATAAGTCGAGTTTGTAAGTAAGTATTATGATGTTGGGATCCTCCCCCAAGTATTAGGATCCCAAGTTTGAGCTTGAGTAAAGACGAAAAACCCAAGCGATCAAGTAAATAAAAGATAAATAAAAATACTCGGACGTAATCTAGTCGTGATAAAGAGGTGTAACTGTAAATTTTTGGATTTTGAAAACAAAAATGACAAATTGGTACTCTGTACGAATTTTGTTTCTTGAGTATAAGTACAAAAGAAATAAGTCTAAAAAAATATGTCTGTAAGACTAGTACTAGTAACCGGGCTTGCTTTCGAGTTGTGGAAAATAGGTAGGCACGAGTACGAGGAATTTTTTAATTTTTACTTACATTGGGGGCAGGTGAAATTTTGGAAATTAATTTGGATTTGATTTTTTATTTTTCCTAAGTTTTGTTTATTTATTTGGAATAAAAATGAAAAAAATACAATTTTATTCAAAATACATTTTAAATTAAAATATCCAGTCAACAAATCATTTTTAATCCGATTTCTAGTATTATTTTGAATATAAAGCGAAAAAAAAGGAAAATGGGGTTGGATATATTATATAATTTTAAATTAAATAATACAATTTTATAGATACATATTACAAATAATTTTCTGAAATTAATTTAAAAATAATTTATTTAGTAGTTGGACACAATCGTTTTCCTAACACTCAACCCTTGGTTTTGATTATAGTTTTTGACTCACACCTTTGACTTCACACAAAGTGACGTTCCGATTTTTTCACATTCCGATTGTGATTATGTTCCACAAATCCTTTAAAATTATTTTGTGACATAGACATCTACTGTTAGTGATATTGACAGCAAAAGGTGGCGATTGTGTTCCACAAAGATTTAAAAATAAGAGTGTCAACTGACATTCACCATCGAAATGTCACAATTAAAATGTCAATTAACGAGAAATTTGGAATTTCGATGAGGGTTAACTTATCCATGAGGGGGGGTGCTGGGTTAACCTATCCTCAGCTAATGGTTGATTAAACCTTAAATTTTCAATTAAAATATAAAAATAAAAACAATTAAATCAAAAAATATTTATTTAAATCAGTGTTTTTATTCAATTTATAATTCATTCATCTTCTTTACAATCCAATCCTCAACTTTTTCAATATTTAGATCTACCTTAAATTTTTTATTATCCTCTATAGAATTGTTTATAATTTCAATTTTAATTTTATTTTTAATAAATTCTTCAATTAATTCATTTCCATATTTCTTTACCAATTCTTTAATTTTTTCCTGATTAAAATTATTTACAAAATTTCCATTTAAATTTTCAGTTATTCCTTCAAAACTTTCCAAATTTTCAATCATTTCTTTTATTTTATTCTCATAATTTTCATTAAAATAATTAAATTTATTAGCTAAATGTTTATAAATTTCTAAACTTCCTCTCAATTGAAATGTCGTTATCAAGCGTTTTTTTAATTCTTTAAAAGAATTTAAATTTAAATTATCTACTCTATTCAATATTTTATTTAAAACTTCCTTCCCTTTATTTTTTAAAATTTCAAACCAATCCTCTCCATTATTTTCTAAAATTTCTTTTTTATTTAATTTTTCCCTATATTCCAACATATATTTATAAAAATATGAAATTTTTTTATTTTTAATTATTGCTGTTATAACATTTAAATTATTTTCTTTAATAATATATTTATCTATAATTGATGTAAGATAAACAATTTTGTAGAAGAACCATATCCCTTCCTTTACTCCAAATTGGAGAATAAATATTCCTTAAATTTTAATTAATAATAATAAAATAATTTATTAAAGGTAGGCCGATATTCCATATATCCTCAAAATCCACTAATATCCCCCAATCCACTTATATCCACCAAATCTTCTGACTATATTAATCTTTCAAAGCATATGTACTTAAAAGGATTGGCGTTAGTCTCGTATCTCATGTCCCGTATTTTCTGGGACGAGTGCCACCCTTGTTATACATAGGTGAATGAGAGAGAGAGAGAGACAAGCACTCCTTTGCTATCAAAGAAAACGGAATAGTAAAATTGTTAGAAAATTTATAAACGCCTGAAAAAACAAACGTTTTGTGTATGTTTGGTAGGAACTGAATCTTTTTTTGGTAATCTAGAGAATAGTATGGATTTTATAAAAAAATTGAAAATCTAAATCGAAAACAAATGTCTCGTTCCAGTTTTACTAAAAACCAATTTATTATTCAACTATAAGTAACTTTGAAAAAATATTTTACAAAATTATTAGAATATAACCTCCTTTTTCAATATTTTCATAGCATTCTCTAATTTCTTTAATTAAATTCTCATATTCGTCATATTTATTTATTTCCCCCAATAAGTCCAGTTTCCTCATTTTTAAATTAATTTCTTGCCAATAATTCTCCAAATTAATTTTTTTATAAAAATCTATTTTGTCCCTAATCTCGTCGATTTTTTCTTTTATTAAAATTCTTTCAGAATCGATTTTATAAATTGGTGGAACCTCCAATTTTGTTAATTTTAAATTATTTGATAAAATGGATATTTGGTATTTCTCTAAATTATTTTTAGCATAAATAACTTCGACTTGATTTGTAAAAATTTTTCTTTTAATAATCTTTAAGAAAAATAATTATTTGATAGATTAATAGAATATTTTGGCGCTGGTCTAGTCTATGCGTCCAATGAATTTTTATGCGTCCAATCAAACGAAATTGAATTTTTCTTGGTGTTGCAAAGTTAGGGTTTTTTTCAAAGTCAGTCCAAAACATTTCTTCATGTCCGGGACCTACGCCCACTGGATCTGTGACCATTCCTCACATTATCCCTCGAAATTTCTGAAAGCTACATATAATTGTTTTTCTGAAATTTTTAAAAGTTGGCTATAACTTTCAGAAAAAGAAGCTATAACTTTCAGGAAAGGAATGGCCCCAGACCACACCCTAACTTTGCAACATCAAGAAAAATCCAATTATTTTTTGATTGGACCCATAAACTAGACCAGCGCCAATATTTTTCTTTTATTTACCTGATTCTTAATTTTCGGAATTATCAATTTTAAATTAATATTTATCGGGATTTCTATAAAAATTTCTGCAAAATCGTATAATAAACTTTTATAAACATTCTTTTTTCTTTCTATAAAATTTTTTTCTATAAAATTTAAATTAAATTTTATATTTTTAAATTTAAAATAATTAATATTTTTGATTTTCATTCCTTCTATTTTTTCTATTTTATTATTTTTTGATCCTTTTAATTTATACAATAAATTAGCTTTAAAGCTCGTATATTCATAATTTAATAAATAATTAAATTGACGTGAATTTTGGTAATCTTCTTTAATTTTTAATTCAACAGTAACTTGACTACAATTGAAAGTTTTAAATAAAAATAAAATAAATATTTGTAAAATAAAAAAATAATTAGTAAACATTCTTTTAATTAGTAGACTATAAATAAATTTAAATTAATTTAAAAAAGAATTCTTTGTGTTTAGAAGGATAATGGAGTAAAGCAGCTGAGCTATAGCTATTTTTTTCCTTTAGCTAGTGCAAAAGGTTATTCGGCGGCTGGGAGCGAACCAGCATCTTCAGTGAACCGGACTGATGTGTTAGCCGTTACACTACGCCGCCTACTGCACAGCTTTAGGAATTAAATATGTAGCTATATGCTTTACATGGTCATTTCTTGGCTTCCTAAAATCCCAAAATTTAATCCCAAAATAAATCTCAGAAAAAATAAACATTTAAAGAGAAAGACTAATTAGTGGTGTTGCCTCCCCAAAACTACAACCCCTCGCTAGTTTATTTTATAATTATTTATTTACATATTTTAATATTTTAAATTAATATTTTATATAAAATTTAGCTGGATTTTATAAAATAAAATGTAAATTTTTTTTATTTTATGTATGTTCGATTGTGAAATAGGTAAATAAATAAAATCAGCTTTGATTTTGCCCTTAAAATGCCTTTGATTTTGCCTATGTTTTTTCCGAATAATCAATTAAATTAAAGGGAGAGAAATTAATTGCCACATTTTTTGAATGCACTTTTAGGTAAAAAACGACATTTTTTAACTTATATTTTTTTTAAAAACTGTCATGCGATATTTATTTTTAAATTTTGTACTGTATAACTTAACTAGGTATCTCCAAAAGTGATCCGTGTGGATCCAGAAGTTTTTATTTTAGTGCTTCAGAAAAAAAGTTCATTTAAAGTTTCATAAAAATAGCCGAAATATTAATGGATTTTTGTTAGAATGAAATTTCTAATGTCGAAGGTTTATGACGAAAACTAAGATAACATTATCATTCTTGAAGTCTATATCAAAATAATATCTTGAATTTTATAATTAAATTAGTTTAATTTTATTATTTATTCGCTTAATTTACCTCCAAAAAAATTAAGTAAAAACGACATATTTATTTGTCCGGTTAGTTTTTAATGCTAATGGTCAACTACCATTATTCGCTTGTTAATGTTTATGTAGCGGGATAATCGCCCTATTTTTCGACGATATAATTTGTAAAACTTGCTTATTAGTTAAATTTAAATATATTTATTTTCAACAAAAAAACTTTTAATATAGGTAAAAATTTACTCAATGTTTGTATGGACAAAGCCCATTAACGGTTTAGTATAAAAATTTTTTACTGGAATGCTAGTCTGTGTGTTAGGGCTAGTTATCCTGTCTTCAACCATCCTTATCTGCTTGATAAACTTTGTGTGTGTGCTCGTAACTCCATCAAAAGCTAAGGCAAACCCAAAAAGACATAACAACCAAACATTATTATTTATTTATTTACATACAAAATTATTTAAAAATTCCAACGAACATTCTAACAAATTTTTAGCATTGTTATCATTTACTCGTTAAAAATATTAATCGGTTTAACATAAAATTTTCAATAGTCTAATTTTCTATGGAATTTGTTTTAAAAAACTATGATAAATAACTGCTTTGTTTTGCATTTTTATAAAATTATTAAAATAAAAATATTTGGATAAAATTATTTTAATAAATTTTGTAATTAAAAATATGTATGTATTTAAAAATTCTAAATAATTATGAAAAACCTCTTTTTGTCACTAAATTCTTTTTAAACGGAAAATTCGTAAATTCAAACTATAATATAGATTATTATTTATCTTTCTCAAATTGAGTGGCCGGCCGCTCAATTATACAATCCCCTCTCAAAGTGCCGCTCTATTTAAGACGACCGTCGAACTGGAGGGGGCCGCTCAATCAGAGAAAATACGGTATGTATATTTAAGTCTATGGGTACTTTTTAGGTCCAAATTTTTGGGTATTCTTAAAGAAATTAATTTACAAATTCATCATTCTGCAAAAACTCGAGATTAATGTCGAAAATATTATTAAAGATATTTTATAAAATTTACATATTTAATCAGTTATTTTTCATTTTTAATTTCCCAAATATTTTTTTAAATCAAAAAAGCATCATTTAATTCACCAGTCATCACACTTTTCCTCTTTTAAAGCTTTCCACTTTCCCATCATTTTTTTTCAAGAGTAAACAATAGAAAATAAACAACAGCAGTTTTATGGTCAAAAAATATTTTTTTGTTTCCCCCCTTTATTTTAAATTCATCAATAAAAAGAGGAAAGGCCGAATAAATGCTTTAAAGACCTAGTAAATACACAAATAACAACATCTTTTTTGTTATTATTACAATCATTCTTTTGTACATTTTTTATTTTATTTCTCCACTATTCTCGTCTCTGCTATGTATAAAAAATATTTTTTTATAATCCTTTAATCAAATTTTTATTCTAAATCAATATTTTTTGTTTTAAATTGTTTGTAAATATTTTTAGTTTACAAGGAATTATATCGGACTGTCACCTAAAATTCCGTAATTATTTTTATACCATCGTATAGAGCAGGGCCGATTTCCTATTGTCAGTTTTTTTTCTTTTTCGGCCCTATTCCCTAAATTGGAAAGTTATAGGGCTTCAAAGTTTTCGACTTTTGGAGAGGTAGTAATATTGTGTATTTTTTTAATTTTTAGTTTAATAATTTCGGGGATTGTAAAAAAAATTTTTTTTTGGAATCTACATAATTATTTTTGTAATTTATTTTTCTTTAATTATTTATGTATTTTATTTACAAAAAAACAAAAATTATTTTAAAAATTATTTTGTGCACTGATAAGGTTAAAAATGGAAAAATGATCAATTGAAATTATGGGAGCGTTCCGCCAGTTTATTTTTTCACCGTTCATCACTTGCAAATATTTTATAATAAAATTGTTAAAGTAGTATTATGTAGATGCGCAACATTTTAACCAATATTTTCTAAATTTCTTTTTCTGATGGCCATTTTTGGAATTTTCTTTGATCCACGCTTAGTATGACAATTTCAGAAAATATTTGGGGAGAGTTTAAAATAAATATTTATTTTTGTATTTTTAATTAATTTATTTATTTCTAACCTATTTATTTAATCAATAAAAATCAAGAATCCTTTTTATTATCAAAATCTTTTAAATATACTTCAAGGTTATCGCTATTTCGTTCATTTAATACTTTTTTTCTTTCTTTAAACGAATAGGAACAATTTAAAATAGAAAAAATTTTTCAATTTAAAAATATATTTTAACATTTTAAATATTGAATACCGTATTTACTCTAATAATTCCCATGGGAATTTTTTTCAACCCATCCGTAGCATGTGGAATTATTCAAGGGAGGGGAATTATTCGAGTTTTGAAATTTGAATGTGTAGTGAAGTATTTGGAGGAGGGGGATTATTGTTTCAACTCATCCGTAGCGGGGGAAATTATTCGAGAGAGGGGAATTTATCGAGTAAATACGGTATACATACTTTTATATCTGATTAAAAAATAATTTAAAATTGATTCTTGCAATTATAAATTTGACAATTATAATTTACAATGATATGAAAATTTTTAATTAATTCGTCAAAATCTGATAATTACAAAAATTTTAAATATTTTAACAATTTTTTAGAATTTTTTAAAATTTATTTTAAAAAATGGAAACAGCCGAAAACCCAACTTCTTTATTATTAAAAACAATTTCTAACAAAAAAGAAACGAATAAACCTTCTAGTCAATTTCGCCCATTTCTCTCATACAAAAACTTTAAAAAAATTTCTCAAGAAAAATTGGACAGTTTTGAAGGAGGTAATTTTTAATTATTTGGAATTAATGAAAAATTTAATGAAAAATTAATTATTATTAATACCGTATAACCTGTATTAATTGCCTTCCCTCAAATAATTACCCCACTTCTATTGAAACAATAATTACCCACCAACAAATGCTCTAAAAATTTTTTAAACCTCATATAATTACCCTCCCTCGATTAATTACTCTCTTCAGCGGAAAGTCGAAACAATATTTACCCAGGGTAGTTATTAAAGGATATACGGTATGTAGAGATTTTAAATTTATTTTCATCTCCTTTTTGAACTGATTAAATTTTTGTTAATTAATTATAAAAATTCAAATCAAAAATTACCCACATAATTTTAATTTAAAATATTTTTAGAAGAAAATATTTTAAACGAAAATATCAACTCAACATCTACTTATTCAATTACTCAATTTTTTAAAAGCATTGGAGGAGGGCATTCCCTTTGCAGAATTCTTAAACAATTTTCAGATGGCCGTATTTGGATCGAAATTGGAGGGCATGAATTGTTATTAATGCAAACAGTTAATGTAAATACAGAAATGTTGGAAGGAGAGAAAGAAGTAAAAATAAATAAATTTTAATTATCTAATTAGATCATCTGTTTATTTTTTATACCTCAAATCCAAAAGATAGAAGAGTCGCTTAGCTAATTTGGAGTTTTTCTATTTTAAAAAATTCTGGACAATTGTTAAAGCTTTATTAATTAAATTATTTTTACGGGATTTCAACTTACCATTATTTTTTCATAACCTAATGGATATGATTTGCTATTTTGAATTTTTATTTTTTATATCTATAAAATCCAAGGGATAGAAGCATCGTTTAGTTTATTTGTAGTTTTTATAAGAAGTTCTGGACAATTGTTTTTGATGTAGTGGTTTGAAACGAGAGCTCAAATCCTCCAACCTTAAGATGTCGGGAATAGGGATTTCGACTTATCCTTCATAGAGGAATAACCGGACATGAATTACTTCGTTTAGATAAATTACCAAATTTTTATTTTTAATAACTAAAAAATTTATTTTTAGATTCCTCTACATTCCCCAACAATTGGAAATATATCATCTTCAACTCCTCCTCATTCCCCACACTCTCATTTAACAAATTGTATTTTTGCTAATAACAAAAGTTATTCTTCAATGATTCGTCCCTCAAGTTTGGGTGGTAGGATTTTGAATTTTTAAAGATTTATTATCGAAATAATTTTTGTTAGAATATATTTTTTTCAAATATTAATTTCTCAATTTTTCCAATAATAAAAACCCCAAAATAATTTTCTTCCAAAAAAGGTTACCCAGAAAGAATGCCCTTTTCTTCATTTATCCGCTCATTTCATTGTTTATTGAAGAACAAAGAATTTATTGAAAAAAATTGTGAAGAAAAGGAAGAGAATATTAATAATAATTCAATTACTGATCGAGAAAATGTCAGAAGGATATTAAAAAGGGCAGGTATTGCAGAGCATCGTTACAGGCTTGGATTGTCACAGATTTTGTTACAAAGGTGGGTAGTTGGAATAATTTTTAATTTAATTTTTTAAATATAACCAAAATATTATAAAAATATTAACTTAAATAATTTTTAAGAGAACTCCTCGAAGAGTTAGAGAATAAACGTTCTGTTGTACTACTACCTATTTTGAGTGTATTTCAGGTGGATAATATATTTTAAATAAATTGTTAGTAAATATTAGAGACGTACAAGACCAAAAATATTATAAGACTAAATACCAAGACTACACCTTAAAACCCTAGAATGAAGTCTTTAGGTCCTAAAATTAAAGACCAAGAGTCTGGACGTCACTAGTAAATATCTAAAATCGGTAATAGTTTGGATAACCATCCCCCTTTTTTCATGACCGTTTTGAGCTTTTTTGCTTGACATATAATCTATTATAAATCATTCAAAGAATTCGTCGATCTGGTCGGATAATTCCAAGATCTACTAGATTTGCTGATTCTGAACAAAATAAAGTGGCTAAATCCTCGTTGGATTAAAATAAACGGTCATTACTTTTTTAATCTAAACCAGATTAAGTTGATTTTAATTTCGCCGATACAGCTTGTGGAGCTGAAGAGCTCATTCGAAAAAGAGAAAAAATTGAAAGAAATAAAAAGGGAAGAAAGGGGGTGGTCGGCCAAACTATTACCCTAAAATCTTGTCAATTTTAGGCAAATTGCCGTAAATATTTAATTTCAAAAAGAATGGAAAAGGAGAGGGAGAAAGATGAGGCTATCCGAATAATTCAATGGAATTTTGAACGGTGGCAGGATTTAAACAAATCAAAATGGTGGAAATTATTTGTTTATATAAGGCCACTAATTCCTGCAGCTAGGTTCCAAAAATTTTTTTTAATAATTCAAACAAAAATTTTTTTCTTAGCGTCGATGCAAGGGAAAATCGCTTGAAAGAACATTTAGCCCAATTAGAGTTAGAATTGGACGAGCTTCGTTCAGAGCATTCTAGAGCTCAACTAGAATTAGAATCAGCCCAAAAATCTAAACAAATTGCAGAAAAGTGGTCTGAAGAAATTGGGCAAATTAATAAAAAATTAATGGGTGAATTGAAAGAGGCTGAGGAGAAACTTAAAAAATCTGTAAAGACAACTGAACAGATAAACGGTAATTTTTGGTTAAAAATTACAGACTGAATCGAATCTTGATATGCCGTTACTTAGTGAAAGAGCATGATAGCGGAAGCTAAAACATATCCCTCGGGACCGAATTGTGAAGACGTAAAAAGGAAGGATACAGTAGTCATCGACATAAAGAAAGGGACAAGAGTAACTAAAATGACTCGGTAGTATAAAATATTATTCCGATAAAATTTATTCTCATTAAATAGAGAATTAAATGGAGTATCTAATAAAACAAAAATATTATCTTAAATTGAATTTTTAACTGAGAAAATGGTTAATTTTCATTTCAGTTAAGCTTACCCTAATCTTTATGTAAATGACTTATGTGATATCGAGATTCGATTTTAATTATTTGAATAAAAATTTGAAGAACATTAAATTTTAAAAAATTATAAACTCAAAAAGAATAAAAAATAATAAAATTAAAAAATAAATTTGAAGAGTTTGAATTTGAAATTGTATTGAATTGATGTTAAAGACAATGTTTGTTGTAGGTCCTATATTTTGTGTGTTGCTGCTGAAAGTTTCTGTGCTGCTTAAAAACAAAAATCTAGTGAATTTCTGCTATTAGGTGTTCAAAAACCAGACCCCTTACCCTTCCTAATTATAGTAAGTATATGGTTGATAATTGAGCGGAGACGGAAGAAACTGGAACCCTTCAACGAGGGAATTGGGTGGAATTGGGGACGCGTACGCCTTACCATTTTATGGTCTATCATTACTAGAGAGGCAATAAAAGAGAGCAGACACTAACAAATAAAGGTACCACTATAGAGAGAAGAATTGTGTGTATTCTCTACGCCGTCCCCAATGCTAGCAACGAATCTAGGGCGCGCGTAAATTGATTTCATTGGTCTATTTAACGTCCACGACAAAACTTCTCGTTCCCATCTATCTTTATTCACTGCTATTACCCTTTTTTAATTCCAAAAATCAAGGATTGGTCAAATATCAAACATAAATACCTCTCAACTTCTATTTCAACAATTTAGGAATAAATAGTTTTTTAGACAAAATATTTGACTTTTTTTATTATCAAGCTGCTATATTTCATATTTTCTGCTAGTACAGCATGTCAAGATTTACAAAATCGCAACAAGGTGCAAGGAAATTGGTATATGAGGTGGGTTAAAATTTCTTTTAAAATTTTTGAATCTGAGGTGTAGACGAGACCGTATTTTCTATATTAAAGCCCCCGTCTTTAATATACCCCCCCCCTTGCGGGATGGTTGAAAATTAGATGGGGATCTATTAAAGAAAATACGGTAAATGAAGAGATTTAAAATTTTGTAAGTTCAAAATATTCTATCCACGAATCTTAAAAAGCATTTCTTGAAGGACTAATTTCAAAATACATTGTTCAATACTATTTATTTGCCCCAAAAATAATACATAAATTTCATTAAAATTATGTGGTAATTCCGCGACTCTACAATTCGCCTATTACCGTAACTTTGCTTGACGACCAATTTCATTTTATTTAACCCCAGCCAGTACTTGTATATAGCTAGCTTCACATTTTTAGTTTTTTCCTCCCCTTTCTACATTCATTTTCGCTTGCCTTTATTTTTAGTGCTGCTGCAATATTATAGAGGAGCCTCTTAAATCGATTATTCGTTGTAGTATTACCTCCCCCATAAACTTTGTATAAATCTTGTTTTTTCTAAATAAATCTTTCATATCCGTCATATCTTGATCTAATTTTGCTTTTCTTTTTCATAGGCACTTAAGTTTGGGATACACCCAAGTAGGCGCACGGCCATAACAGCGCAAAGCCATGAATTGCTAGAAAACTTCTGGCCCTTAGCAATTTTGGTACCAATCTCTCTACCTCGATGAGAGGAATCGTTTATTACTAAATTCGGTAAGATTCTGAAATCTTGAAGTAAGTAATGGTTTTGCGCCGTTATGACCGCGCGCCTACTTGGGCTGTACCCCAAAAGTTTCTTTAGTATGTAGCTCTTGGAATATATATGTATATTTTCTTGACCGGAATTTTTTTTACCCACAAATTTAGATTGACTACTTTGAAGGACATACTCTCTTTAACGAATAAATCAATACCTCCTACTGTATCTCTCTATAGCGAACATTGTCCTAGTTAAGATCCTCCCCCGTTTCTTTACTCATTCTCTTCATTTCCCATACCATTAAAAATAAAATGGCTGCCAAACGCAAGGTAATAAGTTTGGAGACAAAAAAGTATATTATTGATGATTTTCAACATGGTCTTAAAAACAGTGAATTGTGCAGAAAATACAACTTGGATCGAACAACTGTATTAATGATTCTTAAAAATAAACAGAATATTTTAAATGCTATAGAGAAGGGAGCAATTGGAAGTAGAGCAAGACTACAGACATTCAGTTTTGGATGAGGCTTTGTTGGAATGGATTAAAATTCAAAACTCCAAAAACATTCCTTTCGATGGCCAAATGCTCAAGGCTTGCTTATAAATCAGGAAAATTTTTAGGAAATAAAAATTCCAGAAGAAAGCATTGGAACTCTCTAAACAATTTTCTGGAAAAGCTGATAAATTTGTGGCGAGTAATGGATGGCTTGTTCGATTTCGTGCCCGCTACTCTATTAAATTCACCAATGTAGAACAGGAGAATGGGGCCATCAACACGGATATTGAGGGTTGTGAACAAGATAAGGAGGTAGTATATTTTGGCTGTTTTTAATTATCCCTTATCTTGAAATTTTTGGACAAGCGTTCACTTGGCATTTTCGTGATCTCTATCGAAATTACTAACTTAATAATCACATATGTATGTATTATTACAAGCATTTCTCATTTAAAAAATTTTTGGTAATTCTGAAGATTGTCCCCCCCATTTTTTCCTTACTTTTTCCTTCCTTATGATTGTACACAATGGTCAGATTTTTCCCCTTTCCTTTTCCTCTTTGGCATATTCAAACGAGAGAGAAAATTAGTTTTGCTGCATTCATCAAATTATTTTTTGCCTTCGGAAATTATGTTAATAAAAAAAGAATTAAAAAACAGGCAAAAAATAATTTGATAAATGCAAAACTAATCTTCTCTCTCGTTTGAATATGCCAAAGAGAAAAGGGAAAGGGGAAAAATCTGACCATTGTGTACAATCATAAGGAAGGAAAAAGTGAGGAAAAAATGGGGGGGGGGACAATCTTCAGAATTACCAAATTTTTAATGTTTATATGTATATGTATTTATCGTATTTACTCAAATATCACCCTCAAATAATTACCCCCCCTCCCCGCCAGAGGTTTACCTTACCTCTATTAATTAACCCCTCTAGTGAAAAATAAATTGCCCAGGGTAATTATTTGAGTAAATACGCCTGCTTTCATTTTATTTATTTTCTTTTAGTTCTAATTTTGTAATTTGTTTGTTATTTAATTTTTTAGAGGTCTTTTTTATTTTGTCGTTTAGATAAAGATTTATTTAATGGAAAATCCATCTAATAATAAAATTCGATTTATTCCAATTAAAACTTCAAATGCAGCAGAAGACCCACTATCATCAAAGGAGGAAGAGAAACATGACATGTCCGAAGACGATCCGGAATTTTTGCCGGAAATGTCAAATAGCCAGAAAAAACGCCAATCATACCCAATAGATGTTAAATTAGAAGTAATTGAATACGCAAAGAAAACTTCGAGACATGCTGCTGCAAGACATTTTGGAATTAGTCGTAAATGTATCTCTCAGTGGGTTGCTGTAGAAGAGAGACTTAGAGAATTTAAAAATGTGACTGCAAAAGGGGCAAAATTGCGGCTTCCTGGTGCTGGGCGTCGGGTGCAAAAGCCTGAAACCGATGAAGGCGAAAAAGTAAGGAGTACTTTCATTTTGGTAATATTGGTGGCACGCGGACGTGTCGGTACGGACATATCGGGATATTTCAATGTACGAACAGTTATCCTACTGATTTCAAGACCTACGGCCACTGGGTCTTGGATAATATAATATATTGTCCTGCTGAGGAATAGAGTTTTTGTTTTAGAACAAATGTAAACACGCAAAAAATTATTTTTGTCACTATAATCCCGATATGTCCGCACGCCAAATTTGGTAACGTACAATCATACTTCTGAGCATGTTTCGGAAAATTTTCTTGTAGAAAATACTTTCAATTCTTATGAACTAATAAATATCCTTAAATGTGTTGCCTCTTTTTAAATGCTCGGGTGTTTTATTTGTTAGATACCTTTCTATGTCACCTCTTTTTTTTTCCCGACTACATCACTTATGCCTCTCCAAACTAAACAGCCAGCTAATAAAATACTCCCGCGTCGCGGTCCGATGACGGATGTATATTTTTCTCGAACATTTTGTCATTTCTCCTCGCTGTTTTATATATTCTCTCTTACTTGTGTCTTTCTCACATTCCTTTTTATTTCTTGCTAAAGTCATATATTGTGTGTTTACCTAACAATCGACAATTCCCCACTCTTGTCGGCTTTGTCATTTTATTTTTAACATGAAACAGATTTTTGTGTACATACATACATATTTCTATTTTATTAAAACCCTTCTCAGATGACTCCCTTCAAATTTTAAGTGGGGAGGACCGTTTATATTTTATTTTTTCACCATATTATACCGTCACTTTAACCTAAATTTACTTTATTTCTTATGGTACTTTTCATTTATGCCACACCCGCCTAAATTAATGCTCAAAATGTCATATATAGAGTAAAAAAGGTGCTAAGTCGAACAGACCACTCTTTTTCACAGGAGATGTCTTTGGACCCAGATATAAGGCTCGAAATGGTCAAAAACCATTACCCCAAAAATAAGCTTACTCCCTCTATGGTTTTTGACCATTTCGAGCCCTATATCTCGGTCCATAGACATCTCCGGTGAAAAAGAATGGTACTGTTCGACTCAGCACCTTTTTTTACCCTATATACATAACGGAAAAGTACCTTTCTTATCATTAAATCAGTTAATATTTCTGTACTAGTTATGTCAGCTTCTCCAGATGCAGATATTATTTCCGATACCCCACCATTAAAAATCCCAAAACACCGTAGAAAACGCACTCTTATTACACTTGCAACTAAAAGAGATATAATAGAAACGTCTGTTGGAAAAACTTCTTCACAAGTGGGGAAACTATTCGATCTTCCATCTTCGACTATTAGATCAATTCTTCAAAGTAAAAATATAATTCTCGGAGCCCTTGAAAGAGGAGCAGAAGAGAAACGTTCTTGTATCCAGCCAGTAAAGAATGAAAATCTTGATAATGCTATATTTGATTGGGTCAGAACAACAAAGGAAGGAGGTTCTCCTTTATCTGGCCCAATTCTGAAGGTTAATAATGAATTTCCAACAATGAATATAACTTTCCCGATTAAAGGAAAAGGCAATTGAAATTGCGAAACAATTAAATATTGAAAATTTCAAAGCTTCGGATGGATGGCTAGAAAAATTTAAGCATCGACATTCTATATCTTTCAACAACAAAGAAGAAGCTTTAGATGATGTGAGGGCATTTAACCCACCCCAACTTATTTTTTAATTTTGAATTAGAGTTTCGGGAACCTGTTGGTCCATTATCTTTTATTTCTCATTATTTTTCCTTTGTAATATTTCAGTTCAAATCTTGCTTACTGTTACATTGTTTTTTAAGATTCGTGTTAGAATCCAGAGGTGGGTCGTAACAGTCAGAGGTGTCGGAAATCGGAATTCCGACCGATCTCTGTTAGGATAGAAAAGATTTAAAAATACGTTTTTTGTAAGTAGGTGAAAACAACCATTTTACAGATCTGTAATCTAATTTTATTAGGGGTTCGCGTACACAAAACATCGTCTTAGTGTTGATGGACGTAGAACCTATTGGCGTTGTGAGAGACGTAGTTCATTAACAGGCTGCCATGGACGTGCTGTTACTATTGGAAATGAGGAGGGGCAACCTGTTCTTTTAACTGTTCACCATAATCACCCTCCATCTGAAAAATATGGACCATTGACTGGAGGGACTGGAGTGCATGGGTCCGTTTTCTACTATGCCTCAAACAAAAAAATACTTTATTTTTATTTTAGCTGGGCAATTGGAGGTGATGTTGTCGGTACTTCTTCCACTACTCCACCACCAACTAATGTTCGCGGAGTTCCTGTCGTTCCAAAAATTTCTCGTTGTGATATTGCAAGAACGTATGGGGAAACTGCTGTGAATTCTTCACGGAAACGCCGTTTTGAATCTCCCCAGTTTCCATTTGCTCTTTCTCTCCCGCCATTTATTGGAGATGGGGGTATTTTATAGAATTTTATTATTCTTTAATTTAATAAAAATTAAAGAGCCTCCAAACCTTACTAAAGCTGATGAGACTCCCAATTCTCCTCAAAATTGCTCTTCCTATTCAACTTTGGAACAATTTATCAATTCTCATTCTGACAACAATTTACCCCCTTTTCTTGAATCGGCACAGGATAACTTTAACGTCGAAATTCCAATAAAACGCCCTCATTTAGAGGATAATAATGATGGCGCAGAATTGGGAGAACTTTATTCGACGGAGGGATTTTTTGATCCAAACAATGAAAGCTGTAAGGACAATGAACGTACAGCTAAATTAGATCTATTGAAGAAAGAGTGGGAAGGTAGATTATATATTTAAATAAAATTCTCTTCCTCACGACTTGGACACGAAGTCTTCAACAATGTGTCAGAATTTTCAACTCTTGTCCGGTTTATGTATTTCATGAAGATTTATGCGTCACATAAAGTTGTATACAGTCGGATTTTGATCTTACATAAATATCCGTTGGGGCTTAGAAATCATATTTAGGAGTGAGGGTCTTACTCTTCCCAGCTAATTTCAAATAAATATTAAAAAAACATCTAAAACCGGGTTGTATCTAATTTTGGAGCTAAAAACCGATTGTTTCGGATTTTCTTTTGTTCTTATAATTTGAGTTGGGTTCTGTAACGTTTTTTGTTTTGACCTGTTAATCTATTTATAGCGCAATAATTATGCATTTTTATTAAAAAATTTATTAGCTAGCCAAAATTCCAGTGGTTTAGGTCCAGAACAGATGAGTGATACATACAGAACTCAACGTCAAATTAAGACAAAAAATCGTTTTACAATTTCATGGGGTACATAAATTTGGACAAGATTTCAAATCTTTACATATTTAACTGTTCTTTCTGAAAATAAAATTTCTATTGCACAGAATTCCCTTCATATGATCCTTCTCAACCCTCTTCTTCATTAGCAGCAGTACAACAATCTGCTGATGCATTAATTAACAATTCATCAGCCAATCAAATAAATAATGTTTCTTCCTCATCTTTTGGAGGGACAGCTTTAATTAGAGAAAAATCCCAACTCGATTTTTTCCTTCAATTGCCAATCAACACAGAATTTACTGGTTTGATTAAAATTTTTATAAAATGGAGTTGTGGGGGTTTTATAGTATAAATATTTAATGGCTCGTTTAATTATCCTTATATTGTAGTAATTTTGGTTTTAAAAAGTTTTGAGTGCATTTCTGTCGGTTATCTATGTATAATCAATTATAAAATTGTTTAATTTGTGTGTATGTTGATTGTAAGTGAAATAAAAACTGCATTGTCAGATAATAAAATAATAAAACATAAAAAATTACTAAAAATTTTTAAAAATTAAATGTTCTTCAAATAATATGTGAAATAATATTTTTAATTAAATTTTTATCAAATTTTCTAGGAACATCAACGAATGATATGAAACAAATGCCGACAACCCAGGAATGGGAGAATGATCCAAGGGTAAATAAATTTTCTTCTTTTTTCGTGCCAAAGATTTAATTAGGAAAATTAAATAGATTGGGATGAGAGTTTGTGAATATTGAAGAAAAATCTTATTTTTTTGACGGATTCTATTAACGAAACTACCTTATATAGCTCTAATAATTACCCAGGGTAATTTTTGTTCTGACCTCGCTGGAGGGGGTAATTAATAGAGCATATACAGTACCCTTTTTGGAATTCACACTCCCTAATCTATTAATTTTTATATTCTCAAGAATATTCCTAAATTTAGACGATTGAACTTCGCAAACAGTTAAATGATGCTCTCGATCGTGAACGCAACTCCCAGCACAAACTTCAAAAGACTGCTGATGAGTTGCTTGATGCACGTTCAGAGATTGATGTTAAAAATGCAAAAAATGAACGTTTAGAGAAGAGGCTTAAAAAGTAACTCATTAATTGGCCGGTCATTCTATACTCTTTTTAAATAGGAATACATCCTTTTGTTGGAAAAATGGACCTATGTGAAAACTCAGTTCAGATATAACACGGGGCAAAGGAGTCAGAGGAAGATTGTTCCAACTACGAGGATTTGGACTGAGTTAGACCGACATTTAGTCGAACCGAGTTTTAGAGGACCGTGTTATGTTTGGGCCGAGTAAATAACCATTTCACGGAAATAAGGAAAAAAATATAGCAATGTCTTTTGTTAGAGAAAAATAAATTAAGGAAAAATATGATCACGGCACTCCTTTCACATAGGGCCGAAAAAACTATCCGGAACTTTGAAAATATTAGAGATTGAATCATTATTTTAGTGCAAATGATGAATTGGCTAGTTTACGAGAACAATTGGATCAATCTATGGATCACCGTGAAACCCTTGAAAGACAACAATTCGAATTAAATTTAAAGGAATCCAGAAAAAGGACAGAATTACAACGAGAATTGGAAGCAAAAGAGGATGAAATGGAGGAAATGAGGTGCTTGGATTTTATTTAAAATTTAAAATAAATTCAAAATAAATAGAATTCAATTTCAACGTAAAATTCGAAATCTTGAATCGAATTTGGACGATGCTCAACTTGAAATTTCGTCTCTGCTTAAACAGAAAAAAGCAGCATGGCAACGCAATAGTCAATCTGTTTCAATGAATGGGTCTTTGTTGGATTTGGCTCAAAAGTAAAGAAAATTAAAAAATATAGGCTCCAGTTTAGGACATGCGTCCCATGAGCTTTTAAGCTTCCCATGAACAAGTAAAAGTTCCAAAATAGTATAAGCAAACAATAGAGTTCTGCACACGTCGGAATCCCTTTCGGCGCTAAATATAGAAGAAATCTTCGTCCTAGCCCTTCAAAATTTCGATTGTGGTGCTGTAAAGTTAAGCCAGGATGAGTATAGAGAAATTAGTAGTGGATTTTGTAAAAAAGATGGATTTGTAAAGATTTTTGGGTGGATTAAGAGATAACTGTAGTTGGGATTCGAGAGGGATATCGACGAATTTGGGAAGCTCATATAAGATATAGAAATCATATTCTCTGATGGGTGCATATTCGCTTTTTGGGACACATATACTCTCACGAGACTTATATAGTAATTTTGGGACGCTTAAAAGCTCATGGGAGCGCATGTCCTAAACTAGAGCCAAAATATTTTGTCAAAATTTATTTTCACTTAATTAGCAATTCACCTGAGAATCGAACTTTGAAAGGAAAATTGGCTAGAGCTATGGCTTTAATTCAAAGTTCAAAAATTCATTTTGACAAAGATTCGTCGTTTGAAGAGAATTCTCAATTGCGAAATTTAAAAAACAATTTAGGTGTGTTTGTAGTAAAATATTCAAAAATAATTTGGTTTATTTTAGGAAGTTCTGTATTTTCTTCAGTTTGTGGAGGGAGTGAATTTGGTGATTTGGAAGATGTACTTTTGGAGGAAGAAGGGAAGGAGGTGGAAAATGAAGGGAATGTTTCAACATCACAACCAAAATTAGAAGATGGAGGAGGGGGAGAATGTGCTAGTAGAGAAACTATTACTTCATTATTAGCTGCTATAGAAAAGGAACAACAATTTGATGGGGCTAATTCTGATACAATTGAAGGCTCTTCTTGTGGAACAGAGGAAATGTGAGAAAATTTTTAAATTTACTAAAAATATGTAGAAAGAACAAAAAATAATATTCGGGTATTGTAAATGCTCAAATAATTACCTAGGCTAATAATTACCTAGGTTAGGTGTACATTAGTGACCGGCAAAATCATTTTTCCAGGCCTGGAAATTGGATTTTGGATTTCACACTCATGCCGGACCGGGGCCGGCCGAATTTTTCTGGATTAATCCGGTCCGTAAAAAATCCGGAGATTGCGGAAAAAAACGGATCTGGGATCCGCACTCCGGAAAAATCCGGCTTGATCCGGCCCGGCGCCGGTCACTAGTGTACATAGTATAGAAAATTGTTTTAAAATTTGTATTTTGATATTTTCATCTAACAACCTTTGCAATTTACACAAGTTCTTGGTGTAATTTTGTATTATGTATATCAGGGTTCAGACGTATAGCCACAAACCCGAAAGAATCCTTTTCGACCTGAAACCCTACTCAATATTTTCCTTGATCCGTCCGAACCATGACATGTATATTTAAGCTTCTGTTTCTTTTATTTTTAGAACAATGACATCAAAAAATGAAGGAATTGAAATTCAAAATGAGTCAGAAATTTCTCGAGTTAAAAAGTGTTATAGGAGTCATGACGTGTCAACAAAACTCGAAGCAATTGATTGGGCAAAGAAAAATTCCATTCATTCAGCCTCAAGAAAATTTGATGTTGATCGAAAAATAATCAGAAATTGGATGAACAGTGAAAAGGAACTTGAACAACTTGAGCAACAGAACAACCTAACAGGTGGACAAAATCGTAAGAGACTGGCAGGAGGCGGTCGTAAAGTTTCTCATCCGGGCATAGAAAAGGAGTTGTCAGATTGGTTGAATGAAATGACTGAAAGGAATATGATTGACTTTAATCCTTAAAATATTCCTTTTTAAAATATTCTCGTTATATGTAATTTATTTTTTAAGGAAAACTTGTAGTAATTATTATGCTGGGTAATTATTGAGCATTTACTTTATATTCCAAGAAAACATTAATTTCCTCTGAATTCAGGCAACCCCTTGTTTATGGATTTATTAAAAATTATTTTTTGGATTTAATTTTTTATTCTAAATTTTTTTATAAAATTTCCTATAATTTTTTAGACCTGCCAGTTCAAATACTAAATTAATTGACAAAACGGGAATTTAAAATATATTTGTTATATTCAAATGGCTCAATTATTTAATATTTTTTTTATCAAATACATACTATTTTATATACTTTTTTTAAATAAAAAATAAAAATTTAAAAGATTTAAATTCCAGTATTTTGTAAATTTTTGTTTAATATGTAATAAAGCGACCAAACCCATTTCAGAAAATAGCAAAAAGAAAAAAGCCGTCTAGTCACGAACTGGGAGTTTTCAATTTTTGCATTACTATTAGGTCGAGAAAGTGTACAGTTGTGCAAATTTTGCTTATTTTTACCAAAATATGCGCATATTTTACGATTTTACATGTATAAACCAATACCATTAAAGAATTTAATATAGTAAAGCAGCTGGGCTATAGCCATTTCATTCCTCCAGCTAGTGCAATAGGTTATTCGGCGGCTGGGAGCGAGCCAGCATATTCAGTAGACCGGACTGATCCATTACACCACGCCGCCTACTGCGCAGCCTTAGGAAATAAATAGCTATATGCTTTACAATATATAGATTTAAATATCAAAAATAAAAATTTTCTTTAAATAATTTCAACTAGAGATCGGACCGAAACGAGATCTCGAAAAAAATCTCAGTTATCGAGAGGATATTTTTCGAGATATCGATCTCTATTCTCGTACGACCCTCCCAGTCCGGTCTCTAATTTCAACTATATTTCCTCCTTATCTACTAATTAATTCTTCATTTTATTTTCAAGCCAATCATCAATTTCTTCAATCTTCCCTACAATATATTTTTTATTTTCTTCTACCGAAACTTTAATAATCTCAACTTCAATTTTATTTTTAATTAATTTATCAATTAAATTCTTTCCATTTATTTTCATAAAATTTGGTATTTTTGTATTAATTCCTTTCTTTTCATTTAAATCTTCAAATATTTCTTCAAAATCTTCCAAATTATTAATTATTTCTTTTAATTTATTTTCATTGCTTTCATTAAAATAATTAAATTTATCAGCTAAAGGTTTATAAATTTCCAAAATTCCTCTCAATTGAAATGTTGTTATTAAACGAATTTTTAATTCTTCATTTGGGATTGGATTTTTTAATTTTTCTTTAAAAATAAATTTTTAAAATTTATTAAAATTAATAAAAATAATTTTATTCAAGACATTATATTGACATACCTTCGGCTCAATTCGGTCTCGAGGATGTCGTCCTTTCAATATTCGACTGTATCTTATCGAATATTATCTGATTCAAACTTTTTCAAAATTTTTAAATTCCAAAATTGGAAACTTTCAAGTTATATTTTTGAAAATCAATTGGAAGTAGAGCAAGACTACAGACATTCAGTTTTGGATGAGGCTTTGTTGGAATGGATTAAAATTCAAAACTCCAAAAACATTCCTTTCGATGGCCAAATGCTCAAGGCTTGCTTATAAATCAGGAAAATTTTTAGGAAATAAAAATTCCAGAAGAAAGCATTGGAACTCTCTAAACAATTTTCTGGAAAAGCTGATAAATTTGTGGCGAGTAATGGATGGCTTGTTCGATTTCGTGCCCGCTACTCTATTAAATTCACCAATGTAGAACAGGAGAATGGGGCCATCAACACGGATATTGAGGGTTGTGAACAAGATAAGGAGGTAGTATATTTTGGCTGTTTTTAATTATCCCTTATCTTGAAATTTTTGGACAAGCGTTCACTTGGCATTTTCGTGATCTCTATCGAAATTACTAACTTAATAATCACATATGTATGTATTATTACAAGCATTTCTCATTTAAAAAATTTTTGGTAATTCTGAAGATTGTCCCCCCCATTTTTTCCTTACTTTTTCCTTCCTTATGATTGTACACAATGGTCAGATTTTTCCCCTTTCCTTTTCCTCTTTGGCATATTCAAACGAGAGAGAAAATTAGTTTTGCTGCATTCATCAAATTATTTTTTGCCTTCGGAAATTATGTTAATAAAAAAAGAATTAAAAAACAGGCAAAAAATAATTTGATAAATGCAAAACTAATCTTCTCTCTCGTTTGAATATGCCAAAGAGAAAAGGGAAAGGGGAAAAATCTGACCATTGTGTACAATCATAAGGAAGGAAAAAGTGAGGAAAAAATGGGGGGGGGGACAATCTTCAGAATTACCAAATTTTTAATGTTTATATGTATATGTATTTATCGTATTTACTCAAATATCACCCTCAAATAATTACCCCCCCTCCCCGCCAGAGGTTTACCTTACCTCTATTAATTAACCCCTCTAGTGAAAAATAAATTGCCCAGGGTAATTATTTGAGTAAATACGCCTGCTTTCATTTTATTTATTTTCTTTTAGTTCTAATTTTGTAATTTGTTTGTTATTTAATTTTTTAGAGGTCTTTTTTATTTTGTCGTTTAGATAAAGATTTATTTAATGGAAAATCCATCTAATAATAAAATTCGATTTATTCCAATTAAAACTTCAAATGCAGCAGAAGACCCACTATCATCAAAGGAGGAAGAGAAACATGACATGTCCGAAGACGATCCGGAATTTTTGCCGGAAATGTCAAATAGCCAGAAAAAACGCCAATCATACCCAATAGATGTTAAATTAGAAGTAATTGAATACGCAAAGAAAACTTCGAGACATGCTGCTGCAAGACATTTTGGAATTAGTCGTAAATGTATCTCTCAGTGGGTTGCTGTAGAAGAGAGACTTAGAGAATTTAAAAATGTGACTGCAAAAGGGGCAAAATTGCGGCTTCCTGGTGCTGGGCGTCGGGTGCAAAAGCCTGAAACCGATGAAGGCGAAAAAGTAAGGAGTACTTTCATTTTGGTAATATTGGTGGCACGCGGACGTGTCGGTACGGACATATCGGGATATTTCAATGTACGAACAGTTATCCTACTGATTTCAAGACCTACGGCCACTGGGTCTTGGATAATATAATATATTGTCCTGCTGAGGAATAGAGTTTTTGTTTTAGAACAAATGTAAACACGCAAAAAATTATTTTTGTCACTATAATCCCGATATGTCCGCACGCCAAATTTGGTAACGTACAATCATACTTCTGAGCATGTTTCGGAAAATTTTCTTGTAGAAAATACTTTCAATTCTTATGAACTAATAAATATCCTTAAATGTGTTGCCTCTTTTTAAATGCTCGGGTGTTTTATTTGTTAGATACCTTTCTATGTCACCTCTTTTTTTTTCCCGACTACATCACTTATGCCTCTCCAAACTAAACAGCCAGCTAATAAAATACTCCCGCGTCGCGGTCCGATGACGGATGTATATTTTTCTCGAACATTTTGTCATTTCTCCTCGCTGTTTTATATATTCTCTCTTACTTGTGTCTTTCTCACATTCCTTTTTATTTCTTGCTAAAGTCATATATTGTGTGTTTACCTAACAATCGACAATTCCCCACTCTTGTCGGCTTTGTCATTTTATTTTTAACATGAAACAGATTTTTGTGTACATACATACATATTTCTATTTTATTAAAACCCTTCTCAGATGACTCCCTTCAAATTTTAAGTGGGGAGGACCGTTTATATTTTATTTTTTCACCATATTATACCGTCACTTTAACCTAAATTTACTTTATTTCTTATGGTACTTTTCATTTATGCCACACCCGCCTAAATTAATGCTCAAAATGTCATATATAGAGTAAAAAAGGTGCTAAGTCGAACAGACCACTCTTTTTCACAGGAGATGTCTTTGGACCCAGATATAAGGCTCGAAATGGTCAAAAACCATTACCCCAAAAATAAGCTTACTCCCTCTATGGTTTTTGACCATTTCGAGCCCTATATCTCGGTCCATAGACATCTCCGGTGAAAAAGAATGGTACTGTTCGACTCAGCACCTTTTTTTACCCTATATACATAACGGAAAAGTACCTTTCTTATCATTAAATCAGTTAATATTTCTGTACTAGTTATGTCAGCTTCTCCAGATGCAGATATTATTTCCGATACCCCACCATTAAAAATCCCAAAACACCGTAGAAAACGCACTCTTATTACACTTGCAACTAAAAGAGATATAATAGAAACGTCTGTTGGAAAAACTTCTTCACAAGTGGGGAAACTATTCGATCTTCCATCTTCGACTATTAGATCAATTCTTCAAAGTAAAAATATAATTCTCGGAGCCCTTGAAAGAGGAGCAGAAGAGAAACGTTCTTGTATCCAGCCAGTAAAGAATGAAAATCTTGATAATGCTATATTTGATTGGGTCAGAACAACAAAGGAAGGAGGTTCTCCTTTATCTGGCCCAATTCTGAAGGTTAATAATGAATTTCCAACAATGAATATAACTTTCCCGATTAAAGGAAAAGGCAATTGAAATTGCGAAACAATTAAATATTGAAAATTTCAAAGCTTCGGATGGATGGCTAGAAAAATTTAAGCATCGACATTCTATATCTTTCAACAACAAAGAAGAAGCTTTAGATGATGTGAGGGCATTTAACCCACCCCAACTTATTTTTTAATTTTGAATTAGAGTTTCGGGAACCTGTTGGTCCATTATCTTTTATTTCTCATTATTTTTCCTTTGTAATATTTCAGTTCAAATCTTGCTTACTGTTACATTGTTTTTTAAGATTCGTGTTAGAATCCAGAGGTGGGTCGTAACAGTCAGAGGTGTCGGAAATCGGAATTCCGACCGATCTCTGTTAGGATAGAAAAGATTTAAAAATACGTTTTTTGTAAGTAGGTGAAAACAACCATTTTACAGATCTGTAATCTAATTTTATTAGGGGTTCGCGTACACAAAACATCGTCTTAGTGTTGATGGACGTAGAACCTATTGGCGTTGTGAGAGACGTAGTTCATTAACAGGCTGCCATGGACGTGCTGTTACTATTGGAAATGAGGAGGGGCAACCTGTTCTTTTAACTGTTCACCATAATCACCCTCCATCTGAAAAATATGGACCATTGACTGGAGGGACTGGAGTGCATGGGTCCGTTTTCTACTATGCCTCAAACAAAAAAATACTTTATTTTTATTTTAGCTGGGCAATTGGAGGTGATGTTGTCGGTACTTCTTCCACTACTCCACCACCAACTAATGTTCGCGGAGTTCCTGTCGTTCCAAAAATTTCTCGTTGTGATATTGCAAGAACGTATGGGGAAACTGCTGTGAATTCTTCACGGAAACGCCGTTTTGAATCTCCCCAGTTTCCATTTGCTCTTTCTCTCCCGCCATTTATTGGAGATGGGGGTATTTTATAGAATTTTATTATTCTTTAATTTAATAAAAATTAAAGAGCCTCCAAACCTTACTAAAGCTGATGAGACTCCCAATTCTCCTCAAAATTGCTCTTCCTATTCAACTTTGGAACAATTTATCAATTCTCATTCTGACAACAATTTACCCCCTTTTCTTGAATCGGCACAGGATAACTTTAACGTCGAAATTCCAATAAAACGCCCTCATTTAGAGGATAATAATGATGGCGCAGAATTGGGAGAACTTTATTCGACGGAGGGATTTTTTGATCCAAACAATGAAAGCTGTAAGGACAATGAACGTACAGCTAAATTAGATCTATTGAAGAAAGAGTGGGAAGGTAGATTATATATTTAAATAAAATTCTCTTCCTCACGACTTGGACACGAAGTCTTCAACAATGTGTCAGAATTTTCAACTCTTGTCCGGTTTATGTATTTCATGAAGATTTATGCGTCACATAAAGTTGTATACAGTCGGATTTTGATCTTACATAAATATCCGTTGGGGCTTAGAAATCATATTTAGGAGTGAGGGTCTTACTCTTCCCAGCTAATTTCAAATAAATATTAAAAAAACATCTAAAACCGGGTTGTATCTAATTTTGGAGCTAAAAACCGATTGTTTCGGATTTTCTTTTGTTCTTATAATTTGAGTTGGGTTCTGTAACGTTTTTTGTTTTGACCTGTTAATCTATTTATAGCGCAATAATTATGCATTTTTATTAAAAAATTTATTAGCTAGCCAAAATTCCAGTGGTTTAGGTCCAGAACAGATGAGTGATACATACAGAACTCAACGTCAAATTAAGACAAAAAATCGTTTTACAATTTCATGGGGTACATAAATTTGGACAAGATTTCAAATCTTTACATATTTAACTGTTCTTTCTGAAAATAAAATTTCTATTGCACAGAATTCCCTTCATATGATCCTTCTCAACCCTCTTCTTCATTAGCAGCAGTACAACAATCTGCTGATGCATTAATTAACAATTCATCAGCCAATCAAATAAATAATGTTTCTTCCTCATCTTTTGGAGGGACAGCTTTAATTAGAGAAAAATCCCAACTCGATTTTTTCCTTCAATTGCCAATCAACACAGAATTTACTGGTTTGATTAAAATTTTTATAAAATGGAGTTGTGGGGGTTTTATAGTATAAATATTTAATGGCTCGTTTAATTATCCTTATATTGTAGTAATTTTGGTTTTAAAAAGTTTTGAGTGCATTTCTGTCGGTTATCTATGTATAATCAATTATAAAATTGTTTAATTTGTGTGTATGTTGATTGTAAGTGAAATAAAAACTGCATTGTCAGATAATAAAATAATAAAACATAAAAAATTACTAAAAATTTTTAAAAATTAAATGTTCTTCAAATAATATGTGAAATAATATTTTTAATTAAATTTTTATCAAATTTTCTAGGAACATCAACGAATGATATGAAACAAATGCCGACAACCCAGGAATGGGAGAATGATCCAAGGGTAAATAAATTTTCTTCTTTTTTCGTGCCAAAGATTTAATTAGGAAAATTAAATAGATTGGGATGAGAGTTTGTGAATATTGAAGAAAAATCTTATTTTTTTGACGGATTCTATTAACGAAACTACCTTATATAGCTCTAATAATTACCCAGGGTAATTTTTGTTCTGACCTCGCTGGAGGGGGTAATTAATAGAGCATATACAGTACCCTTTTTGGAATTCACACTCCCTAATCTATTAATTTTTATATTCTCAAGAATATTCCTAAATTTAGACGATTGAACTTCGCAAACAGTTAAATGATGCTCTCGATCGTGAACGCAACTCCCAGCACAAACTTCAAAAGACTGCTGATGAGTTGCTTGATGCACGTTCAGAGATTGATGTTAAAAATGCAAAAAATGAACGTTTAGAGAAGAGGCTTAAAAAGTAACTCATTAATTGGCCGGTCATTCTATACTCTTTTTAAATAGGAATACATCCTTTTGTTGGAAAAATGGACCTATGTGAAAACTCAGTTCAGATATAACACGGGGCAAAGGAGTCAGAGGAAGATTGTTCCAACTACGAGGATTTGGACTGAGTTAGACCGACATTTAGTCGAACCGAGTTTTAGAGGACCGTGTTATGTTTGGGCCGAGTAAATAACCATTTCACGGAAATAAGGAAAAAAATATAGCAATGTCTTTTGTTAGAGAAAAATAAATTAAGGAAAAATATGATCACGGCACTCCTTTCACATAGGGCCGAAAAAACTATCCGGAACTTTGAAAATATTAGAGATTGAATCATTATTTTAGTGCAAATGATGAATTGGCTAGTTTACGAGAACAATTGGATCAATCTATGGATCACCGTGAAACCCTTGAAAGACAACAATTCGAATTAAATTTAAAGGAATCCAGAAAAAGGACAGAATTACAACGAGAATTGGAAGCAAAAGAGGATGAAATGGAGGAAATGAGGTGCTTGGATTTTATTTAAAATTTAAAATAAATTCAAAATAAATAGAATTCAATTTCAACGTAAAATTCGAAATCTTGAATCGAATTTGGACGATGCTCAACTTGAAATTTCGTCTCTGCTTAAACAGAAAAAAGCAGCATGGCAACGCAATAGTCAATCTGTTTCAATGAATGGGTCTTTGTTGGATTTGGCTCAAAAGTAAAGAAAATTAAAAAATATAGGCTCCAGTTTAGGACATGCGTCCCATGAGCTTTTAAGCTTCCCATGAACAAGTAAAAGTTCCAAAATAGTATAAGCAAACAATAGAGTTCTGCACACGTCGGAATCCCTTTCGGCGCTAAATATAGAAGAAATCTTCGTCCTAGCCCTTCAAAATTTCGATTGTGGTGCTGTAAAGTTAAGCCAGGATGAGTATAGAGAAATTAGTAGTGGATTTTGTAAAAAAGATGGATTTGTAAAGATTTTTGGGTGGATTAAGAGATAACTGTAGTTGGGATTCGAGAGGGATATCGACGAATTTGGGAAGCTCATATAAGATATAGAAATCATATTCTCTGATGGGTGCATATTCGCTTTTTGGGACACATATACTCTCACGAGACTTATATAGTAATTTTGGGACGCTTAAAAGCTCATGGGAGCGCATGTCCTAAACTAGAGCCAAAATATTTTGTCAAAATTTATTTTCACTTAATTAGCAATTCACCTGAGAATCGAACTTTGAAAGGAAAATTGGCTAGAGCTATGGCTTTAATTCAAAGTTCAAAAATTCATTTTGACAAAGATTCGTCGTTTGAAGAGAATTCTCAATTGCGAAATTTAAAAAACAATTTAGGTGTGTTTGTAGTAAAATATTCAAAAATAATTTGGTTTATTTTAGGAAGTTCTGTATTTTCTTCAGTTTGTGGAGGGAGTGAATTTGGTGATTTGGAAGATGTACTTTTGGAGGAAGAAGGGAAGGAGGTGGAAAATGAAGGGAATGTTTCAACATCACAACCAAAATTAGAAGATGGAGGAGGGGGAGAATGTGCTAGTAGAGAAACTATTACTTCATTATTAGCTGCTATAGAAAAGGAACAACAATTTGATGGGGCTAATTCTGATACAATTGAAGGCTCTTCTTGTGGAACAGAGGAAATGTGAGAAAATTTTTAAATTTACTAAAAATATGTAGAAAGAACAAAAAATAATATTCGGGTATTGTAAATGCTCAAATAATTACCTAGGCTAATAATTACCTAGGTTAGGTGTACATTAGTGACCGGCAAAATCATTTTTCCAGGCCTGGAAATTGGATTTTGGATTTCACACTCATGCCGGACCGGGGCCGGCCGAATTTTTCTGGATTAATCCGGTCCGTAAAAAATCCGGAGATTGCGGAAAAAAACGGATCTGGGATCCGCACTCCGGAAAAATCCGGCTTGATCCGGCCCGGCGCCGGTCACTAGTGTACATAGTATAGAAAATTGTTTTAAAATTTGTATTTTGATATTTTCATCTAACAACCTTTGCAATTTACACAAGTTCTTGGTGTAATTTTGTATTATGTATATCAGGGTTCAGACGTATAGCCACAAACCCGAAAGAATCCTTTTCGACCTGAAACCCTACTCAATATTTTCCTTGATCCGTCCGAACCATGACATGTATATTTAAGCTTCTGTTTCTTTTATTTTTAGAACAATGACATCAAAAAATGAAGGAATTGAAATTCAAAATGAGTCAGAAATTTCTCGAGTTAAAAAGTGTTATAGGAGTCATGACGTGTCAACAAAACTCGAAGCAATTGATTGGGCAAAGAAAAATTCCATTCATTCAGCCTCAAGAAAATTTGATGTTGATCGAAAAATAATCAGAAATTGGATGAACAGTGAAAAGGAACTTGAACAACTTGAGCAACAGAACAACCTAACAGGTGGACAAAATCGTAAGAGACTGGCAGGAGGCGGTCGTAAAGTTTCTCATCCGGGCATAGAAAAGGAGTTGTCAGATTGGTTGAATGAAATGACTGAAAGGAATATGATTGACTTTAATCCTTAAAATATTCCTTTTTAAAATATTCTCGTTATATGTAATTTATTTTTTAAGGAAAACTTGTAGTAATTATTATGCTGGGTAATTATTGAGCATTTACTTTATATTCCAAGAAAACATTAATTTCCTCTGAATTCAGGCAACCCCTTGTTTATGGATTTATTAAAAATTATTTTTTGGATTTAATTTTTTATTCTAAATTTTTTTATAAAATTTCCTATAATTTTTTAGACCTGCCAGTTCAAATACTAAATTAATTGACAAAACGGGAATTTAAAATATATTTGTTATATTCAAATGGCTCAATTATTTAATATTTTTTTTATCAAATACATACTATTTTATATACTTTTTTTAAATAAAAAATAAAAATTTAAAAGATTTAAATTCCAGTATTTTGTAAATTTTTGTTTAATATGTAATAAAGCGACCAAACCCATTTCAGAAAATAGCAAAAAGAAAAAAGCCGTCTAGTCACGAACTGGGAGTTTTCAATTTTTGCATTACTATTAGGTCGAGAAAGTGTACAGTTGTGCAAATTTTGCTTATTTTTACCAAAATATGCGCATATTTTACGATTTTACATGTATAAACCAATACCATTAAAGAATTTAATATAGTAAAGCAGCTGGGCTATAGCCATTTCATTCCTCCAGCTAGTGCAATAGGTTATTCGGCGGCTGGGAGCGAGCCAGCATATTCAGTAGACCGGACTGATCCATTACACCACGCCGCCTACTGCGCAGCCTTAGGAAATAAATAGCTATATGCTTTACAATATATAGATTTAAATATCAAAAATAAAAATTTTCTTTAAATAATTTCAACTAGAGATCGGACCGAAACGAGATCTCGAAAAAAATCTCAGTTATCGAGAGGATATTTTTCGAGATATCGATCTCTATTCTCGTACGACCCTCCCAGTCCGGTCTCTAATTTCAACTATATTTCCTCCTTATCTACTAATTAATTCTTCATTTTATTTTCAAGCCAATCATCAATTTCTTCAATCTTCCCTACAATATATTTTTTATTTTCTTCTACCGAAACTTTAATAATCTCAACTTCAATTTTATTTTTAATTAATTTATCAATTAAATTCTTTCCATTTATTTTCATAAAATTTGGTATTTTTGTATTAATTCCTTTCTTTTCATTTAAATCTTCAAATATTTCTTCAAAATCTTCCAAATTATTAATTATTTCTTTTAATTTATTTTCATTGCTTTCATTAAAATAATTAAATTTATCAGCTAAAGGTTTATAAATTTCCAAAATTCCTCTCAATTGAAATGTTGTTATTAAACGAATTTTTAATTCTTCATTTGGGATTGGATTTTTTAATTTTTCTTTAAAAATAAATTTTTAAAATTTATTAAAATTAATAAAAATAATTTTATTCAAGACATTATATTGACATACCTTCGGCTCAATTCGGTCTCGAGGATGTCGTCCTTTCAATATTCGACTGTATCTTATCGAATATTATCTGATTCAAACTTTTTCAAAATTTTTAAATTCCAAAATTGGAAACTTTCAAGTTATATTTTTGAAAATTTTGAAAATTATTTTTGTCTTATTGATCAACAGACACATAGTTATAACCCGAAAGTTTCGAGTTTTGCAAAAAGAGGTATACTCAGAATTATTTTAGAAGCTGTGAATGAAAAATTTTAAGAAATTCCCGCTAATATTTCTATCGATAAGAAGGAAGATAGGCAAAACTAATTCTTAAACTCAGTTTATCATAAGCTAACGCAATTATAAATCACTGGGAAATACAAGTAGTTACTCCCACCCAAAAGTGACACCAAAAGTGACACCTGTCAATCAAACTCACACCTATAGGGGGGTTTTGTGTGTGAATGAGAGGTAATTTCTGTGCATATAGGGCACTTTTCTTTTGATTTAGGGTAATTAATCATGATTAATTAGGGTAATTAATCATGAATGATTAATTACCTTTTGACAAATATTTTGCGGGAGTTTTATGGGTATAAAAATATTAATATTTGTGACATTTGATGACATTTAAAATTAATATTAAAAAGAAGTGCGGTAAATTAAAAGGCAAATCTAAAAGTGTAAGGCTTTTCCCGGTCCCGAGGTTGAGCTGAACTCTCAACCTACCACAGTTAACAAGTTTGATTAGGATTTGAGTTTGGGGTTTACAGTCTTCTAGGTTTTGTCTGCTTATTTTTATTTTTACAGATTATTGACAATTCCATTTTACACTATAAATTTTTAGTTTAACAGTCTTCGGTCTTTTTTTCTCTTTTCATATTTTATCCTTTTTTTCTTCTCTTTTCTTCTCCTCACATTTCTTTCCTCCAAAATGTGATTGTAATAAATCCCAAAACATTTACTTTTCTATTTTCTCTTTGTTTTTTCTCTCTCTTTTTTGTTTACAGCCGACTAATGTTTAGACGCTACTTTGGCTGTAGTTTGTTGAAATTAGGAGAGCAGTAAAATTTGACAAAGAGAAAAACAAAGAGTGTATAAAATCTGTTCATTTTTAAACTAGAGAACGCCAATAAGGACGCGCTGCCATAATGCGCAAAGCCATAACTTGCTTAAAGATTTTCGATCTTACCAAAATTAGTATTAAATTATTCCGCTCATTGAGCTAAAATTAATTGGGGCCAGAAATTTTCCAACTAATTATGGCTTTGCGCCGTTATGGCCGTACCCCATTTTCTTTTTTGTTTAAAATTTATTTTTTTTCATTTTTCATTGATCTATTTTTTTATTTAAATATTTATTTTAAATTAAAATTTAACTTGTAATAATTTCCACAAATATGCCCTTAGGTTTGTTTTTAAGAGAACATTGATCCTTTATTCAAATAAGGTCGATTTTTCCTAAACTCATAATGGTCAGACTTTCTTCCTCCTTCCTATTAAAGCCAAAAAAATTAAAATATGTATTAAAAATGCCATAGCGATCTTTGCCGGGTAATTTTCTCTGCTGATCACGAATCTGAAATCAGATTTTATCTAACTTAATTCATCTGTGATTTTCAATCAAGTACTTGATTATTAAGTGTAATCATTTATCAAGTACTTGTATTCAAAAGAGCTCGAAATCTTAGTAGAACTAGACTTAGATGAATTCCCTTCGGTATAGATATCGAGATATGGTCAATTTAAAATTAAAAAAACTCATGGGGTCTAGATTCTTTTTTGGGGTGAAAAATTCAAAAAAAGCAAACACTAATCTAGGTGAAAATTTAAATAATAGTAGCAATGAATTAATGGGAGCTGTTTTTCACTAAAATTTTAGCAATTTATTTGGAAAAAGGATTTTTGCAAAAAATATAAATGAATAAAAATAATCAATATTCGGGGTGGGTTGTGGTAGAGTTGGTTGTGTTTCGGATTGGCCCTTCTCCATGAGTTCTATTCAATCTCCCATCCAATGAATTTTTCCACACACTTTAAAAAATTTAATATTCAAATATAAAAATTTTAACTTAATAATATTAATTTAGTTAATAAAGTCAGCTTTGCGACTTTTAGGTGACGAGTGTGCTAGTCCACTCGGGATTGTGCTTTGCCAATCTAAGTGAGTTGTGTGCTTTGCCACAAATAGTTAAGAAAGTCTGCTTTGCGACTTTTAGGTAACGAGTGTGCTAGTCCACTCGGGATTGTGCTTTGCCAATCTAGTTTTAAAAATAATAAAAATATTAAAAAAATTTTATTTAAATTTTGAGATAATGTGAATTAAAAATAATTTTAAAATCCTATATATAATTTGAAGGTCTGAGAAAAATAATTATAATTTAAAGCCAAAATATATTTAAAATATCAAAATTCCTATATATAATTTGAGAGAGAAAAATAATTTATAGAAAAAATTAAAATTTTTGTAGAATTTAAAACAAAATTTATTAAAAAAATAAAAATAATACAAATAAAATAAATTACATAATTAAAATTTGGAGCCAAAGTTAACAATTTTATTTTCGGGGACAACAATACCTTTTAAAATTATGGGTTGAAATTTTTTTGAAAGTTTAGTTGTAACAACTGTACCTTTCTTTAAATTGGGTTTGAGAAAGTGTGGATACTCTACTAAAATTACATCATTTTCTTCATTAATTTCTTCTTCCTCATCTTCTCTTTCATCAGCAAAGCGTTTTCCAAATTCCATTACGCTTTCTTTGAAACTTTCGTAGTGAAGTTTCTTGCACACTTCGCTATTTAAGGTGATTCCACGCACTTTTAATGTCGTCACTTCTTTTCCAGTCTTCTTTTCTTTCATTGAAAGTCCATATGCCTTACATGCTGCACCTACATATTCTTTGATGTCACAGTCTTCATATTCTGGTGCTAAATCTCCAAGATGTGGACCAGCTGAGAGTGGGCATCCTTGCCTCTTCGGGTAGGAAAAAAGGACACTATCTGTGTCCCCATACAATAACGAACAGCCAGGAGCTCTTACAATTTTTTGCATTGCTTTTAATAAATGTACTCTTGCCATTGAAGTGGTCCAGAGCGATATAACTATGTTTGATGTCTGATGTTCCTCTATGAATTCATTCTTCCTATCATAGGTGATGAGAATTGTATCTTGTGTCAGCTTGTCAATAGTATTTACTTCTATTGATTTATTTTCCATAAATTTCTTCAGTTCAGCTGGTGAATCGGTGAGAAAAGTTTTTGAAAGCGTATTTCTTAGACTGAATCTTCCCCATAAAGAGTTAAGCATTAGTTTCGAGATGTATCTCATTGCTTTATCAGGTAACATTTTTTCTTTTTCCAATCGAATTCCAAATCTTTCTTCACACTCTTTCATGAATTGCTCTTCTTTTTTTTCGGTATTTATCTCCTTTGGAAATCCACTTGCATGGATTTTCATTGACATGAATTCAGCAACATATCCTTTAAACAATTCCTTGTCCCATTTTTCATAATGAAGTGCTCTAAAATATTTTGTGACTCTGTATCCACTATTTAATGCTTCTGCGAGCTCTATTGACGTGCATGTTGACACCCAGCCTCTTTCTTGTTCTTCATGTGTGCATTTGTATTCTTTTAATGTTGCGCCGCGCGGATAATCCATTGAACATTTTCGGCAAAGGGGAAATAGCAACCTCTCATCGAATTTAACGGGCATAACTGGAACATCTACTTGATCAGGTGGAATTAGAAAAACTTTAAGAATTCCATTAACTGGTATTTGGTTGCTGCTGTACCAGTTGACATTTTGATCTTTTTTAGGTATTATTATTACTTTTGGATGACCCACGGGAAATGATGTTGTTGCAATTGTAGACGGATAAAGCGAATTAAAGTCCAAATAAGAAATTTTATGTTGTTCATCTGCCTTATAATGAAGACATAGTGGTCCAGTCCGACCTCCAAAGAAACAATCACGTAATTTTATTGGCCCCTTATCCAAATAATTTTTAAAACTTCTTCTCATTTGTTTATTTCTTTGAAGCATTTTCTTGATTTCACATTCCCAAATTACATTTACATGTTTGATATGTTGTTTCAAAATTCTCAATCTTTCTTCATTTTCTTTTTGAATAACTTCCACTGTTTTCCCATTTGGCATTACAAAGTCTGGGCTATCCCCATAATGTTTTGGACACGCGTGCCACACGCATCCATGCACTTCTATTGCTCTATCCTCTTCTTTAATGTATCCATCCACCTTAAATCTACCTGCAACTTGATATTCTCCATTTTCCGAGTGTGCAGTTTGTATCTCAACATTGTATTTTTCCGAATACCAATCCATATATTTCATAGCCAATGCACTTTGTGTGTCGCATGTGTCATAACCTTTCTCCGGTACAATTGCGAGGTGTTCAGGTTTAAGATGATTTAGCCTGAAATGCTTCATACATGCTGATGCAATCGTCATTGCGTCTCTAAGAATGTCAATGCCGAAAGCTCCTTGTGTAGATTTTGGACGACTTATTTCCATGAATTTTTCTCGAAATGCCAAAAGAGCCTCGGTGAGTATCTGTACGTCATTAAGGCAGTACTCAGCAAGTGCTTCATTCAAACAAAATGTGTTGCATTTTTCTTGTTCATACCATTGATCAAATTTTTTCTGCTTCTCTGGTGTCATTCCTCCATATAAATATTCTGACTTTTGTGGAAGTTCAGGAAGAGTAATATCATAATTGTTGTAGTTGTTTGCCATATGTGGGAAGAATTGTTTCTCTTGAATTTGGAGATCAAATGCACCGACTAGTTGTCCTAAAGCAACAGGGCAAATGTTGTACGAATCGCGAAATATAACTTCATTACATTTGTGTGTTTTTGGAACCTTTAGTTCATAGAGTTTATTGCCTCTTCTTATCATTGTTGGTACAATCCCGGCTGTAAATATCTCGCGAAATGTCATGACCATATCATATCTTCCACCAAAATGAGAAAATGCTATTGAAACGAATCTTCCATCTAATTCGAATAATAACCAGTTTACGAAATCATGAAGAGGGTTTAATGTAACTCGCTGCTCATCTACTAATGTTTTGTAAAAAGGCCGGTGTGAGAATGTTATTGATCTATTAGGACCGCAAATAGTACATACTTTACCATTTCTTTTGAGGAAAGTTCCCCATAGTTGTTTATTTTCCATGCATATTGTACAAGTAATTGTTGCAGCAATAAAATTTACGCAGTGTAGTCGATTATTTTGGTTTTCCAGATCAATTGTATCTTGAGTTGCTTCAAAATCAAATGTCACAAGACGGTAAGGTTTTTGCTTCTTTTGTTCTAATGGCTTGATAAAACACCCCCTTTCTCTACTATGAAATTGTGAACAATTTGAACACCATTTATGTCCGCATATATGTTGTTTGGTTTGTTCTTTTCGATAAGATCTAATGTCCCAAATTATTCCACATTTGTCACATTGTTGTGATCGGTTGCATTGATTACTTGATTTATGGTGTTTAAAACAGTCATTATCCAGAAATATTTTTCCACAGTCAATACATTCCTTTCTAAAATTCTGACTAACAGGACAAGGTTTTCCAACACCTACTCTTCCACAAAGTCTGCATCGTGATTTGCATTTATTATCATGATCTCTAGCTCTTCTGTATTTTTTCTCACATGTATAGCAATATTGCCAATGACTTCCAAATTGAGCTCCAACAGTGCGTATACCATCAAAATGGTCATCAGAATGATATATTGGAATTGGTGTGTTGTAAGTCTCGCTCCCATATTTGTATTTTAATTTTTCTTCACATCTTTCGCCAAATATAAACACTTTGAATCTGTAACCATTCTTTTCATAAATGTTGTTCCAGTAATCAACAACTTTTGGAACATAAATCTGAGCCTCATATTTCTCTTCGTTTAATGGAATACCAATATTTCTCATCAAGTTAATTACATCAGATTGTTGTTTTTGAAGTCGTTCAAGATGATACCTTCTAAAGTATTCTTTAGTTCCCAATTCTTTCGTTACATGTTTTCTAGTAAGTTCCAGTGCATAAAATAAGCAAAAATTATTGTTGTTCCAGACTTTGATGAGCCAACTGGGAATAGGTGTTGTTTGATTTGATGGCCCTTTTCCACCAATTGATGTTTCTTTGGGTAATGAGGAAACATCTAATGAATGGATTGTAACTGAAAACGGTTCTCCAAAGAGGGAACCGCGTTCAGCCTTCGATTGAGAAACAAGAAGAAGGCGCTGCAAAATATTTTCTATAGTGTCGTCGTGTAAAGTACGAATGGGGATCCATATATCACTGTCTAACAATGTTGAGGAAATGGTTGCTCCTAATTGATCCACAATAATACCATTTTCTTTACCATCAGCAATTGATTCTTTAATGCAATTATCCAGAACTCGTCGAAGAACCTCTTCAGGATTTTGGGGAAGTGATTTAATTAGAAATTTTGAAACTAATTTCATAAGTTTGAATTTTTTGCAAAATGATTTTTGAGAATTAATTTTTTCAAAGCAATGATTGATTCCACCGGCTCCTGTTTGATTTTGCTGTTGCTGCACTTCATTATCATTTAGTAATAAATTTTCAATAAAAAAGCTGGGTCGATTTCGTTGCTCGTTTTGTCTTGGTCTTTCATTTAGATCCAAGATATCTTCAATAGAAAAACGAGCTTTTTTGGGAGGATTTGACATTTTTGGTGAGAATGTTTTGAAGAAATTGAAATTTTTTATTTAAAGGGGAATAATGATATTGAAATAAGAGCTTTTATACTAAAGTAAAAAGGGGCGTGGCTTGACTCGTGCCAGGTTGTATCAGCATAATTTAAAAAGACTTGACTCGTGCCAGGTATATCAGCCTTACCTAGCTAAACTTAACTTATCTTTTTATTTGCCTCAATAAAAATATTTGAATTAAATGAGAATATTACAACGAAAGACGCTTTCTTTCTTCAAAGAAATACCGCTAAGTCTTTTAGTGTAATAAATATATTGCCAACCGAGGAAGAAAATTACATCAAAAAATTACATCACATTTTTTTCTATCTAAATCCCCTTTGATTTCTCTAATGCCGCCTAAAACATTTATCCTGACAAATATATTACAACCACAACTCTTTGACTTTCAAAAAAAGTGCCGCTCAAAGTTTTCTCAATAAATTTACTGAAAGACGGGAAAAGGGAAAATAAAGTTTAAACAAATCCAGCCGCTCTAATGTTTTCTCAATAAACTTAAAGTTAGGCAAGGAAACGGGAAAATAGTGTTAAAGTAAAAGTCCCAGTTTATTTAAACAAATCCTGAAAAAGCAAAAGAAAGGGAAAATGTTTATGTTTTTTCAATAAAGTTAGTAGCAGACGGGGAAAGGGGAAAATAAAGTTTAAAATAAAAGTCCCTATTGTCTACACGAATCCTAGAAAAAAGCAAAAGAAAAAGGGAAAAAATTTATTTAAAATTAAAAAATATTTGAATTAAATTTTAAATGTACAATTTTGAAATTTAATTGGAATTTGAAGTCTTTTCTTGATCTTCTTGTTTTTTCTTGATTGTCCAATCGCATAGAACATCCTTCACGTACATGTTTAGATAAACACATTGTTTGCACAAATCGAAGGAGATTTTGACACCACCAGTATTTTCGCTTTCCACAACTCTTCCAGTGCTGTGGAATAAAATGTTTGAGCAAGTTCGGCAAAGGCGGAACTCAAGTCGAGGAATGTATTTCATTCTTGTTAGTTTCCATAACATTTTATTGTTCGCTGTACTTTTTGCAATCACTTTCTTGATTGCTGCTTTCTTGCTTAACCAAAGGTCCTTTTCCCCATTATCATTATTATCAGCATTTGCTTTCTTTTCTTCAACAATTTCAATTATATCAGGCTTTGCATCTTCAACCTTAGCCAAGTTTGGGGAAGTTGGGTTGGACATGATTTTGATTTTGCTTTAAAAATTAAAGAATGAATTTCTGGTTCAGAAACTCGAGTATTTATACCCAAAAAAAGGGCGTGGCTTATCTATCTTTTTTGCTATCATTACACTTTTTATCGGTGTATATAAAGGCAAAGTATTTCCATTCATTATTCATTTATTTAAAAATAAATATTTATTGCAAAAAAATGTCAACTCTCTTGGATAAAATTTCAAAAATTCTGGATTGTACTCCTGAAAATGTTCGTTATCGGCTTAACAATAAATCAGACAGAGACCTCGTCCTCGGTGAAATTAGAGGGAAAGCTTTGAAAACTAATTATCTTGATCGGAACGGATCAAAGCAAATAATTTATTGTGATGGAATTACTACTCATTGTTCTCACCAATTAATGGCTTTTGGAAATCTCCGATCGCCTTTTAATATTTGTGTAAGTGCGTATTTCTATGCTAGACATCGAATTTTGCTAAAATACCCTTATCAACAATGCATTCAATATAAAAATTTGTACTATCCATTGGAACTTCTTGAATTAAACTCAGACATGGAGGAAACAGAAACAGACTCTGATTCACCAATAATAATGAAAAATATGCGCACAAAGGCGTCATCGTCTTCAGAATCGACAGGAACGTTTGATATAAGTTCAACAAATTCAAATATTGAAAAATCGGCTGAAACATCACACAAGGTGATAGATCACACCCGGCGGGGAATTCTTTGGCTATATGTGGATGACAAGAAACTTTGGGAAAAACACGAAATTACACTATATTCTTCAAAGTAAAATAGAAATTTTATTTTACAATCATTAATTTTTCTTAAATTTAATCTTCTTTTCCTTAATTTTGTACTTTTACCCCTAAAAATGATATCTTCTTTTGCTTATTTTTTTAAAAAATTTGTCTTGTTTTCATTAATTTTTATCGAAATAAAATTGATTAAATTAGTTTATTTACAAATGATTTTACAAATTCATCGGGGTTTGAGCAATTATTTAGGATTAGTAAATATTTTTCATATGTATATCCTAGAGAAATGAAATATAAAAATACAATACAATGCTGCCCACATTCTTTAGATAATGGGTTTTGTACGGAAAATTTGTTTTTAATCTGTTTTGGAAATTGTGATAAAAAAGTTTTGATTGGTAAAGGCAAGATCGGGATTAGCAGTGAATCGAAAATATAAGCTGTCGTCTGATTTCTTATATAAATTGCAATCCAATGAGATCCTTCATTTGTTGCTCTATCGAGATTGACTACCATTGAACATGGAAATTTTTGTATTTCTTTTGGGATTTTATCCGCTGCAAAACATCCTATAAAATATCTTCTTGTAATTTGGCTCTCAAATAAAATTTTTTCAATTTGAATTGTATTCATCGTTTTCGCCCCGATTTGACGTTTCTCCACTCGGTATTTTTGTAATTTTGCTTTTTATGTTAATAATCGATCGGAATTGATAAAGTATTGCTGAAACTATAACCATAAACCATAAAAGTATCAGTGCAATGCAATAAAAATTGTAGTTTCCAGAATTGTCTCTTATATCTGAGCAAGGGATTGGTAGATGCACTTCTCGGTTCATGTGATCTAAAATATCAAATTTTTGGTCATATTGTCTTGTTTCGCATGGAGGCTGTGTTGATTTTTGTAGATTTTTCAAATATTCTTTGTATTCTGGAAGTTCGTCTGTAGAAGGGTTAGGACCAAATTTTAAACGTAAATAATCTCTGTACTCAGGATAGTCATCTGCATCATACATACAGGGTATGGGTTTTGTTTCACAATAATTTAAAAATGATAATAATAAAATATTTATTAGCAAAATAAAAGACAAACAAATAATTTTTGACATTTTTTTTAAAAAATTTTATAAATGATTTTTAAATTAATAAGGTTTTTCTTTTTATACTGAAATATCACTAGTTATTGTTCTGTTTCTGTCTAACATCAATAGCGAATCAACTTCACCCATAGCTATTAAAACAACCCCTCCCTGTGGAATCGGTTCATTAAAAGACATTTTTACACTTGTTGTTCCATTCTTTATTAAATCAAAAGTCTCTGGGCCATTATCTTCCTGACTATTAGTAAGATTAAATACTAATAGACAAAATCCACCAGTTGAAAAACGTTGCAATGAAATTCCATTGCTATCTAAAGTCCCCGCGTAGCCTATAGCCTCTTGCATATCATGATATATTCGCACATACTTGCCGTTTGGGAAATCAAGAGAATAAGGGGAAGCTGGATAATTCACCCCTCCGGCATTAATTGATATATCTCGTAAATTAAAATGTTGAAAATTAAAAGGCTGTGTCTTTTGAGATCCAACAAAATCGGAATTCTTAACCATTCCAAGGACCACTCTCCTCGGTACTTGATCCATCCATAGATTAGCATTAAATTCTGCTCGGTTCTCACTTATGAATAGTGATTTTAGTGAAGTTTTTCTCATCGGATATCGTGCTGGTTTCAATTCTAATTTCTTTGCTATATCGAAGGCAAGACTGTCCATAAGTTCAATTTTCTTTATATATAATTTGCATGCCAGTACTTCTAAATGATATTTATGGTTAGTTGCTCCTGGAGCAACAATAAGGAAATTTGAATCATGGGGCAAAAGTTCAATATCCACTTCACACTGATTAACTAGATATCGGGGTTGATTGCAAATGTCCACGTCTAATTTTGCCATAAATTGTGCTGATCTTTGTGTGCCATCAGCTGATGGTGCAAATAAAAGTCTTCTATTCTCGAAACCAACACCATTAAGTCCCATGTCACCATCGTCGTAATATCCTGCGGCGGATAAGTAAGAATTTTTTACTGTCTGCGGGTAAGTAAGCTCATAGTCGAAAATACTTTTGTATGCCATAAGTGAATTTCCTTCAAAGATTTGAGTTCCATTTATACTGATACGACAATTTTTCCAAATTGTATGTCCAATAAGCTGGCAGCAGGAAACATTGTTGTCTGCAGCCTCCAAATTGGTTAGACGTCCATTCTCATCTTCTTTCCGAATTCTTAACTCGGTTAAAACATAACATTTTGCTAAGTCAACATAATTTGTGCTTGCGTGGATTTTAAAATGATAAGGTGTAATATTAATTGGGTTTAGAGTAAGAAGCTCAATTACTGAAGAACTAGTAACGCTGACATTTGTATTAGGAGTTTCAAAAAATGAAAGTGCATTTGTAATTGCATTTGCAGAATCCCGATCGATTTTATTATGAGTAGACATTTTTTTCCTTTTAATATAATCCGAATGTATCAATTTTCTTTCTTTTCTTTTTTTGATTGTTTGAAGGGATTTTTCCTACAAATATTTGACTATTATTTTCTGTTGTAAATGGAGAATGATTTTTCCTTTTTGTCTTTGCTCTTTTTATACTGTTTTTTCTGGCACCCGTGCCAAATTGTTTTGGGAGTCCTCCTTTCTCTAACAGTCTGTCTAATCCACGTTTTCCTTCATCTATGACAGTATTCTTCAAATTGTTTACAGTTTCTTGCGTATGAGGATTTTCTACTCTTTCTAAAATTCTTCCTCCAGTATTTAGTGCTTCCTTAGCTACTGCTGTTCCAGCTCGTTTCGCATACGGCAAAAGGAATCGCCAAAAGTGTCTTAGAACATCACCGACGCCCCCTCCTGTTTGTCTTCCATATCCTCGTTGAAATGGCACATTGCCACGAAAATAATGATAAGAATCTCCATTTTGAATTCCCCCTTCACCAATTTGTATCGAATTATAGAAATCATCATACCCTACTTCTCTTGTGTCGAATGGAATATGAACCATATTTTTTTAATAAGTTTATCAATTAATAAAATAATTTAATTTTTTTAACAATGATTTATGAATTATGAAAGAATAATAATTATGAAATGTGTTTGAATTAAAATTACAATTTAAAATCTTAATACTTTGTTAAAAATTAATGTCACTATAACTGTTCCATGATCAAATTTCACAAGACTTCCATTCATCCATCTTAGTTCAATTTCAATCTCATTAATCTCTCTAGGCAACACTGGTATAAACATTGGTTGATCATACACTCGTTCAACAACTCCGCCAGACCTATTTTCAACAGCCACAATTCTAAGTAAAGAACTGACAGAATTCCCCATTATAACAGTACTCGTTAAACCTTTTGAATAAACAGCAAAGCTTGTGAATCCTCCTTTAAGATCAATTCCATATTTTCCAATCTGACCGTTTACCAATGGTCCCGTGGGAAAGCCAAGAACATAACATAATTGTGAAGATATAATTATATTGCTAATCTCAGGATCATTAAAAACTACCCTAAAACGATCAATACTGTCCAAATATTCAAATTCAATGTCCGAATGTAAATCTTTTAGATGAGATTCCTTTTCTTCAATCATCGTAACTGTCTTCTCTTTAATGAGATCATCATTATTTTGTTCATCCTCTTTCTCATGAAATATCTCTTCTGTTGGTATAATTTCTACTGAGGAATCTAAATCTAAACCTTGAGTTCCTCTGCTGTTCTCCTCCCACTTTTCTTCTTCTTCTTCATAAATTTTTTCATCAGGTACTGTACCTTCCTCTTCATCTATTGGTTGCTCAATAGGTATAGGTTGCCCATATTTATCTATTCTTCTTGCATGCTTTAATTGTTCCTTGCTTTCTTTAAGCTCTCTATCCTTTCTTTCATTTTCCTCTGACTCTCTGGCCTTGTCCTCCTCATATCCATGTCTGTCCTTGACAACTTCAACCATTTCATCTGTAATTTCGGGGGCAGGAATTGGTACAGGTTTGCCTTGATCATCTATCTTTAGGGCATCTTCCAAATACTCGGGATGAGTTTTCTCTTCAATTTTTTGCATCTCCTTAATTTCATTTCTAGTTGGTGGAATTGGCAGCTCAAAATTTTTCCATTTCTTGTACGCCGCATGATGTATCGCTGTAAATCTATTTCTTCTGTATGTAGCTAATTTACTTAGCTGGTCAATCTCCTTATTTAGTTTATTCTTTTCTTCTTCATCTTGTTCTTGTGAATGCACATCCCTTTTTTCTCGAAGTTGCCTGTGTAATTCTTGTAGATCACCTAAATTTTTCTTTAATGATGCCCAATGATCTTGAGGGTGGTCGTCAAAAAATTTTTGGACAAATTCTGAATGTGTATCTGAATTTTGCTGATGAAATTCATCTCTAGTAATTTTCAACTCTCTTTCAATTATTGCAGATTCCAATGCTTCCAAGTTTTTTCGCATACGCTTTATTGAAGTAATAAACCTTTGAATTTCTTCACCAGAGCGAACATTTTTACCACCCTCTTCCCTGCTCTCCTTAATTTTATCTTCTAGTTCAATGTATCTTACTATTATATTTATCTCCATCTTTATTACTTCCTCGTGATAATCGTCTGGGTGTTGTTCAAAAAACTGATTTGCAATAAGTCGACCATCAATCCTATCTCTTTTATTAGCTTCCTCTGTTAAAAGACGAATTTCCTTCTTTTTACCTTCTGAAAGGGATTCTAGGTGATCAAGTTCTTGCTGAAATTCTTCCTTCTGTATATCATCCTTCTCATTAAGAACTTGTTTTGTTTTTTCCTCTACATTAACTTTATGATGCTCTAATTCTTGTTCATAATCGCGTATGGCTTCCCAGTAATTGTGCGGATACTGATTAAAAAATTCTTTTACCCATAATGGCACACTATATACTTTCTCTGCCTCTCTCTTTCTTCGTTTCCTAACTGGGTCCACCACTAAATTAATTTCGGGGTCAATAATAATTTCATCCTCTAAAGTATGAATTAATAAATCACGTCTTTTCCTGGATTTTTCCTTATTGGATAATACAAGTTTTAAAAAAAAGCTGAGTCCATTGGGTGTTAACTGTGTTGTTTTGGGAATTCCAATTCTATGTGGTTTTTTGTTTTTGTAATTAATTTCGATCCACTGTTTAACGTCGGTGCCAATAGTTGCAGCCCAAGACTGAGGATATTGAATGCTATATAGACCACAGACCCAATTCCCGCCTTGGAATTGGATAGGTTTTGCCAAATGTGACCGAAATTTATTAGGTTTATTGTCTGAATAATCACTGACGTTGCTGGGTAATACAACAAAGAAAGTATTTTCCATTTTTAATTAAATTTTATTATTTTAAATTAAATGATTTACAATAATGATTTACAATAAATAACAAAGAAAATAATTTAAACAAATTGTGATTCATTGATCCATTCGGAGTCGGGATAATCAAAAAATTTTACAAGATATTCTTTACTTCCATCTTTTTTATTTCTTTTACGTATAATTTTCTCAATTCTGTAACTCGTATTATCATCCTTTCTTACTTTTGTCAGCTCCTCTGGGTAAAAGTATCCTTCAAATTTTTCTCCTTTTTCATCTCGAACACGATATCTGTTGGGATTAGCCTTATTCTTTACAAGATCAACCTGGAGAATTTCATCAGAGTAGTTGGGAAGATATCCTTTTGAAAAAATATTCTTGTTCCGACTCATGCGTACGTAATCATCTTTTTGGAAACGTGTCTTCTTATTATTCGGGTTGACACCTATTTTTCCATAAATTTTTTTCCTAATCTTTCGAGCATTTTTAAAGCTAATATCCACAGGTCTCAAGCCTCCTAGTGCGCGACTTTTTGAGTGATTTATTGCATTCACAATTTTATGTAGAGCTTCTGTCCATTTTAAAGTATGTTTTTCGCTCATGTATCTATAAAGCCTTTGTTTTATGTTACGAATACAACGTTCAGCTAAAGAAGCTTTGACTGTTGAGGCATTAGGTGTGAACTTCTCAATATCCTTCTGTTTAAAAAACTCCATCATTTTTTTGCTTGTAAACTCTGTACCCTTGTCACTAAATATTCGGTGGGGTAGCATTTCCATTCTTTGTAAAATATTTTCAAATGCTGGGACCATGTCCTTTGACTTTTTGGTTCGTACTGGTTCAGCAAAAACCCGTTTGCTCAAAACATCAATTGAAACAAGTGCATAATTATAACCATTATTTTGCCTTGACAGTTTTTGAAAATCTGCCAAATCACATTGAACATCTGTCAAATAACCCGCGGGCATAGTTCTTGATCTTTTGAATCTTACACGGCGGGGCCGATGAATTGTATATGTCCGGTTTCCTTCCAGATATTCTATTACATCCTTCTTTCTAATTCTTTTATCTTTTTTCTTTGCCTCAATCAATAATTGGTTAACACCGGTAAATCCGGCAGGATTTGCTGGATCATTATAAATTTTGTCTAGTATTACTTCCACTCTGCTGGGAGTCTCCATTCTTCAGATAATGATTGCTTTGGTTTTTTAATTTTTGATAATTTTTGTTTTGATATATTGATTCTTTTTGGTGAAATTTGCACCCTGGCTTTTTCAATTAGTTCCTACATTGCTGGGTCGTTTTTCAAACGTTTCTCTAGGATTGAAGTTCCGGGAGGAGAAAGCTGATTCCATTTATCTTTACCAGTAAAATCTGACCGTATTATGCAATCAAGAGATTTTTGAACATTACTTCCGAGAATTTCCCTTGTTCCCGCTTCATTTAAAATTTTGCCATCTTTGTTTATATTAAATTTATCAATATTATTCTTCAAAACATGATATATTTTATAAATCCTTTGATTTAACTTCGATTTTGTTGTCCTTGTAGTCTTGGGAGTCTCAACATCACTACCCTCATCTGCTGTATACATAGCATCCTCTTTTATTTCTTCTTCCAATTGTTTTTCATTTATCAATGGTTTTTCATTTTGATTTGAAGTAATTTGTGGTATCAACTGCTTGATTTGATCGAGTGCTGAATTATCAAGTTGACGAACTGCCACATTTGTTGGGGTTTGATTCTGTTCTTTTAACATGTGTAAATATCTTCGCAGTTCTTGGTTGTAATTTATATTTTTTAATTCATTATTCACGCGCTGTCTTTTAATTGTGTCCAAATTTTTCCTTGTATAATCCAAATTTATGTTCCCAGTTTCAGTAACTGGCTGTGTCAGTAACCCACGATAAATATCTTCTGGTACTAGAAGAAATTTATTGGCCATTTTTGTTTGTTGTTAAATTTTTCGCAAGTTCAATTATTATAGGTGTAAGTAATGCTGGGAATAGTCCTAGAGGAAGACCGTTTCCCTTTTGAATAACAAGCTTTCGTGCTCCGCGTTCAGTTCTTACACGGCCAATACGTCGTACAAAATCCGCGAATGGAACTAATCGACCTTTTTGTCGTTTTGTCAGGTGAAATTTATTTCTCAAGATGTTTAGACAAATTTCAGATAATGAGATTAATTGTCCAATTGTGGCTTGTTTTAATAATCGTTTCCTCTTTTGTAATGATCTTGTCTTTGCCAATTGTTTGAGAAAATGAAAATTGTTTTTTACTATTTGACTTATCATTTTAAAAATTGATTGATTTTGGTAAAAATATTGTAGTTTCAAAATTATCCGTATCTTTTTTCAGTGAAGCAAATTCAAATATATTTGTTCTTAGTCTTAGTGATGAGTCAGAAGATGGATGAAGATCAATAAATAAATATGAAAAGTTTTCTCTTGTTGCTTGCCGATACGAATCAAGGAAATAATCCAATTTACCAGGGAATAATTGTACTCCCAAATTTCGAACTGATAAAGCACTGTTTGGGGCTCTAGTTAAAACCAAATACATTGAATTTTGTCGAGCAACACGCAGTTTCTTTTCAAATAAGTTTTGGGTGACAAATACAATGCCAAAATTTAGGTGATGGGACTTTTTTGTAAACAATTCTGAGAGATATTTTTCGTCGATTGAATAAAGTAGATCATCGAGAATTATGAGTGATGGCTTTTCTTGAGTTTTTATAACCTCTTCTGGTGGAACTCCTGAATAAACAGCTATTCCTTCTCTCTGCAAATCGGAAACTAAGGAATTGTATTCTCCGTAACAGTACAAGATTGATTTTGGAATTGGGTCAATCACTTCTTTTGCATTTACAATTAAACTTTTAACAAATGTACTTTTACCACTTGAACTTGGCCCACTAATAATACACCCAAATGGTAGTTTTAACTTGAGATCATTTCTAGAATATGTTTGATAAAAACTAATTTGATTAATCATTTTCTTGTAATTGAAATAATTTATTATTTAAAAATTCAGGGTTAATGTGAAAATTGTAATTTTATCACGTATTAAATAAATTATAAATTACATGAATATAAAACAAAATTTTTTAAAACAATTTTACAAATTTCTGAAAAAATCTATAATATTTGAAATCGGAGGTTCATATAAAAATCGCCATCTTGAATACATTAAGTAATCTGTTTTATTATGTTTTCCAAATTTGAACTTCTTGTCCCAAAGGTCCCAACGTAGAATCCAGCGTCCCATATTTTTTATTTCAACTTGTCTGGCTAAATCATTTTTCTTCAGATGAAATATATCTTTTACAATCCATTTCATTGATATTTTTTTCTCGTCATTAGTTTTATACAATGATTTGTTACTTAATTTATTTTGTGTTTCAAGCTCTCCCAAATTATTTACACCTTTGTTAGGAAATATTGGTGGCGGTGTCCTTCGCAATATTGGTATTTCCGCTGAATTATTTTTATCTATGCTAGGAAAAATTGGGGGCGGTGTTCTCCGCCATATTGGGATAGGCGTCCTCCTATATATTGTTGTCACTAATTCTCTCTTCCCGGTTTTAGCGTCCATTGGTGGTGGTGTTTTCCGCCAAATTGGTATTTCCTCTGAAGTATTTTTATCTCTGTTAGGAAATATTGATGGAGGTGTTCTCCGCCATATTGGTATAGGCGTCCTCCTATGTATTGTTGCCACATACTCTTCTCTCTTGTAGGGTTTGGAGTCCCAAGTGTCAGCCAATAAGGACGGGATTGTTATTAATATGATCAAAAAATTTAACATTTAGCCAGTAGTTTTTTTATTATAAAATGTATTAATCCTTTATGACAGCTTTTTTATGACAAATTTTAATAGGTTCTGCAAGTTATATATTTTTTTAATAATCTATTATGATAATGATAAATTAATTTTAAATGATAAATTACTCTTCCAGAGATAGAAAGATGGCAGGAAATCCCTAAACATTTGAGCTTCTTTTATTTTAGCACTTTCGCTCAAGATCCTTTTGGCTCTTTTATTTTACCGCACTTCCTTTTCGATAATATTAATTTTAAAAGTTCGATTCAGCCCCTTTGTATTTACCGCAACTTCAGCAGTCACAAATATCAGTATTTCAATACCCATAAAACTCCCGCAAAATATTTGTCAAAAGGTAATTAATCATTCATGATTAATTATCCTAATTAATCATGATTAATTACCCCAAATCAAAAGAAAAGTGCCCTATAGGCACAGAAATTACCTCTCATTCACAAACAAAACCCCCCTATAGGTGTGAGTTTGATTGACAGGTGTCACTTTTGGTGTCACTTTTGGGTGGGAGTAACTACTAATACATATGGGTAAACATTTTCAAAAATTAGTAACATATGTTATATTTCTCTCTATCGTTACATCTCTATTGAATTTATTCCTTCAATATCACGATTTAAAATTTATAAATTATTTAAATAATTATTTTATTTAAACCAATCTCATAATGTTAAAATTACCAAATATTTTATTCCAATTTTTTGCCAAGTCCTCTCCTTTGTTTTTCAAAATTTCTAACCAAGTTTTTCCACCAGTTTCGAATGTTTTCCATTTTTTATTATTTTCATATTTATTTATAAGGTAATTATAAAAATTTAAAATTTTTTTATCATTTTTATTTTTAATAATTGCTGTTATAACATTATATTTATATTTTATGCAAATATATTTATATATTCTATTTATAAGAAAAACTAAATTATATAGAAGGAATTGAGCTTCTTTCATTCCAAATTTAAGAGTAAATTTGTCTAAAATTTTTATTAATTTATTTAAATATTTAATGTTAATTTCGATTAATTTTCAATTAAATTAACAAATTCAAGTGTAGTATCCATGATGGAAAGGTTCCAGTTCCGGAACATGTGTGGTTCCTGTTTCAAAAGTGGAAGCGTGGAACCGATAAAGGTCTGGCACCAGTTTGGGTTAGCATTGGAGCTCCAGAACCGGAACCGGTTCCAGAGAAATTTTGGAAGTTTTCCATCACTGGCAGTATCCCGGTTCCAAAAAACGAACGGTTCTAAGTCTCGGTCTTTTCTTGTTAAGATTTCTTACACTTCCAGTCTTTTGTATTCTTAAATTTTATGCCATTAGGCACAAGAAATTCTGATTCAGTGCCTTATTAATTCGAAAATAATAGCTCGAAGCGGGTCAGAGAAAAAGTTCGAGTTCGAGCAAATTTTTAAAATTCAAACACTGGTAGTTAACCTTGTTTTTCAATATTTTCATAACATTCTCTAATTTGCTTAATTAACTTTTCATATTCTTCATGTTTATTTATTTTCCTCATTAATTCCATTTTTCTTATTTTTAAATTAATTTCTTGCCAATTATTTTCTAAATTCCATTCTTCATAAAATTCTATTTTTTCTTTA